ATTTCTTTTAAGATAAAGGAATAATAATATTTTTAACATTGAGTAACAACTAAATGTGTCCTCAAAGGCCAAATACTTGCACAGTAACGTTGATCATTTTGGAAATATATTTTCAATTGATATTGTCAAAGGAAATAACAATGAAAGTGTAAACAAAGCATCATTGAAAACAAATCTTTGGGGGAATGACAGGAAGACATTTTCAAGTACCCTGAAATTCTAAGATAAATATCTCCAGTATTTAGTCATGTGTTTTAAATCATGCTTGAAAGCTGTTACATCTAATTTACAAACGTTCCAATCAACATCAATATAAAGTTCATCTGAGAACACAAGGTAATTTTTCTTAGACAGCAAGAAGATCATACAGTGAAACCTGTAAAGCTGAATACCTCTAGAAGTGGAACACCTCTGTTAGTACAACATTTTACTGAGACCAACCGACTTAATGTTAAATGAAATTCTATAAGCAGAACACCTCCCAAGTGAAACACTTTTTGTTAGAGGTACCAAAGGTGTTCCGATCGATCCACTAAGATAGCTTCGATTCAATTAAGGACATTAGCCTACTGAAGGTGTAATGTATCAGAGTAAAATATTGCCTCTGAATAATTTAGTAGATTTTATTGTATATTTAGTTCCTTTCCAACTCTATAGGGATATGTGAATGTTATGATTGAAGCAGATTACTCAATATAGTTGTAGAGCAGTGACGTGCCACACAATAAGTAGCATATGAATGGCGAATCTGTAGAAACTGTCACACATTTGAACAATAAATGAATTAGCAGAATTGTAACTACATACAATCTAAATTTTATTGTGGTGAAAACAGTATATTCCTAATAAGTCTGAAACAGACTGAAAAAATTTGAAAGATAGGGTTAGGGGTGTCATCGTCTTATGGGCAAAACTCAAAATTGACTTCTCTTCAATGAATGAAGGTATATGTACTTTATGTATCCTGATACACATAATGTTCAATATATATTCAATAGAAAATATCTCTATGGAGTCAAGAGGTTGTTGTATCCTATTTTCTATGTATATTCATACCTATACACTGCAGTTCTAACTCGGGTATAATAGTACAAGTACCATTAGCACGTTAACTCTGTGGTTACCACATTCTACTTATATCAACAGCTGATGGCTTGTTACTTTGATTAAAATTACAGAATATTCTGTGTTTGATGTTTTCTGGAATTCATCGAAAATTGCTGAAGGTTAGGAATGTTTGTGGTAAATACTCGTTCAAGCGCGATTATATTATCTTTGCTTCTATTGAGAAATTAGAGTGAAATCAGCAAGGATTTTGTTATGTTATGTTACTTTATGTTATGATGTTCACAACTGTTGCTCAAAAATCAAATTTGGTACACGTACATTTAAATTTGTTTCAAAATAGGAGAGAAAATGAGAAATTGGTTGATTTATTAATAGCTTGGATAGGTTATCTTTACATAAGCAAACAAGCCAAAATCTAAGAAGCAGCCTGATGGTTACAGTAACCTTTTGTCTATCTCAATGTGGGATGTGAGACTGACATACATAAGTACATTGAGTATTATGAGATTCAGCGTTTTTGTTCTTGTGCAGTCACTTCAACTTCTACATTGGTTTTGGTCATTATTATGAAAGTATTTTCAAGAATTTCAGCTAAAAATATAATATTGACTGTTCTATTGGTGGCAGGCATCAGTTGCTGTGGAATTTATATTGTTCCATTTTTCGTTGCAGGTCTTGCATGCTACATGGTTCAATCTCTTATTGAGTCAGGATTATGTAAGTCTGTATAAGACTGCCAACATCGCTATTACTAGGATTTTTGTATTTGATTATGAAAATTGCTTTTGTTGAATATATGTTATCAGGTCAGAAGTAAATGTGAAGAAACTCAGAAATAAATTGCAATTTAAATGAGAAAGTTGCCTTTTCAAAAGGTTATTTATTGTCAGTCTGTAATACTAATAATTTTCTTATTAGGGATGTTGTTTCAAAATTGTACATCCCCTTGATATATGCCCTATAAAAAGTGCCAGTTGTTATGTATGGGAAAGCATTCTATTCTATTGTATAAATTGTATTCTTGCTGTCCAGGGTCTTGAAGCAAGACTATATTAATGGTTATAGGCTATAATAATTCCTTTATGCTTGATTGCTTTGTATTAATCTTTAGGACCACTGCTATTTTGATTCATTTCATGATCTTACTGGCGAGACAGCAGTTCTTGTTCATTTATAAAGGGGCAACAAGGGCTAGAAACAAGTTGGGAGTTATGTTCTTAAATGTTGTGCCATGCCTATTTTCTAACACACTGTGGCTTTATTCCTTGATAACTTATCTGGCAATGATTTTGAAAAAATAATGTCTCCTTTTTATTCAATCCTAATGCATTTAGATAATTTTGCTTCTTAGATCTTTATATCATCCATATATGATGAGAATTCTCCGTTCCTATGAAAATTGCAAGGGAAACCATGGCAGGGTTTTTGAAAAGCTAACATTTTACATTCTCTATTAGCTGCCAGTTTAATAGATGAATGTTTTTATTCTCATCATTCAAAGGTTGGCTGGACGATCAATAACAACAATATGTATAATTTACTAAAATGTCATGGCGATCATGATACTTGAGCTAAAGTCTGAGCAAGATGCAAGTACTGAGGCCATTCTGACCTATTGTTGGTATGCATAATATTTCCAGGGGATTCTATTAATGTTATCAAACAAAAAAGGATGAACTGTAATATAGTTGAATCTGTGTAAGTGGAACACCCTTGGGACCACAAAGAGTTGTTCCACTTGCAAGGTGTTGTATTTACAGAGGTTCATTAACATGGAGTCAATGGGCCACATGATTTTTAAAAACCTGTTCCATTTGTGAGGTGTTCCATGTGGAGTTCAGTGAGGCAAAACTTTTATCAGTGAGGCTAATGTACTCTGAATTAAATTTTGATTGTAACAATGTCATTTGTGAGCAAAAAGTTCTTTGAATGTAAACTTTAGCATTTTGTTTCACTTGATCATATAAGGAATAAGACTTGATTCAGTAGCAGTTAGTGACATCCACACAGGACAACGATGGAGTCCATGAAGAAAACGCTGGGTTCTTGAATCTTGACCTTTGTAAACAAGTTAGGGAGTCAGCCTTAGTTGTACATTTGGGGTTTACATATCAATAATAAACACCCAGGGGTAGCATTCATAAGTCAGCTCGAATTATTTAGACAGTTGTTTAGGAATCGATTCTGTGACTCATCAGTAACAAATGTGGATTTTCTCATGTTTATTAGGTATCTGTTGATGTAATAGAGTTCATTGTGATTTATTTTGATATTTCTAATCATGGTTTTTATTACGGTTTCTGTTATTTCTTAACTTTGTATAAGGGTCGTTCACCTACCATAGTTATATAGGTAAAATATGAATATGTGGGAGCATAATTAATAAAAAAAATCAGCTGTTATACAAGATCAAGCATCATCTGTCAGTATATACCATGACTGCTATCACGCATGGTATGGAAAATGCCATACATGATATGGACAATGCCATGCATGATATAGACAATGCCATGAATGGTATGGAAGATGTCATCATGCAGCATGGTATGTAAGATTTCATCCTAGATGTCATACAATTGTAAAATTCAAAATAGATCTTATCAATTGCACTCCTCCTGATTTTTTGGGCGATCGCACCCCCTCTGACTAAAAGCTGGCTATGGCCCTGGACATGTATCCATGGTAAAGCAGTAGATGCCATGCATGATATGGAAGATCTCATGCATGGTATATAGTAGATGTCATGCCTGATGTGAAAGATGAATGGTAATTTCTCAGTATATTGATAATGATTAAAACTACATGCTGAGCCTTCATTTTTAGGTTCTGTTGGTAAACCAAAGAGAAGAGCTGAAGAGTCTAATACTGAATATAGAGCCAATGAATGGAAATAACAGGACCAAAATTCAAAACTTTTTCTATACATTCACAATTGACTTCCTTTGAAAGATGCTTTATATATTGACTGATAGCTGATACGCCTGGTGTTCTTTTCCTCTATTTTAACATTTGACATTCTCTTCAATTACTTAGATAATTTCTGGAATAGATCTCTATTGTTGTCTCTCATTGATTTCTAATCTTCATGCACTTGGCAGCTAGGTATTTCATCTATCTGCAATTCACAGGATCTCCGAGTTAATTGAGCACTACGCTAGTAGATAATAGAAGAATCTGAGTATATTAGGTGGGGAGGGGGTTAGGTATTAAAAATATATTCTATTTGGGAAATCTAGGTGAATTTGACCTGTGCATGTCTTCGCAAAAGTTTCCATATATTTACACTGTATAATATGTAGTACATGTATTACAGAAGATGTTTGTATTATGAAAGAGAATATATAATACTCATCAAAGTCTGCTTCAAAGGTTCCTATTGAATATGTAGTGTCTTAACAATATTGATCTCTATGTTAATGAATTTGACCTGTATATACATATCTTTTATCAAATGTTACATTAAAAATGCAATTTTGATTCAAGTCTGTGTCATAACTGTACATATATTTATACATACATACAGATATTAATATATATTTTTTAAAATGTTTTAATCATTTGCAAGAAAGATAAAATGTATGATCATGATGTATTTTTATACTTTGTCTAATATATATGTTTTTTTGTATTTCATATTTTCCTGCTGTCTGCCTATCTGATATTGGAACTCTGGAAAATACATCGATCTTTGAATACAATGATTATATTGGATCTTCTACGATTATATCGAATCATTTGTGATTATATTGGATACCTGATTATTATTACACCTGATCCCTGGTCAAAATATTTGGCTATTGATGATTATATTGGATTCATGCTGATATCATTGGATCTGTAATGATTACATCTGATGTCTGATATCTGATGATTATTTTGGATCTCTAATGATTATTTTGGATCTCCAATGATTATTTTGGATCCCCGAACAGTGAACACCATGGCAGAAAAGCTCCAAAGGTGAGAATATGCACTTATGTTTTAAAAAACCATGGAAGTTCCAAACTACCTTATAGACCAACCCTTTCGAATGGTACCTTATATATTTTACAGCACAGTAGCATTACTTTTCTAAATTGCTTTGCTGTGGTAACATGGAACTTTGGGACCTCAACTGTCAAAGATAAAAAATCTACTTTGCATCTATGCTGAATAAACCATATGCTGGTACCATTACAAATCACATAACAATGTTTGTAGTTTCAATCATTATAACTCTTATGTCAAGTTTATATGTCCCCCAAACACAGCTGAACTAATTTAGATATAACATAAGTAAGCAAAATATTCGGGAGAAAAACCAATGCACTTAATGTAACCTGCTTCTTATCAATGTTCACGTAGTTCTGTAATTAGATTCCTCTTCAAACTAAGTGCCAAATCATATTCAACAACAAATGCAGTTTTTTTAGAATCTTAACGTATTAAAAATGTAATAAAGTGTTTCAATGCTAGTGACTGTGTTATGTCAGTTGATTAATAATTTCTGTTTGTTTATTTGCAGACATTTGCCTTTGACCACTGTTTTTGGTCAATGGACAAGGCTGAGACCAGATTTGCAAGTGAGTTTAAATTAACTACTTTTAGAGAATGAGGATGTGCCTTTATTTTAAAGAAGGTAAAGTGTGATGATTTTGGACCTGTTTATACATTACAATAGCATGAAACATGTAAGAAGTCCTAATTCATCATTTAATTCAACATTCACCTTAAATACTCAATTAAAGAGAAAAATGATTTTGATTATTGTGTAACATCAATTAAATGTCTCCATTTCATTCCTGTTAGATGTTCCCGTTCCTGTTAAATAAATGAGGTTGAAGTATCTTAACCTTTGATAGAAAAAATTCTCAGAAACAATTAAATAACTTCATCTATAAAAACTTCACTTATTCCTATTAAGTAATATGTTATTCTACCGCACCATGTTCAAATATAGGGCTTAATTACAGGAACCTGGTTTACCCGACATACTACTATGACCTTTTAATATTTACAGAACTATAACCCATACTTATATTTTCTCTAATAACCCTTTCTGAGATATAAATAGTGCTGTAATTATTTAATCTATAATATTGTCCTCGTGACACCTTTCAAGGTATAGAATATGGAAACACATTATTCGCTGCCTATGTGGTAATAGACTGGCTAGTATGAAATTATGAGGACAGAATGGTATCTCTGTGGCAAATTCCATTGAAGTGTATCTATCAGAATTGAATAATTCAGTCTGATGCATTACTCCAAGAAAACATGACATGCATTAAAGAATCAATCAACTTTTAAGGATTTTTTCAACATTTTGTCAAAAGGGATTTAGCCCAACCTTTTTCAAAAATCTTGGGAAACCTGCAAGAAAATAATTGTTAATTCAAAGTTTATCTACATCTATGTGAACTACTGTATACCTGCATTTGTAGTGTACACCTGTACATGTGCAGTACAATGAGATTTTTTGCATTTATAGGTCAAGAACAAGTTTACAATTGTCTTGGGAAAGATGTACTTCAGAGGGCGTTTGAAGGCTATAATGCATGTATATTCGCATATGGACAAACTGGTAAGTTTGAAATGATCAACCCTTTCAACATTCGACTTATTGTACTACCCCCCCCCCTCGGAAAGAACCAATAGGATAATCAGAGATTTGATTCCTACCCTATCATATTTTACTTGCTGAAATCACATGTCATAAGTACATGAATCTTACAAACACATTTTAAAAGTACATGTTACATTGATTGCAAAAATGTGTTTAGCGTTGATAAAATCTGATGGGATATTGATGGAATTTCTACGATCAATGGTTCGTAAACACAATTCCTGATGATTGGATTTGCTAATATCATGCACTTAAATCCGTTTTTTCTAATCAACGATGTGGAGGCACTCGTCAGTCTTATTTATTCACAGTCTCATTGTGAGGATTAAATCTAATGATGTTTCTACGCTTGATTCCACCTACTCCTTGGTGGTCCATCTTCTATAGGATTAACCATATAGTATTATAAATGTACTGTAGTAATTGGGAGGCACTCTGCAAGCGGCCTCTCTTTATTTATTCCTTTCACAACTAATTCTCGTATAACCTGTATGACTTTTGGCCCAACAATGACTCAATGAAAGTTAAACTAATCTTGAGATTTATGAGTTCAGAAATGGAAAACTGACATTTTTGAACATATTCTTGATCATCCTCAGAACACAGGCCTCCAGAACTGTACCTCCAAAGAAGAAATGTAGTGGATGATGTCTGGAACCCTGCATTCGGAGGATGGCTCTTGATCAACCCAATAAATATTATTAAAATATCTTCAAACTGCTAGGATTTCATATCTTATCTTAGATTTCATATCTTGATATCTGACATTTTGTAATAAATTTTATCTGATATACATTCATGTAATCAAACTTACTTTTATGTATTACCTAATAATACATGCATTATAATAAATACATTTTGTTCACTTTTTCATATACAAATATACTCGCATGTGTGAATATATTATATATAATAATTATTATAATATGAAATTCATTTGTTTTTCTCCAGTCACTATCATATTACGCAACATATTGTGTCCTCTTATGGTATCCTTTTACTTGCTTATATCCTGTTATTTTAACATTGCGAATCACAATAACCTCTTAACTGAGAAAAATAACCTTCAATGGGGACAGTTATTGTCTGAAAACCGAAGTCTGTAATTGTAGTCTCATATTTTTCTCTAATCCCTCATTATCTCTCATCTGGGTGAAATAATCTTATGTTACAATTGATTGAGACTTACCCCTAATATATCATTTCTGTAATGTTCATATTATGGTGAATGCAAAGTGGAATACATTTAATCAAAAAGGTGTTCTATGTGGGAGATGTTCCAGTTACAGAGGTTTTATTTAAAAGGTGTTTCATCACTTGGGAGGTGTTCTACTTACAGCGGCTCATTAAATATTGAAAAGTGTTCTACTTACGGAGGCTCTTTTTTTTACATTATTGTTACAATACAAATTGAGTTAATTTGGGTACCTGTCCTTTATATATAGTTTTCTTTGGAGGTATTTCACTTGCTTAGATGTCCACTAAACAGGTTTTACTGTATTTGGTTTACTAAGATAATGCCAGCTTGACTTTTTATTCTTCAGATAAATTAATATTTTAGATTGAATTTAGTTGAAGAACTGTACATAAGATATTGAATGATTGCTTTTTCATTGTGTGTTAATAAGTTGAGTAATGTCTCATAAATCTTAGAAGTAATGATTTTGAATATGCAGACTATGCTGTTTGTACAGTGCAGGGCTTTCATTAGTAGCAGGCATTATTCTCCGATTGTTTTTTTAACAAAATTGCCTGTCGTTTTGTGCAGCAACTGTTTCTTATGTTAAATTTATAATTTCCAATAATTTTGCCTGTTGTTTTCATTTTGCCTATCTCTGAAATGCTGAACCCCTGATATTCCCATTTCCATTCCTGATGTGATTCCCTGTCAATAATTCTCTTAATACAACATGTTTCACTTAATGTGCAACCTTGTAATGTTCGCTCCTTGTATTTTGCAGGGTCGGGGAAATCCTACACTATGATGGGCAGCCGTAGTGACAAAGGAATAATTCCAAGACTTTGTGACAATCTCTTTGAGAGGATTTCAGACAACACAGACACTGGCTTATCATTTAAAATAGAGGTTTCTTACATGGAGATATACTGTGAAAGGGTCCACGATCTATTAGATCCTAAAGGGTAACTACATGTAACCAGTTATTCTAGGGTCTGAAAAGTACCATTTATGGGATAGCATGTTCATTTTCGACATCCCAGGACGAAGGATGATGGGATCTTAAGATGAACCATCAATTGATAACAGTGCAGTGAAAAACAATGTTATCAATAATTTATTGAAAAAACTCAATTTATACCTAAAGTGAAGCTATTGATCCAATGCATGCATAATAAGACTTCTGTTTTTTACAACATTTTTGGGAGCCTTGCAAAATGGTTGAATAAGAAAACTTCCTTTGTCACTCACTAAAATGAAAAATTATGACAAATTGTTAATTTCTATGATAATGTCTGAGACATCAATCATTAAAATGATTTACATGTCAGACCTTTGGCCAGAAATGAAAATTGCAAAAATCTCTGAGAATGAGTGATTTTTTCCATAGTTTTGACATTTGAAATATGCCATTTCATCGTCCCTTTAAATATAGATACTGATGATTTTTATCAAGTTTATTACTTTTTGACAGCTGACTCATTCACCATTAATTTCAGCTAATTCTGAATTCTGAAAAATCAAAGTTTCTATGATGTTTACATCTCTGTTGGGAAAAATAAAGTAAAACAAGATATAACATTATAATTTGATTTAATTAAATAACAAACAATTAAATTATAACATGAATTGTTTTTTGTTTTTTAGGGTTCGGCAAAACTTAAAAGTTCGAGAGCATAATATTTTAGGTCCTTATGTGGATGGTCTCTCACAGCTACTTGTATCATCATTTAATGTAAGTATTTGTTTGCCAAATTGCCAAAATCAGGGAGATATGGGCAAAATAGCATTCTTGTTTTTAACCTGAAGTGGTTTTCAAGCCCTTCAAATTTTCACCCACAATACTTGGGTAATATGTTCTTCATGTTGAATTCCTAGAAGTAATAGGATCTCTAAGCCACATTCATTATTATTTTTCAGCACTGGGGCATAAATTGCGTCATACTTCCCACATTTGATATCATTGGTTTTATTTTTAAATGAAAAACATTATTTGTAATGTTATCACTTCCTCAATGAAATATTTATCTTTTGATTATAAATAGAATTCTTCTCTTCTCTGTTTAACAATTCTGTAAGAACACAGTACATTGCAAAGTTTCATTTTTTATTTAGTCACATGATATTGCCTATTATAACTAGGAGAAAAATATCATATTTTTGCAGATTTCTATGAAACCATTGAATATAGCTTTTAAACCTTTAGATGTGGTGTCATGTCTGATCAGAAATTTGCTGCTTGACTTAATGCGAGTCTGACAATAACAATGGCCGAACAATCATTTGGAAAATTTGATTTGAATCATTTAACTCTGGAATAAGTTAATATCAGTTAAAAAATTTTATGGCAAAAATACATTCACACGTTTACATTTGGTATTAGTAAAATGTCAAATATTACATATCAACTGATGATAATCACTCAAAATCATATGGTATCACACGCTAATTCCTATACTTGTCATAATAAATATTATCAATGGAAAATATCACTTGATCTCGAGAATGTATTTTGTAATTTCACAAAACTTATTGTAGTATGCCATTTAGAGATTCAAAGAACTAGTATTTTAGTATTAAAACCTCTAATAAATCCTTGAGGTAGTTATTTAGTGACTTGTAATTTGGGATTGTACCCCGCAATCTGAAGCCTCTGTTGACGTTTGCTTGTGTCTGATCATATGTCAGCCACTTCTGATTGGAAACTGACACGGATTATAGGGATTTGATGAAAGTCAATTGGCAATTAAACCAAGCACTAAGTCGGTGTTCAATTCTAAATCACATTTATGGTGCAAGTTAATTGTTTCACTGTGCACGCTTAACCATCCTTATTTTAGAATGGAACTTAATAAATTCATTGCAAATAATTAGATTTGATTAACCTCTTTAAGGATAATTTTGACTCATATTTTCAGTGTCCTTAAGCCATTTATAGACTGATCGTTATTCCAAGTTTATTGGTTTCGGGACGCATGGCATTTGTACAAGGGGCTAATCATTAGCTTGTGATGAATACAAACCTTAATAAGAACACTGTATGACTAGTTTTATTTTAAGTTTCTCTACTTGATGAATATTTTATAGAAATCGTAAAATGGATCTTAGGGAGTTGAGTCAGTACATATAACATTGTCACTTTCTACTGGGTCAAAAGACACATTGTCATATTTATGTATTTATTGGTATGTGAATGGTTCCCAAAGCCAATCAAAATGCTCTATTTGATCTCTCTCTTATCATGATGTGCATTTAGCACATTTAGTTTAAAAATCCTATCTCATAGAATATTGGTTTGATTGACCAAAGAAGAGCTGAAAATAGATAAACATTGGAGAGTTTTCACATCTGAATTTGTTCCCTTCAAACACTGAAAATATGGACTCTAACATTCAGACACAAAAATTGGGGTTTAGTGTTGTTTTGGAATTAATGGAGCTATTTTGACTCCTATTCTTTATGCACGTCATGTCAGTACGCAATCCTACATATAAAATGTCTGAGTTAATTAGCAAAAGCCACCCTCTACTCATCATCTCCTAGCAGTGTGATTATTTGTTCATTCGCATGTCAGTTCAGTTCTTAATCAGGCAATATTTATAGAATATACCTGTGGATGTTAAAATTAGTGTTAATAATCACGATGTGCATTATCATTTTGTCTTTGCGTGTCTTGCTAACAAATGGCTATCCCTAGATCAGTCCCAATGTAGTCATTAGTTAGATTTATTGCAAACATTATCCAACTGTTCTATAATATAGCATGAATCTTAGCAAGAAAATCACATTTCTTTGCCTTATTTTCTGAATATTTCACTTTCTTTTTCAGTCTTAAATCTGAAACACCACTTAGTGTAAAATGTATTTCAAATATAATATTATTATTTTTTGATTTACATGTAATTGTGACAAAAATTATCCGTAATTTGAAAATTATCAGATTGAATAATATTTGTGGTAAGATTAGACTTTTGTAACCTCCTATATCCGAAAATCAATATCTTGGTTGCTGAGATGTCTTGAGTGATGTCTCAGGGGACACTACTGTATATGAATTGTGGAGTGACACACTTAGCTGTATAAACTGTGGTGTGATGGCCACTACAACATTGGCCATTCTGATACAAACCAGGATTGTCCAGAAACATATTTAATTAGCCATGGATGTTTCATTTATCCAATTTTACTCTGTCTTGGCCTCATTTCTTAAATGATGGAAAGAAGAGACAATCACAGCATTGATTTTTGATTTAAATAATATACATGTATATACAATACAATACAATACAATACAAGATTATAAATTACAAACATTACAGCATTGTTAAAACGCAGTCATCTCTATTGTTTCTACTCTATAAGTATTTTATATTATATTATATTGTCAATTTTTTTGAATAACTTAGACAGAAATATAAGATTCACATAAGTCAGCATTCAGATCATTTCTTTCAATTAAATTGTAATATTAATTACCCCCTTGGTAAACTTCATTACATCCCTGATTTGCAAAATTGAAACAAACCCCCGTGGCATTACACATCACAAACGTGGGTTGTTGAAATCATGTAGAATCATGATGTAAATCTCCAAGAATAGTCCTAGTTATCCCTTAGGGTTCTTTATCAATTTAAGTTGCCACTAGTCTCAAATGACAAATAATCTTTCATCGTGTATGGCCCAGAATCGATGCTGTCATGCCTTACAATTGAATCAATTCCAAGCCAGTAAACAAACTATCATCAACAATTCTAATATTTATCTAAATTCATGGTCCCTGTAGTTTAGAGTTCTTGATTTAATAGCATATTATTCAACAGGCCATGACAAGATAGCACAAATGTGGTTATTGACTGTTGGCAAGATGGTATGATATTAGAAAAGTTGATTAATTATTTGATGTTTTCTCATACTAATGGTCAAAGTCAACTGTTTCAAAGAGATGCTTTGTCTCATGAACATTCTAATGTAAATGTATGTATTCGCATCACCCCATTTCGAAAATATTAACCTATTTACAATTTTTAGGTTAAGTTGTAGGTTAACATTTGCTGTACTAGTTGCTTACATTTTAAAAAACTATTGTACAGTAAAACTTTCTTAAGTGGAACACATTTGGTATCTCTAAAAAGTGTTCCACTTGGGAGGTGTTCCACTTATCGAGGTTCATTTAACATTAAGTCAGTTGGTTTTGGGACTCTGAACAGTGCTCCACTTGCAGAGGTGTTTCTACTTAACAGGTTTCACTGTACATGTATTTCATGAAAATGCACATGTGATATATTAGACTATATGCATTATTCTATATCTATATATCCATTTGTTGTTATTTTCTAGGATGTGGACAATCTTATGAGTGAAGGTAACAAATCTCGTACAGTGGCTGCCACCAACATGAATAATGAATCCAGTCGCTCACATGCAGTATTTAACATCATCCTTACCCAAACTCTGGTTGATGCAGCCTCGGGGGTGAGTATAGGAGAGAACCATGAGTGGATATCATTATTATTTCATGGATAAAAATGATATCCCGAATGATTAGCTTTTTATGCACAGTACATGTATTGAGGTTCCACACATGCTTGTTTGAGTTAGTTGTCCTAGATGTTAAACATCGCATGGATAAATTCTGTTAAAAAAGGAGTCAACAGACTGTGAAAAAACAGGATATCCTGGTTGTGTATAGGTGCACTGTGACACTGATAAAGTAACCATGAATCGATGGGTTCTGTTTACTTATGCAAAATGAGTATCATTTAGAATGAGGCAAACTGCTATTTGAGCTTTGACAGGAGTGCACTCAGGCCATGTTGAAGATGTGTTGGATATTACAAGGAGGGATTAGGGAGCCATATACATAATGCGGCCAAACATTTTGAGCTTGATTGAATTTCACAATCTCATTAGCTTGGCTACATTGGATGTTGAGATATGGAGGGCAACAGGGAAATTAAAAAGTCCATGCCAGAAACAATTCAATCATTTGAAATAGCAACGGGACCACTGATTGTAAAATGTCAAGAATGAAGGCCAAAATTCATGTTCACGATCAGTATCTAATGAACAGTCTATCTGTATTCAGTGTATGCATCTGACAGCGCGGTTTCTACACATTAAGGTCTTCATTAGCAAGAGAGAGTACATACACTTTCTATGGCAATGAATAATACAACAATAATAGGCATACAGTACAGTCTGTTGTTTGCTCTCTTTGGGTGTTTACTACAGTCGACTGTTTGAACCAGCTAAGAAGATAGATGTGTCCTCAAATTAAGAATGACAAATTATACAATTTGTGTGTGCTAAGCAAAAAGAGAAATTAATTAAAAATCAGGATCTCTATCTTGAGAAATGAAATTGTGTCGTTTGATTGACATTGAAGTTATTCCTGTTCATAATCATGACTGATTACCTGTTATTATTAATGTACGTAGAAACCTAGAATACCAAGGATACTTTGAGACACTGAGAGAAGATCTTGCATAATATAATACAGACTGACATTTCTATACGCTCAGAAGTAATATACTGGGAAATCAACATCCTACAACTTCTATTAATTATTAGATTTGGATTTTTCTTTCCTATAGCTATGAATTAGATATGGCGTTTTTGTTTTGATATTGAAGTTGATTGAACAAATATGTTCATCGTAATACTGTAAAATTATATTATGTACAGTATATTGTTTTTGATTGTGAATTAAATGTTTTTATCTGCTATTATAAAATCATAATTGTTTATATATAAGGGGTGAAATGGACCTTATTCAGAAAATTATCAAAATTGTATTTTGACACATCAGAAACCCTTATACCATTATGTACATGATACTTGTACCCCAATCCTTTCATAAAATGCCTTATTAGGACTCATATTCTTTATTGTAATTACTGTACCTATAACAGCTTTATATAAATAATATTCAAATCAAGCTAACTACGTATTTGACATTTTCAGGCTTACCTAAGTAGTAAAATATTGGAAGATTTAATGGGTGATAAAAGCCTGGCTTAGCATATATCTTAGGTTACCATGGTAACCCTCTCTAAATCAATGGGGCGCTGATTCGCTGATGTCTCCGTATAAGAGATCTATTATTTCTATGATGGTACATGATAACTGATTTAAGCTTCAAAGTATCTGCCAATTGATGAAATAATTTCATAGGATATCGGAGGAATTGACTGATTAATTCAATAATATATACCATCGCTATTCACTCCTGAAATCTTCAGTTTATTTATACTTAGTTAGATTTCCAGGATGTTTATGACTTTATTTCGTGATGTTTTTTGCGAGATTGTTGTGAAGTCAACACTGCAGAAATCCAATCTCATTAACCTTCTATTAATCTGAAGATTCTACTTTTCATCTTATATTTTCACATTTCTTTCATATTGCGGTCAGTGGCCAATATAAAACGCTATAGAGCCTTTGAGTAAAGGGACTTATTATGTTGTTAGTTGATGTTTATGATTTCTTCAGAACAATAAGTTGATTCGAAGTTCACTGTCCTTGTCCTGTCTTGAACACCTGATGCTTTCTGCTATTGTTAGTTGAGTTAATGCTAATGTAAATGTATAATATAACCAGAAGATCCAAGCATTCTATTTCTTATCAAATCTTTCTGTTTCACAAGCAGCAACATCTCATGACAAGACTAAGAAGATTTGAAACAAACTTGAATCAACATGAAAAAATCACTGTAGTATTAATGGAAAATAAGGTTACATATATTTTGACTGAACTGATGTCTTATTGCCTTATAGAATACATAATTGTGTTAATGTAGAATAAAATTACTTTTTTATTGTTATTGTTATTTATTTATTCTATTTATATATAGTGATATTGATTTATTACAAAATTAGCTCCTCAAGCTTTATAGCACATAAATTGTGGAAAATTATGTATATCCATGAATGTTATCACAACTACATTATTACCCAGCCAGAATTAATCATAAAATGTAAGAATTCCATTTTATACTAGTATACTAAGGTATATTTCTGTATTAGCAAGACAGATATTTGGGAAAAAGCTATTATACTTATCAAATCCCACTAAAATCTTGAGCTATTTCCATTATTCTAATATAAACTCCAAACAAATTAAAGCCATTTTACGATAGATTGACATAACTATTGCCTTTTGGGTCTACGTTGTGAAATGATTTCATCGTCAAGTGACCAGAATTGCTATCAGCATGGAAACCGAATCTGTGCTTTATTTGCTAAACATAGGAATAGCAATTGCTATTGGGAAATCAAAGAAGTGTTTATGTTGGACTAATGAATAATGGAGATGTTTGATTGAAACTAGCCACTGATTGAAATATCACCATCTTGTTATATTATTTAACCATTGATGAGTGTAGTCTATTGTCATACTCATTTACCAGTTTGATTTTCATTATTATGGAAACTTCATACCTTGGTAATCCAAGATGTTCTATTGCTGCATTAGCCATGTTTTATTTATTCATTTTAAAAACACATAAAAACATTTGAGAATAAGTGTTATTGTGCTATTGCTGTGTAACTCCGTCCATATTGCTAAGAGAAAACGGGGAAGTAAGGAGGCTAAATGCAAGAATAAAAAAACCTGTCTAATCCGTAATGAATGTCTTATCTGAGGACCACTCAGACCAGCCTAAAGTCTTCAGATTGGCAAGTGTTAAAAATGGTACTGAAAAATTTGTTCAGTAAGAGAGGGTTCAGTTATACAGTTTTTTGTATATATGGGTTTCCTTGGACACATTCTTGTATTTCAGTTTAACATACATTTAACAATGCTATTGATGAGTGTACTTGATCTAGAACTGACCCTATAACAATGTGTCATTAGATCAGTGTCATCCCAATTATAGACATTACATTTGAAGTACTCTGATAAACTGACAGTGACATAAGAATAGCTTTTTCCCATCTTCAGAAAAATAATGCGATTTCAAAATCCTTATAACTTGGATGCTTTTATTTTTATCCCATCGAACGAAGTTCGGAGGGATATAAGGAACGCCTCCGTCCGTCCGTCCGTCCGTCCCTACGTACGTCCGTCCGTCCGTCCGTCCGTCCGTCCGTCCGTCCGTCCGGGCAATAACTCAAATACCGTTGGCCCGATTTTATTCATATTTTGTACACATATACCCTATGGGGGTAGAAGTTCTGCTCGAAAGCCGATTTTCAAAATGGCCGCTCATTTAAAAATGGCGGCCGTTTTAGTGCCGATTTTACAGTAATTTAGGTGCAATATGTAAAACTGCAATAGCAATATGTTTTAAATGTAAAAAAAATTATATAGGACATTAATAAAGCTAGAAATGTAGATATTAAAAAAGCACATGGCAGCCATCTTGAAAAATGGCGGCCTTTACTCGTTATTTTACGATTTTTGCTGTAACTCGAAAAGTAGTGGAGCGATTTTGTTCATATTTGGTATGTGAATACGTATAAGCATGGCACACTGTCTAATGACACTTTTGGTAGAGGGCGGTCATTTTTCAAAATGGCCGCCATTTTAACGTATTTTACTATAACTCGAAAAGTAGTGGAGCGATTCTGTTCATATTTGGTATGTGAATACTATAAGCATGGCACACTGTCTAATGAGACTTTTGGTAGAAGGCGGCCATTTTTCATAGTGGCCACCATTTTAACGTATTTTACTATAACTCGAAAAGTAGTGGAGCGATTTTGTTCATATTCGGTATGTGAATACTGTAAGCATGGCACACTGTCTAATGAGACTTTTGGTAGAAGGCTGCCATTTTGAAAAATGGCGGACATTTTGAAAAATGGCTGCCATTTTAACTTATTTTACTATAACTCGAAAAGTAGTGGAGCGATTTTTTCATATTTGGTACGTGAATACGTATAAGCATGGCACACTGTCTAATGACACTTTTGGTAGAAGGCAGCCATTTTTCAAAATGTCCACCATTTTAACGTATTTTACTATAACTTGAAAAGTAGTGGAGCGATTCTGTTCATATTTGGTATGTGAATACTATAAGCATGGCACACTGTCTAATGAGACTTTTGGTAGAAGGCGGCCATTTTTCAAAATGGCCACCATTTTAACGTATTTTACTATAACTCGAAAAGTAGTAGAGCGATTTTGTTCATATTTGGTATGTGAATATTATAAGCATGGCACACTGTCTAATGGCACTTTTGGTAGAAGGTGCCCCTTTTGAAAAATGTTCGATGGGATTCGCTATGCTTTGGCGTTGCCGTTGTTCTGGTTATGTTTTAGCCCATTTTAGAATATCCTGTAACCATTTTACAAGTACATATAGTTATTCAACATCAGACAACATTTTGAGGGAAAGTAGGCACTAAGACAAAGAAATATTCCAAGGCATATTCTAAGCTGAGAAAGCTGGGTAAGCAGACCCATTGATAGTCAATATGGGGAAATGGTATAGTTGATAATCTTTCCTCATAGAGACGTCTTTCTGTACCTTTGACATTAATTATATTTGAAATAGCTGTTATAAATTATCTCAGGTTGTAGACCTGCTTCTAGTGTCATTGACTGAGTCTAGTTTTGCGCCCTCTTCTTACTTGACTTTGACATATTAGATTCAATAGAATCTAAGGCTATAGAATGCCATCATTTCTAGCATGAGGTAAAGTAATTTCCAAGCTTGCTTATTCAGTTCTTGTATTCTCGCCTCTTCAAAAGATATGATCTTGCAGTGATAAACCTTATAGCGATACTCTCTATAAATGAGATTTAATGGCGTATTGCAAAATGGCTCACTTGCTGGAATTAAAAGTGCTTTAGTAGAAAGCGCTTTACAAAATTGCCATTCTAATTCCACCAACATTTCAAAAGTTCCAGTGATATGAACTTACTTTCAATTTTTGGGATGTAATTCGATGACCCATTGCATTTTTTGGGTCCCATCGAATCATTTCTTGTATTTTTGCGGTGGCCCAAATGTGTAGCATTCGAATGATAAAAACCTGTGTAAGGCGTTTTTCAAAAACCGATCAGTAATTCACTACACTCCTAAAGTGGCTAACGATTTAAGGATTTTTAGTGACTAGGGATCAAGGAGTTTTGGAAAAGCACTTTTGTAAAACCACAATTGTGATTACACCTATTTTTCAAAACGGGTTAAAGGGTGACGCATATCGTTTAGCAAATCGAACGCTCGTTTCTAGTGTTGCTCACCGTTTAGTATAAAAGGCCCGATCCCGGAATAATACTCAAGGGTTCATAGGCTCGAGGTCGTTGTGTCAACACCTCTAACTGTTATATAGCATAAGTATATTATAGATCGTCACATATTTATAAAACGGTGATTTTTATTTTGACAAATCAATTCCACATTTTTGGGTGAAGTTTCAGGATCTTCTATTTGTGTATAATAAGGAAAAATTGACATCTAAATTTCCCCATAACGTAATAGCACACAGCTTGGTATATGAAATATCCTACAAATGAAACAAAGCAGTTCTAATACAAGGATTTATATTGGCTGTTGTAAATATTCTTTGAACGCAATCACTCTATGGATAATGTTTTCAAAATCATTATAAACGGATTACTTTATCTCAAAGACAATTTCAATAAACTGGATTTTACAGAACTCCCCTTATTTCTTAAAAATGGACTGATCCAGTCGATTCGCCTGGAGCCGCCATATTGTTTTTATACGGGATGCTTATCGGAACCCTTTAAAACCTTAGGTGCCTTTCTAAAATGCATTGTGTAATTCCAGTAACTGTAATTATACTCATTGTAAGAGTACTTTACTGTATTTAGCTATCCTTTTCATCTGTTGCTAACCTGGATGTTTGTATCAGTGTCATGATTGATTTTAAAATCACGGAGTTTTTATATTTTGATAGCTAATATCTCTCTGAGTTACGTGACGGAACAAAAGATACAATAGAAGGGAAATGAGAAATTCTGAAATGAAGCCTATTGAGCTGAATAAATGAAGATTGAATACCAATTCTTTTCTAACTGTTCTGTGTAGAATGATTAATAAAAACCAATGCACAATTTTCTTCGTTCATCAGTCTCAATTATTTGATAGAGAATGATGCTGAAAATGTAACTGTATAATTACAAACCTCATGATTAGATGAAATTAAGGTTTTATATAACCATCATAAATGATACACTTAAATAATGTATAAAATATATATTTATGTATTATAATATCTAATGTTGGATTGTACATGTTGATTTAAAGGGATTCTGTATTCATTACACTATTGAGGGCTCTAGTCTAGTTAAAAAAACTGCAGACATACTTCAGTTTAAAGTTCAGAAATTTGCTTTAGACACATACATGTATTGATATAAAAGGGCCACCTTTCACTGTCAGTAGTTATAGACCTTACATCTAGCTCATTAATATCATTGATGAACTGAGAAAATCTTATCCATTTTCCTTCGTGCAGACCTGGCCCTGTCAGCATTAATCAAGGCATTCATACTGTCTATGCTCATCCTATCATCTTGAAGTGCCTCTTCCACGGGAGTTATACTTGTCTTCTTAACATATTTCACTTGGTCCCGTTGTCCAGATCCTGGGGCAACCTTTATTTTGTTGATATAATGCTTTCTCAACAGGATTATCACAATAATTGATGATATTAAGATCACAATTGCAACCACTGTTGGGATTATCCACATCATGCCGTCTGCTTGTGGGTTCTGGTTTTGCTCACCAGGTGGAGTTGTTGTATGTGATGATATAGTCTGATGTATGGTTGTAGATTGTAATGCTATTGAAGAGGAATATGGCAAATAGGTAGTATAACTCAAAGTGCTATTGAAAGATGGTGTTACTGATCCATTACAAGCTTTATCCAAATGTCTTGTTGCATTATGTAGAGGCATGTTACGAAATAAAGATGGCGTACTACATGATGGATCAGGTAAGTATTCTCTATACTTATAACGTTGGTAGTTCAATCCTGCATCTATTACAAATTGTCCAAGCCATTTGGTTGAGCAGTCACAATGCCAGGGGTTGTTTGTTATAATTGTACTGGCAGTACGGGCCATGAACTCATTCATATCACTGGGCAGCATGGGCAGTTTGTTTGCTGCAAATACAGATAAATATAAAATGATTTAGATATATTGGATTATGTTATGAATGTCTTTTTATGTAAAGTCTAGAGGATAAGACAAATGTATCTGTCAGTAGGATAAATGTTTAGACATGGTAGAGAGATAAATTCAGCTTTGTCTTCAAATATTTGAATTGCCTTTGCTTTGTTTACTATATACTTTTGTAATGTATGTTATGATGTCATATGAATCCAGTCTGAACATGAATCTTTTTTCTAAATAACATCATATTACTATGGCGACAAATGCATATCAACAATATTCATATACAGACTAATTGAATTCTTATTACAAATGGCCAATTGCATGTTAAGTTCAAAATTTTTGATTTGTTATGTGTTCATTTGATGTCGTCGACAAACAAAGAAATGTGACGTAAAAGCAATGATTGATTTATTGAGCTCCTCTAGGTTTGCACTCTTACAAGGGCGGGGTGAAGTATTGGAGCATGCTGAATGGTCAATATTTACAGAGCTATTCATTCATACTGTCTGTCAAAGAGATTTATTGTTGTTATATTTAATCACAAAGTATGATCACAGTATGATTGAATTTCTGTTATCCTCTGTATTTATACTATGTGCAAGGCTCTTATCTTCACATTCATTAATTAAGTTGCGTTTTATTAACAATGACACAGACAAGATAGCATTATCTTACATTAACTATCTGACATGTACTGTACTCTATTACTGTAATGAGAATATCCAAAGGGTTGAAAGTTGAAACATAAACTGGAGAGCCCTGATATACAAAATAAATTTGTAAAATGATTTAGAAGAAAAATGAAAAAATGACAGCTTAGCTGACAGATTTTTTAATAAGATTCACAGATAAACTCAGTTTGCAAGGGAGGGAGCATTGCAGGAGTATCTTCTGTTGAAGAGAAATGTTTTCATGTGATGGAATTCTTATATAACTACTTAATGTGTTATTGGTTTTCCAATAGTATTTACAATGTATTTTTGGTTTCATTTGTAGTAGGATTTCAGAATTTCAGAATAAATGGTTCTGAAATTCTTCTGTCTTGGAACCAGAGTTTAGGGATTCTGTAAACAAAATTTTGAAGCTTATGACAAATTCAGAATTAACAATTTTTGAAACTACATATTTAGATAGATGTAGTTTAAACTTCAAATTTGATATCACTTTAATTATTTTGATTATGCCAATGTATAAACATAAAAAATCAAGGTTGTTTCATCTGACGTTCAGGTCAGTGTTACCTGAGATAAATGTCAAACAAGAGTAAAAAACAAAAAAACTGAACAAAAAGCTTAGAATATTCATGATGTTTTGATCAATTTTTTGCTGTTAATTGATTTTTAACATAAATGTTTCAGGCTTTAAGGTTGACACTAGGGGTCCCGCGATTCATCGATATATCGATGCATCGGCTCGTTTGGTGACGATACGAGCGTATCGATACGAAGACTCAAATATCGATACACCAAAAATATTATTAACATACCTGAAATCTTATATCTTTTGTTTGGTTTCTCGCTGGACATGACACGCCCAAAATGGTGTATAAATGCGAACAGAATGCTTAGCGGATTGACAGTCAAAATGCGAAGAAATTACTCGTGTCTTGATCAACGTACTTTGTTTATAATTATTCTATATACTTTTTGACAATTTAGTATGAATAAATATAATCTTTGAACTTTTTATTCGATAGAACGCTGCGTTAAAAATTGCCTACTAATATTGATAACTCTAATAAAAAACCGAACAATATTTACGTTCGGAGACGAGTATTAATGTTGACCGGAGTTTAGAAATTGAAACTTTTTGAAAGTTTTGAAAACAATTGATAGAATTATGGTCGTGTAAATATCAAACTTGAGTAGTTGTGATATCCTAATACGGCCCCTAATAGAAAATTTACTGTAGTACTTTGTAACATTCCTCAGTAAAGGGAAAGCACAGCCGGACTTCAAAAAATATTGCAAAATATGCATAGCTGGCTACTATTCAGCAGGTAGGCTTGATACTTGACAATAGTTTTTATGCTGCATCTTAATCAAATGTCACAGCAAGTGATAGACTTTCAACTCGACCTCAGCTTCGTCAGTTTTGCACCCCCCCCCCTCCCCCGGTTCAACTACACTATTATATATCGTATCGTTGCTCGTATCGTGACCTGAGTATCGAGATACGTATCGTATCGTTTCATAATGTATCGTGGGACCCCTAGTTGACACATATTGATACTAAAAAGTTGGTTTACCAGACTCTCTTTTAATTGTCACTTGTGTTGGAAAGTTTAAGACAAAGAGGGTGTGGGTATAGCAGTGATGAAAAACCTTCTCCGCTGAATATGTTTTTTATTGGACTATCAGTAGCCTGCTTCAATGAATATAAATGTAATGTTTAAATATGTTTTTGCTTCTTTTTTTTCTTTTTTTTCTTTTTTTTTCTTTTATTCTTTTTTTTTATCAAAGTGCTTAATTGTTGACTTAACCCATCACTTACAATGGAACTTTTCATGCTCAAAGCTCAAGGAGAGAAGTTTCAGTTTTAGATACATACACAATGATGCTGTATATGTACATGTACTTGAATGACTAAAGCCTTCTCTTTGATATCTAGATGGACATGTCAGCAAATCTATACTTGCTTTGGGAATTCATTTGGGATCAGTTTTCAAATTTTAACTAATGCTTTTCGCATAGAATTTATTATTTCCTAAATCAAGTCACAACTCGTATTACCAGGTCAGAGTTATTATAATTAAAGTATATGAGTCTGCTAAATTCTTAATTGATATAAACTTCTTGAACATATTCTTACCAATCTGTTTCACATGGAATTTAATATTTCCAAAAGCAAAATCATATTTGGAGTTATTATGATTAAAGTACATGTATGGGTTAATCCATTTATTGATATATAAACGTCTTTTATGATTATGGAAAAACAACTTTACAACACGAAAAACGTGCATGTTCCAAATGTCAGAATTCTCAAATTTGTAAATCAATTAATCAATCAGGGAAATGCCTCAAGTCGCAGGTTTTTATTATTTTATTGACTCAATAGAGTAACTTGAACTTGTATAAGATCCTTGGAACACTTAATCCTGAAGCGTATTCAATTTTTTGTTTATTTTTTTTGTAAACTTTATTTACATGTACTTTATTTGAAGCATATTCATATTGATCTGTCTCTTCAACCCTTATCACATTACATAATTACAATTGCAGAAAAATGACGGATTCAATTAAGGATTTGAATCGGTTTTGCATGATATCACGCTTGGAAGCTGATTAATTTTTGGATTACAATTTTGAATTCTGGTATCTGCAGTTTAATACGCGTGTATATTTCTAATAGCAATTTATTCTTATGTTATACGCTTGTATATTTCTAATAGCAATTTATTCTTATGTTATATGCTTGTTTATTTCTAATAGCAATTTATTCTTATGTTGTTCTTATTTTGGACATTACATTATGCAACTTGGGTACAGAGATCTTTCTCCGTTTACCTTGTCTTAGATTCAACTCCAAAAGGTTCTTTATTTTCTCTCAATATTCATACTATTGATTGACAGATCCTTCTCTCCACTCCTTTTGTTGTTTTTCTCAAGAAACATGATACTATAGCAACATTGGTATTTACTCCAAGATCAATGTTATGTCATTGTGTATTTAATTTTTATATCAGACACAATTATTTGTTGTAATATCTTATTGTAATATCTTAATAAAACAATTATTTCAAATGTGTCAAAGCTGTTATAGACAAATACAAGAGTCGATAATAACGATTATTTTGATAGCTCTAATACAACGATCAAAACACCTGAGTAGGGGGTAACCTGTACCATACTTTACCTGTCACATCATATCCAGAAAATGTCAATGATCAGCTCAATAATCTTTGATTTTATTTTGTGATTTCAAAACAATTGCATTTGCTTATTTTTGTGGATATGAGAAAAATTGACCAGAGGATGTAATTTATTGATGTGGTTTTAGATGTCAGGAAATACCATTCAGAATTGGGATTGTATCATTGTTATTTACAAAATTCTCACACCATTCATGTATACTAGCTATTGATTTTTCTATTATTCCTTTGAACGAAACTATGTGATGTTAAACTCAATGGCTAATTTTGATACCAATACAACAATACACATGATAAATACAGTATGTCTATACTTTATCTAGGTATATATTGATTGATATAATCTTCTGTGTTTACTGTTATGTCATCTGATATTTTAATTGAAAATATGCATCAATATTTTGGATGTGTGTCTCTTAATATTTACCTACTTAAGTGATATATGAATGTTTGTTTAGTATTTTCAATTAGCAAATCAAATATTTTTATCCTGTCATCTTCGAGGTTTTCTGTCACTATGAGTTCGAACTCTAAGTGCTTTTTCTTGATGGTTATATTAATAAATGACATAAACTTTTCTGATTTATTTGATCCCTCTATATCTACCACTTACTGAGGCTCTGAAGGTAAACCAAAACCGCAATGAACTGTTTTTTTAGGGCCCAGTTGGTCCGTTTGTTTCCTAACTATACGGTTCGGTTTCTTAATGGTTATGGGCAAGACCATATGCAGGTTGTGTAAAGTTCTTATAATACATGAGAAAGGTATGCGTGAAAAAACAAATTTGTTAGATGAAGTGTTAGTTTGAGTTATCTGAATTTTTTCATTAAAGTGCAATAAGGACCGACTCCTCGAACTGAAATACAACCGAAAAGATAAAAACCATGAACCTCAATTGAGGAATTATGAAGCCGTTGGAGCCCTACCACTTACGTAGGAAAGTTCTGTCTTTTTTCTGGTACTCATTTTGGAAGAAAGTTGATAAATCCTGTCATCGCAATGGCAGGAAAAACTGCTCAATGGATTTTCATCTAATTTGTCTACATTCACATACATAGCCATACCATACAAAATATTTTTGAATATTTTTATAAAAACAGAAATAAAAAGTATTTGTTACTTACTATCTAGAATTAATAGCTCTATATGTGCATTACTGAATGCTCCTGGATATATCAGCTCCATGTTGTTATATGAAAGGTCAACACGGGTCATGGTCAGATTACTAAATGTCCCCTTGAAGATGACCTTTATATTGTTACCCGAGGCCATCACTTGATTCAGTGTTCCCGCAGCACTTTGAATGGCTTCAGCAGATAGTGTGTGTAAATTGTTATCTTGAAGAAATAATTTCTGAAGTGACGTAGCATTAAAAGCTTGATTTTCGATTCCATAGATTTTGTTGCGTTTCAGATCTAGGGAGCGTAACAAGGGTAGGTCACTGAATACATTGTTGGCTACTGCAAGGAGATTGTTATCAGGGAGGTCTATGCGGGATATAGCTTGGAGATTGCTAAATGCATATGGACCAATATGCTGGATGGAATTTTTTAAAAGATACAGAGATTTTAATGATGTCAGCCCTTCGAACATCCCTTCATAGATATTGGTCAGATCATTTCTTGATAAGTAGAGATACTCAAGTTTGTTTAATTCTAGGAAGCTTCCGGATTCTATCCATTTTATTCCGTTTCCAGTGAGGTATAAGTCAGTAAGTGATCCAAGTCCAATAAAATTACTGGCTTTCAGTTCCACTAGTGCATTCCCACTTATCTCTAAATGGAACGTTTGGGTTTGATACATAAATGCCCCTGGTTCTATAAACTGGATACCATAGCGCTGGATTGTTAGTCTTTGTAGTTCTGTTAAAGACCTGAATGTGTCATTATTGATACCACCCGTCTCTAGTTGTCCATCTTCCAGTGTCAGTTCGTGCAGTTCTAGAGGTAGGTCATTTAGACGTGATAACCCAGTGCATCTAGCTTTAGTTATAAACCCCTCCAAGTCACATACTGAACATTGCGGAGGACACTCGGTTGTCACAATAATACTCAAAGATGCAAAAATATGAAGACATATGAAAAGATACATTTTCTTTCTCAGTGTTATATTCATCTTTTGGGAGTGTTTCTATTTTTTTTTGATATTGACATCATATTTTATACTTGTCTTAAATGTAGTTAAAACTATGATTCTTGAGCCAATACAGATAACGATGAACTTAATCATCTATCAAGGCCTTTCCCGTTTTATTGTTTCTTAATTGTCAGGCTGCCAAGTACTCTTTTTATTCCACATCCTGTGGTACACAATCCGTAAGAGGATTAAGTATTGTTTTAACAGGCTACTCTCTTATCTTTCTCATAGAATGGCGAATAAAGATATCCTTATTAATTTTTTAGTTCTCTGCTTATTACTAGGTCAATTCTTACTGTAATCCCTGTTTTTAAACCTCCTTTTGTTTCTCCTGGTTGTTGCTAAGGTTACTTATTCTATTTTTCTCATTCTGTTTTTCACTTGAGGTTGCCACCTTTTTCTCTGTGATGTTTAATACTTTTAAATTGCAGTGGTGTTATTTTATAAATCACCCATTTCTTAATAGCAGTCTTACAAGTATTAGTCATTGTACAAACAATGGTGCCATTTCAATTGTTGTTCAGTGTCAAGAAAGATTGATCACTTAATTTAAGGAGTTACATTTTTATAACATTGGTACAATAGAGTTTGTTAACTTTTTTTCACTGTACACATACTGGTGGTGGTAATACATATGTATCAACATTTTAAGAATTTGATTGACATGCACTTTGTTTTAACAAGATTAATAAAGATAACTACATGCACTTTAACTTGAATTGTCTTCTTTTGTATACTCATTACACCATCGAACAAGGTTAGGGGCCGGGGAGTATAGTTTTGATAGACTTTGACCCCATTGTGGATATCATGACAAAATTATGGCAATAATTTTGTGAACTCACTACCACTAAGAAGTTTTTAAGTTGTCAATTATCTGTAACAATTGTTACACTTTTCCAGGTGGTGATATTTTGTCATGTTGATGCCTCGTTTAATATTAATCATAGGATTTGCATCATTTATGGTATATAATCAACATACCTCTGTCTGTTAGGACATACAGTAACATCTTTCTAATCTGAATGCTTCTGGGACTGGCCAAAAGTGTGTGTGTTCGCATTTCAGTCTTATTCTCACTACCACAAGTGGTGACATATTGTTATAGTCTCCAACCTTTTTGTGCATGGTGTTTACAGTTTACAAATGCCAAACACCTTTTACAGCATTTGGCAGTTTGTGTTTGGTGTTTGTAACAAAAGGCAGGTGGTGACATTTTGCATGTTAATGATTTGTTTGAATATTTGAGTTAATGAGAGATCACAATTTTGGGATCAAGAAAAAGTGTTCACATTGAGAGGTGTTCGCATGAAAGAGATGGTCGGATATACTGCTTTTTAATAATATCTGATATACATTTAATTACATGTATATTATATGAGGATTTTGCAAAGAATGATATAGAAGTGATTCATTCGTAAAGAGCTGTACACATTATTATTTTCATGTTAGCATAATGAGTCATCGATCTACTCTTTATCTATATAGAATGTCTATTGTTTCTTAAACTATACTCAATGCTTGTCTTAAGTGATGAGGTATTTTACATGTGTTATCGCAAAAGATTCTATGTCTTTACAAAGAGAATCTCTCCCAGGGGTAAAAACCATAATCTTTTCAATTGTTTGTTTTTGTACATGCAGCTTTTCATGCAGCTTTTCATTCTTCAGTTGCAGAACATATGTCTAGGGCCTGCCTAGTATATAATATGTTGCCAATTGTCTGCATATCATTTGGGATGTTGGAAGGGCCTGCCTGTAGTGCAGTTGTTATCGAGGCTCAACCTTACGCAAAGTATGTTGCCAAGGCTCTACCTTTTTGCAAAGTTTGTTGTGAAGGGGCTGCCTGTAGTGCAATATGTTGCCAAGGCTGTACATTTTGCAAAGTTTGTTGCCAAGGCTCTACCTTTTGCAAAGTATGTTGCCAAGGGGCTGCCTGTAGTGCAATATGTTGTCAAGGTTTTACCTTTTGCAAAGTATGTTGCCAAGGGCCTGCCTATTGAACAGTATGTTTTCAAGGGCATGTCTGTTTTATAGTTTGTTACTAAGGCAACAATTCAACCGGATTGAGGGATTAAATTGTAAATTGTGGAATTAAATCAATAATTATTTGGATTTGTTTCTCTCACTGCAATGGTCTGTTCATGCATTGTTCCTCAAAAATTAATCTCAAATGATTTTCATATCTTCATCTCTCATTACTTATCGCTTTGTGTTCATGTTTAATAGGCTTATTAGTTTTGATATTTGCAATTCAGTTTTATTTGGTTCTTATTTCTGGAGCCAAGGGGGAGGATTTTACATGTTTACATAAACTTTTATTATGCTGACTCATATCCCACGGGACAAAATTTGAATAAGGATACTGAGAAGCCATCAATTTGTCCTTCTGTCTGTTTCTTGCCACAAGAAGGGATGTCCAGTATGGCTGCTCAATTCAAAATTCCTGCCACTTTTTCATAAATATGTAATCTTAAATTTAATCAAATGCAAGTTGTCTGAAGAAGGAATTTTCACGAAAGATCCTGATATGAATTCAAAATAAGTCACAATTTCTCATAAAATGTAATTTCTAATACTTTAATGCCAGTTATTAGATTAGGGCCAAAAATATGATCTGATTCTATATTCAAAACATATTTGAAAAAGTTTGAAAATAATTTGGCAAATACTCAAGAAACTATATATTTATGATTATAATAATTTATTTTTCCAATAAGGTATGCTTCCTTTCAAGTTTGGCTATTATTGACGATTCTCAATATGGAACCTTTTTCTATATTGGGTTTAAGTTTTTCTGTATTTTCAGCAATTGTCTTCTATGAATTCTATTAAGAGTCCAATAGTATTGATTTAATGTAAGAGGTGCGTTAATTAACACATAGTGTGATTTCCATTTGAAGACTTATGAATAACTATTTGCCGATTCCATGAATCAATATAAGGGTGTTTGTACGAGATCACGCTGACTTTCATATCCCTCTTCTACGCTATTAGATTAATTAACTATTCAAGGTAGATGTGTCTTGAAGAAGGTGACAAAATTACAAGTAGAATTTGCTGTTAAGCAACCAATGCGTTCAATACCATAATATCTTGAAAATATCCTTGATGGGATATGTATAATACTTGGTAGTACAGTATTCATAATATGGAACATGGTTGTTATGGTCACACCCCTAAATAGAAGTTGTCAACAACTATACACTTTTGTAAAAGTTTCAGCAGAAATTTTCTCAAGATCTTAAAATGCCTCAACCACTTTTATGAAATATCACGTTTTGCCCAAAGTACAAAAGTACAACATTGATTTGTATACCATATTTTAGAAACAACATCCGGCAAAATCCTTACAGATTTTCAGATAAGCCGTTTGCTGTTGTTACTATTCAAGTGGTAGATGGGGTCCTCTTACTTTTGTTATCTGCACTTACCAGACAAACCACTCGACTGATTGATTTTAATTTGAAATTTTCAGGTATGTTTCTTGGTATGAAAAAGAACCAATAAGTTTTGGACATGCTTGGTCATTTTTATGGAAGCCATTTGACCCATGTTCACCCATGCTTTGTTCTACAGAAGTCCCGAAAAAGTACCTTAAAGGGGTATTCCTTGCCAGACCATCTCTCTCCTAATATGGTAGCTATAACCATATACATACTTTGCAAGTTTATCAAAAAACAGAAAAATGTTTTGAAATGGTCAATATTGATCACTTAAAAGTGTAGTGCTCAATTCCAGTAGGCTGCCATCTTTTAAAATTTCACTCGGGAAGTGATGTCATCGACTCTCAACTTTGCATATAACATTAGGAAAGGAGCTATTAGAATTACTAAACCAGCTGAAATTTTTTTCAATTTGGTCTATGATTAAAATCCTTTTGATGATCTCTTCTTTAGTTCTAAGTTGACAACTCCTGAAAATATTTTTACACAGAAGATAAGGGCTTCTTGTTTAGAAGTGATTTTGTACTTCTTTCCTATACTGTAATAGACAAGGTTATAACAGGTGAGAGTCGATGACATCACTTCCTGAAAGAAATCTGAAAAGATGGCAGCCTACTGGGAATGAGTACTACATTTTCAAATGATCAATATTGACCATATGAAAAAAAATTCCCGTGTTTTGCTAAATATGTAAAGTATATATATGATTGTAGCTACCATATCAGGAGAGAAATAGTCTGGCAAGGAATGTTCCTTTAACTTTTGCAGGTAGCTCTGTTATTTGGTAAACAATATTATTCATGATAAAATTCAAAATTTTCTTCCTTTAAAAGTACCCTCCCATGGTGCTATTTTATTTTATTGAAGCAATTTTCTATTTTTAGTCATAATTGTTAAATCACTAGTTCGTATGTATTCTGTTTCATTATCTGCGATTTAAAATTCTACGGCAAACATCACAGAAATGTCAAGTGATTTAGACTGAGCCCGTCTATAACCTCAAAGATACCGTGACATTAGGAAAACAAAGTATTTAAAATAAATCGTTACACAGAATAAAAGGTGATAGAAATATATAACAATGGTATTGCGACAGACTTCATGCTAAGTGTGATTAAAAAAGAACTGTAGTTCTTTATTCATCTTAATTGGGGAAAATGTATAATAGATACTTTAAATGTATAATGGATTTGTTTTAAAGTGAAATGCCGGTACTGAGTGAGTAACACAACTTTTGATATCAGCAGAATGCCTATAGGAATATTGATAATTTGATATACAGTAAAACCTGTGTAAGTAGAATACCTTTGTTCCTCTGAAAGGTGTTTCACTTTGGAGGTGTTCAACTTTCAGAGGTTCATATAACATTTTATCAATGTGTCATTGGACTCTGAAGTGTTCTTCTGAAGGAGATTTTCAACTTACAGAGGTGTTCTAATTGACAGTTTTCACTGTATCAATTAATTATACCTTACCTTTTATGATAAAATCACTAACGCCATAAGTTAAAACAATAATCAGCTGTAGGGCATACATGCTTCGTATAGACACGGAAACTATCTATTAACATCTATCCCTACACTCCGTTGAGACAGAAGTGAGAGGAAGAGAAACAACAACACCATTCTATAAGTAATAATAAAAGGGAGGACAACTCTTCTATTGTCAAGATCAATTACATTGATGTATCTGAATGACACGAGCAGTCATCAGGTAAATATTTAATCTTTATATCTATTTAGTATAATGTATAGTTTTTCTGAATTATTTTATTCATGTTTATATCAGCACTGCCTAAGTTACCATAGGCATTTTAAAAATTAGCAGTATTTTTCAAGAGGAATTCGGACATACTTAGTCCACATGGTTGAGTCAGTTACACGTGGGACTGTCTGTCAGTGCTCACAATGTACTAGTTGGCCCAATCATACTAATTGGCAAATTGTAAAATGTGAGTCCTAGTTGGTCTTGGTGAATTTTTATCCCATAGTTGAGTAATTAATATCATCTACGCATTTTTAGCCAAACTGTTTCATAGATGCAATTCAAATTTTCAGAACTGATAAGATTTGGAAATACTTGGGAAATTTTCACGTGGCCATTTTTGATTTTTTGTCCCATATTTTTATGTCTTTTCATTCATGATATTCTATTCAAGGGTGTATTATTATTTTGCAGCAAGACCCAGTACATTCATTCCAAGCTGCATTTTTTATCGGATGCTACAAAAAAATATTTTATAATATATGATATATTATGAATATTTATAATTTTGAACTCCATGACATGAATCAGATTTCTCAGTTTGACTTATTTGTCATTTTGTACATGGTAAAATAATATAACAATTTGTATTTACAGTTTGCAGCTTTTTGTGTTGCCACTTAGACAATAAAAAATCCACAAGTTCTTGTTGAAGAGTTAAATGGGATCTTCAATTTTATGTTGTCAAGCAAAATCGCATAAATGTCTTTTGAAGTAGTATTTTTAGTCGAAAACAGATAGTGTTAGAATATTTTTTATCTCACCACCACTAGTGGTGACATATTGTTCTGGTCTCCAACTACTTTTGGATGGTGTTCGGCAGTCAGCATTCAATATCTGTTACAAATGGCAGGTGGTGACATTTTGCATGTAAATGCCTTGTTAATGATTGTTATGTTAAAATGTTGGTGTTTTTGCTCTCTTCTGAGTTGACAGTGTCAGCAAAATAAGTAGGTATTGCAAGTTTGTTTTGACTATTATATATTCTGACATCTGATTGACTTTATTTTTGAGATTGTTCAACCCATGCTTTTGGTTATCATGAACAACTAATCAAAGTTTATTGAGACATCATATTTTTTGAAAATTTGGTGATTTTATTATTAAAAAAAATTCAGTTTCAATAAAATCTCAAAATTATGCCATATTGAACTACCATATGATGTTAAGAATATCATGGAATGTGACAAAAAGTGGGACTCATCTTTTTCCAGTATGATTTGTTAACAATTCACTGTGCATGCATATTGCACAGGGGTGGACATGGGCTCTTAAATATAGAATGTCTTAAAACAGCCACAGTTTCTTAAAAGTATATATTTGATCCACTTGATAGTTTTGATTCATATTTATAATATTGATATGTTATAGAGTAGAGACATTAAGAGGAAATATTTTGTTTCATGGAATTTGCCTCTCGGGGGGAGATCGTTGATTAATTAAAGGTGGGTGAATCATCAGCTGGGCTAGCTTTGCTTATTATCCCATCGAATTATGTCTCTAAATATGACAATTAGTAATTAGTCGCATGATTTGAACTTAATTGATTAAAAGCATATGATTTGAACCTTCTCTTTCCCATAGTCATGGGAGTTGTACATTCTGTTACTTTTAATTGATTTATAGACACAATATATGAGTTGTTGAGAACATATCCAAAATTTTTCAGAAAATGTGTTTAGTTAAAATTAAAATATTTCTCATTGATTGATTATAAGCCAAAGGCCTGTAATGCTAGTTTTAAAGTGACGTCTAGGAAAAATGATAAGCAAATAATGATCAAAAGTATCAGTTTCTGCTTCTGTCTGAACTGAGCGCCATATATTCCCAAGAGTCCTTTATTGACTTATTCATTCATATAGAAAACCTATAATAAATGCTGAAATATGGAATTATTTGCATTACGAATTTTCATGTTTGCATAATGATCTTTGTTAATGAATCCAATCAATAATCTGATTAGATATGTATTTGATTTCTGGTCATCCGTTGGAAAAGAATACCCCTTTATATAAAGAACGTGTCTTTCTATAGATTTTCCTAGTTTTATGAAGTGCTCCTATTAGAGAAAGTGTGAAATAATGTAGGCATGTTCAGGTGGTAAGTAGTTACATTAAAAACCTTCTGGCTATTTTTTAAACTACATTTTAGGTCTGGGTTTAATGGAATATGTTCCGGAGTTTTGAAATATCCACTTGAAAGAAGTTTCTCGAGGGCATGTCTTGATGAACGACACTTACCTATTAAACATCATCATCGGTTCTTTATTAATTATAATAGTTGCTCTGAATTTGATGTTTTATTATATTTTTAGAATGCTGATGAAGAAACCTGATACTGCAACTTATAAAACGAACTCTTATCCATCAAAGTATCGCCAATAGGACTTTTGATCGCCTTAGCAACAAGCATGGGAATGTAATAAATAATCAGTGTTTAAAACAAACTTTATTTAACATCAATATAGCGAGATTTCAGAAACAAGGTAGACCTAGTGAAGCAGATAATAAAAAGAAACAAATTCTATTGAATAAATCAAACACTGAATGGAAAGATGGATTAACAAATAGGGTGCTGAATAATAAATTTCCATCGTGCAATTCATTCAAATTAGCCGTGAATCTATTAAGTATAAATAATGAAATCGTAACAAAGGTTGGTGGCAATAGTGGAGGATTGAATGATTATCAGGAGACAATGGGGAATAAACACTCGGGGAAGGTTAGTTCAGAGGAGAGTTTACAGGAAATAAAAGCTTCTAACTTATATGTTACGAGGAGCTCAGAGAATGCACATAGTGATGAAGAAACTACTATGAATAACAATATGTCAACAAGATTAGAAGAGAACTTGAATGATGAAATAGACAATTTGGTTGTTACATCTCCTGATTTGAATGAAGATCAGCATGTGGAAGCAAGCAGAAATGTAAAGCTTACATATTTAACTAACAATGTTGCTGATGCTGTGTATTCTAATTCAAGGAGCATTTCTGAAGCATCATTTAAAACTGTTCAATTCGGGTCTGCACAGTCTTTAAAATTGGATAGACAAGATGAAAGCAAATTTGATGATCATAACAATTCACCTAAAACAAATAATTCGACCGATTCGGCCTACAACTCTTATGCAATTCAAAGTAAAAAAAATTCACCAACCGGATCGATCATTTATGCAAATCCAAGTTCATTGGATGGTGCGAAACAAGGAAGTAATGATTATATGCATAATACAGTGGTTGGAACAAAAGAAAAGATGGGGACTCCAATTAGGAAATCAAATGATTATTATAGGAGGCCTATTATAAATCCCTTACCAATAGAGTGCGACTCTGACAATTTATCATTAAAGAGTGATCTCTGTGGGTTACAGTCTTTCAATTCAATTAGCGTCAATGATGAAACAGCTGAGAATAATAGTAGTGCAATATTGCCACAAGTCCTGGGAAACAATGTGATTGATTGTCAATATGATGTTGATCAAACAGGATATTTACAATCGGATCATGCAGTAAGCACGAATCATAAAGTTGTTTGTGAAGGAACGGAGAGTTCACACTCTAACTGTGAGACCAATGAAAGTTCAAACATGGGGATTAATACTTCATCCAGTCGTGTTATGTCTCGACCACCAACTGGACAATCTGGAGCTATAGATATTGTTGAGGAACAAACTGTCTCTCCAAAGAAAAGACGGCTTAGTCTTAAAAGGAAAAATTCTCAGAGTAAACTTCACAATGAAAATAAACCCGAAGATAGGACTAATCTGTCGGATCCGGATATTTCGTTGGATAAAGAGCCTGATCATGATAGGGACAAACCATCAGTGAGCATTGAAGACTCTACAGCTAGTTTAAGAAGCAGAAGTAATTCATCTCCTCATGCAAAATATGCTTTATTAAGTTCCAACAGCTCACATGGTAGCTCCAGTAGAACACCAGTGACCCCATCTCAGGTCCAAGTAGATGATAATGCTGACAATAATGAGATTGAAAGCCTGATCAGTGAGGAATTGAATAAACCGACTAATGGCACAGAAACCAACAGTATGACTGAAAGTTATTCATCTGTGAATACTGTAGAGGAGCCACAGAAATTAGAAGACATGGATTTTCTTAGCTTATTGAGGCATTTAAGAAAAGACACAGCTCCATATGCTCCAAAGGACTATAAACCACCGATAGAACTTTGCAAGAAAAAGAAGAAAAAGAAAGTTGTTGTGTCAACTTAAACAAGTTTGAACTTTATTACGTTGTTGGGACGCTGTTGTACGCTGATTTGAAGAGTGCTGCATTGATCTATTGATTGTATATATCTATATATATCCTATTTTTATTATTTTGTGATGCAAAGAAGAAAAGATTAAAGATCTGATGCTGATTCATTTTAGAATAGTCAATACTGTTGGGGCATTGTGATTACATTTTCCAAAATTCAATTCATGTTTCATGTAAAATTGTTAATATGTTTTTTTTATTCAGAACAACAACTAACTATAGTGCTTTAAGTGATTTTTCTGCATGCAACATTCTTTTACAAAATTCAATATTAACTATGATATGTTAATGAGGAAATGACATTGATTTTATTTGTCTGTTATAAGTGTCATTGTTGTCCGCATTAAGTGAGGAAGTCGGCATAACAATAGAGTGTGGAATCCACCCATATGGCTATTTTACCCTTTATTATTTATATTGAATAAAACAGACGTGTCTTTATATTCTTCATTCACCAGTTTTCATTTTGGCAGTGATAGCCAACATGCAGCCATTGTGCATTTTTGATGAAATTTGAATATAGGCTTGAGCTATAATTAATTTGTTGCAATATATGTAAAAATGCACAATTTATCTAATTTAGAATTGATTTAAAAACAAAAATAAAATTTATTTTTGCATAATATGATAATATTGAAATGTTTGTTATCTTATGTTATTGATTAACATGTATACTTTTTATTATATACTCAGTGAAAATCCTGATTATATTTTGAATGTTGTCGTTATGATTTGTATAAAGGAAGAAAAATATCAAGAAAAACTTTGGTCATCAGACATTCAAATATGTTTGATAATTGTGATAGATCAGGGACTAATCAGGTACTAATATATAGTTAACTTTTTGATTTGGAAATCTTCCTTGATGCATGAAAACTGGAAAATGGGAATTATCTTTTTCTGATGACTCATAGAGTCAATAACATCGGAAAAACATTTTTCACCCTGTGGTAAAATTGTGTCTACATGAATCCCAAAAAATTCTATTAAACAATAAAATTGTCTGTTTATTAGTAATTACTTTTCCGAGGACATGCATCAAAGCCTTAGGAGTAAATCCATATGTTTTTTCTAGTTAGGGTACTCAAAAAATCTATTAACCATATAAACTAATGTAGTGTATGCTATTCGTCCCCAGGCTTTTTCTGAAAGCATTTTCATCCTCATCTTTCATTTAAATTGATATTTAGATCTATCTTATGAAATATAAGAAATGGAAAGATATGAGAAATATATTAACATGATGTTTATGTCACCTTAACAAGTGGTCACATATTGTTATAGTCTCCAACTCTTTTAGCAGTTTTCAGCGGATGGCATTTTGCATCAAATGGCAGGTGGTGATATTTTGCATATTAAAGCCGTGTTTGTTTCCTTTATTGTTATAAATTACTCTAAATAACCATCAGTAAAACCTGCACCTTAAATCCATTTTTAAGTTGTTGATCTTCCTAGGATATCTATCATGTAAGGGTATATCATGAAATGAAAAGGTAGAATGGGAAGATTAATTGTTGTATCATGATGACACTTTAATCCTCTATTCATTGTTTGGGCAAATTGAAGCCTATACAAGGAGTTCCACTGTTGATACGTATATGTTATCATAATCTTGATTGTATTTGAACCTAATTGTCAAATTTCTATCATTCCTACTTTTTAAGAGTGTCGAGTACATTCCTGATCATATGTCTCTCCCTTTCTACTCTTGATTACAAAGCAAAGTAGAAACCCTTGATATTTATTATCAAAGGGTTGGATAGCATAATAGAAAGGAGAAATGAATAATAGATGAAATACTGGTTGTTTATGTACCTAGGAAAATGTGTAGCAAACTGTCTAATGGATGGTATGTTTAATTATGCAAAGGGTTTTAACATGATGATAAAAGGTATTTTGAAAAGAACATAATCATAAAGAACCATTATTTGTTATATCACTAAGCTGTACCGAGACATGGAAAGACAAAATGTCAATTCAATGTATTGATAAGTATTACATCAATTGTGCTGTTATTCTTCTGTAATTACAATGGCATACCTATCCACAAAAAGAAAGCTTATGTCAATATAAAAAAGGAAATTTCATCAGGTTTTTAATTAATGAAGAAGTAGGAGTTATAAAAATAAAGTATACTCTTAGGATATTAGAGTACATGGTATCTTCTTTATATACAGTAAAACCTGTGTATATTGAACATTTCAATACAGAAAGGGTAATTTATACAAAAGTATGTGTGGAGGAAAGGTATCTACTAGAAACAGGTGTTCACTTATAAGAGAGGTGTTTATTAAAGTTTTACTGTATTTTCTCATGAAAAATCATGTGATAATTTGAAAGAAATCTGGGGTTTATTTCAATAAATCAAGAATTTTTTGGACTAAAAAATTGATAAGAATTTAAGACCAAGGGACAACATACATTGTAGGATGAAGATCATTGATTAACATCATAAAAAACTTATTGAACCATTTCCCAGGGCTCTTTTATTTTTCCATGAGAATTTCCTGATATGGTATCATCCACCTCATTCTTGATTTAGGTCCCCTTGTCTAACACTTGTGAGAGCCTCTGATTTATGAGACAAAATGCTTTTCTGGAGAGCTAAGATGAGTCAGCCAGTGCCAAGTGTAATAAGTGCATTTTAGGGTATGCGAGGGATGAAGAAATTATTGCATATGAAAAATACCTGCTAATTTTTCCTCTTGTAGACTTGTAAATTAAATAGAAGACCTTGTTTTGGTGACTCCTGATTTTTTTAATAGTAATGACTTTATTACTGTTTATAATAGTGTATAGTTTTTCTTTTCTTTTTTTTGACTGTAGTTTAAAAATCACAAATTCAGATTTCTGGGTCAGAAAGTACAATCACATAACCTTTCAGCTGCCAGGTGTGAGATGTCCCACTCTCAAATTTTTCCGCAATATTGGTGAAATTAAACTTTTCAAATCACGGCTGCTTTGACTTGTTACACCAATTGATATGATAGTGTTCTCAATGAAAATATGTGTTTTAGAAGGCAAGACATTGAAATGGTCCTGTGACAAAGAGTGCACATCATATCTCACAAAAACATGCGTCCTATTGGCAGAAAAAGCTAGAAACAGTAAATGTCCCCAAAGCAACCATTACTTACTTAAGGTTCATTGTGCTCAAGAAATCTCTTTTTTGAACATCGACAAGTACTGATAATCAATAAGAAAATCATTTATATAATTTGGTAATAAGCATACCAAATGTTCCTATTGAAGAAAATGGCTATAATATTGTAGATAACCTGATTTAGACAATTCTTGACAAAACAGACATGGTGTATATGCGTGATATTTTGTTAGGTTGGATTGATTTGTATTCCTGTAACTAGGTTATGAAACATTTTCAATCTATAACCAATAATAACACTGTGCACGATAAGAATTATTGGTATTTATAGTATTTGAGGGGATGTATTAAAGTTAAAGTTTGAGTTTTCCTGAACAAACATATATGTTGAGCTATATTATTAGCTTTTACCCTAATGACACCAGATAGTAGTGAAACAAAATATTTTAAGATATCCTATTCTGTGGTATAAAATAAAGTTTGAAGACATGTGTTATTTCCTTACCTTTTTATGTCCCCACCACATAGTGTGGGGCCATATTGTCGGCCTAGGCGCGTCCGTCCGTCCGTCTGTCTGTCCGTCTGTCTGTCCGTCTGTCTGTCCGTCTGTCCGTACGTCCGGCAGTTTTCTCCAAAACCGCTACAGATATCACCTTCAAATTTTCAGGGATAACTTATGAGTGCATACAGATGTGGATGAAAAAAGATTATCACGATACCTACTTCCTGTCGGCCATTTTGAAGTCAAATGCTAAAATCCTTGTCTGCAAGCTTTAAGAAAAACGGCTTCACAGTTGCTTTTAAAACTTTAACATCTTGTTCAGCTCACTTCATTCTAGATCTGATTAGGTTTTGGACCTGTTAGCTCAGTCATGTCAGCCATTTTGAATGTTTTAAGAAAAGTGAGCGCGCGATAATACTTTGTATCATATTGAATGGTGTTTTTCAGTTTTCATACTTTAACTATTTAGTAGCTTTATAAATAATTTCAGGTGTACTTTGTTGTAATAGCCTATGTTATTGTTAACAGTAGTTATATGTGATAATTTTGTAAGAAGAAATCAGCAAAAACTCATCATCACTTTTTTATTGTCGGCCATTTTGGATTTTTCTGTCCTAAAATCTTGTCTGTAAAGTCTTGTCTACGCATTTCCAGGTGAACCGTTTGGTAGATCAATTTCTAATTTTCAGGGATGATTCTTAGTATGAAAATCTAGATCTGATTAGTTTTCGGGCATTCTGGGTAAATGTCAAGGCAGCCATTTTGGATTTTTCCGTCCTAAAATCTTGTCTGTAAAGTCTTATCTACGCATTTACAGGTGAACCGTTTGGTAGATCAATTTCTAACTTTCAGGGATGATTCTTAGTATGAAAATCTAGATCTGATTAGTTTTCGGGCATTCTTGGTAAATGTCAAGGCAGCCATTTTGGATTTTCCGTCCAAAAATCTTGTCGTAAAGTCTTGTCTACGCATTTCCAGGTGAACCGTTTGGTAGATCAATTTCAAATTTTCAGGGATGATTCTTAGTATGGAAATCTAGATCTGATTAGTTTTCGGGCATTCTGGGTAATGTCAAGGCAGCCATTTTGGATTTTCCGTCCTAAAATCTTGTCTGTAAAGTCTTGTCTACGCATTTCAAGGTGAACCGTTTGGTAGATCAATTTCTAATTTTCAGGGATGGTTCTTAGTATGAAAATCTAGATCTGATTAGTGTTTTGGCATTCTTGGTAAATGTGAAGGCAGCCATTTTGGATTTTCCGTCCTAAAATCTTGTCTGTAAAGTCTTGTCTACGCATTTCCAGTTGAACCGTTTGGTAGATCAATTTCAAATTTTCAGGGATGATTCTTAGTATGAAAATCTACATCTGATTAGTTTTTGGGCATTCTGGGTAAATGTCAAGGCAGCCATTTTGGATTTTTCCGACCTAAAATCTTGTCTGTAGAGTCTTGTTTACGCATTTTTTTGTTTACTGTTGACGGATCAATTTCAAATTTTCAGGGTAGGTTCGTAGTATGAAAATCTAGAGCTGACTAATTTTCTGGCATTCTGGGTAAATTTTAAGGTGGCCATTTTGCATTTTCCATCCCAAAATTGTAACGATAAAGTCTTGACTACTCATTATCAGGATATCCATTTGACAGGATCACCCATTGGTGGGGACATATTGTACACGTTTGTGTTCTTGTTTAATTAAGCAACTGTGGATTGTCCTCTTTTAATAAACCTGGTAAGCCAATGCGAACTTCAGGAATTGCTGATACATGTATTTCAAGAAGAAAAAACATTCAAAATTGCTGCCTACCAAAAAGTGGTGACATATTGTTATGGTCTCCGTTTTCTTTTGATGGTTGTTGGTGGTTCGGGATCGGCGTCTGTAACAAATTCTTACAACTTCCAATAACTTAACAAATACTGTTTAGACTTACTTCAATTTTTTTCAAAATCATCTACAAGTTTTCAGAAGTTCAAATCTGACTTTATATTTAAGATTTGACCTTCAATGACCTTTCCAAAGTCAAAAAAGGTTAAAAAGGTATTTTTTCAACTTGCTTCAAATCGACCAAATTCAATTTTCAAAATCATAGACAAATTCTCAAAAGTTCAAATTTGGCCATAGATTTGACTTTCAATGGCATTCTCAAGGTCAAAAAATATTTTACCTTCAATGACCTTCTCAAGGCCAAAAAGATTTAATTTCATCTCTCTACAAATTTATCAATTTTCTTTCAAAATCATCTACAAGTTCTTAGAAGTTCAAATCTGACTTTAGATTTGAGATTTCACCTTCAATGACCTTCTCAGGGTAAAAAAAGGTATTTTTCAACTTGCTTAAAATTGACCAATTTATTCCAATTTATTTTTTCAAAATTATCTACAAGTTCTCAGAAATTCAAATCTTACTTAGATTGAACTAATAATATTGTGATCAACTAGGTGGTGACATTTTGTCATGTTAATGCCTTGTTTAATTTTCCTTTCTACTCCAAGTTAGAGCATTTTAGCTTATAATTCATTTCTGTTCCACATAACAAAACATGCACCAAAGGTGTTTCCAGAAAAAACTAAGGAAAAACACATTCATGTGTTTATTCTTTACTTTGTTGGACAGTTCTTCAGTCTATTCATGCACATTTTCTATACTTGTATTTGACCATTGCAAGGTCAGTATTTGACCATTACAATGTCAAATATACAGTAATGCAAGAGCATTGTTATGTAAGAATATTTAATATGAGATTGATGAAAACAATTATAAAGACTGTATTCAATACTTTCTTAGTGCTTTGAATAATTCAAAATTCTATAACCGTCAATTTTGTGGCATTGAAAATGCATTTTAGAGTATATTTTGTTGTGACTTTTTCAATAGTTCAGAGCATTATTAGACTTTAACCAGAGTCAAGGTTATACATGAATGATAAAGTATATACTAATCCATGAAGTAGGTATTGCTTTTTCTTTGTTGCAATGAGAAAGAAAAAGTAGTGGGCTTCTCCATGATAGACAAAACTGCTCCTAGCATATCTCAGGTATTATGATATATAGTACCTTTCATTACTTTCAAGGGTTTGAAGTTTATTAGTAAAAGTAATTCCTGTCTTTTGAGCCATAATTTCCTTCGAGTTATCAGGTTATTATGAGCTAGTTATGTAATGATAATAGGACCTAAATGGCAATTATGAATCGATGAAGAGTATAAAGGTTAATGTCCTGCGGAGACAAGAAACTAACTAATTGCGACTGATTGCAACTTACCTCCTATGTACTTTATCGGTCTTATAACAATAGAATAAAGACCAACAATGTATGGCACTGTGAATATACGTCACTGCTGATTTGATCTGTTCATTGTTAAGCCAAAACCTCCTCCATTGAACACTCTCGTAATAAAATAATAAATATTCCGTTAGAATTGAGGTTTATTTTCATATTAAAAATTTGCATTTTGTGGTGCCACACTGTCAAAGACATTCATACATCTCAAAAGACCTTTTTTTTTGAGATTCGACTGTAAATAATATTGGAATTTTTATACCCTACAAAACACAATCACAAATCAGGATCCCCTATTAGTGAAATTCAAAGAGGACCTTCAGAGGAATCTCTTAATTCATGATTATTATTTAAAAATAAAGACTATTAGGGACTCTAACCAATACAAAACATGGTCAGAACAAAATGTTGTAAATGTTTGTTAGAAGATGATCTGGTTTGGCAAGCTGTCTGGAACCTCATATGTATGTATTGTATATGTATGTATTGTGTGTGTATTTGTATTGTTAGTTCATTATTCTGACATTGAATACAATGGACAAAGTCTGATTATATAATATGTTACAATTTTGAATAGTTAATTAATTAAATGGATGCTTATATTAGATTAGTGCACAATTTGTTTATTTATTTATCCGTGAAAAGGTAATACTAAAGCCATATCCTTTATGAATAATATATCAATGTGTCTAATATTGTTCCAATATTTGTAGGTATCGGGTGAGAAAGTGAGTAAGCTGTCATTGGTTGACTTGGCTGGTAGCGAGCGTGCTCAGAAGACGGGGGCCATGGGGGACAGGCTCAAAGAGGGCAGTAACATCAATAAGTAAGTAGTTGACCAGAAAATGACTACAATAACTCTATCATAGAATGTTCCTAACACCCCAGTCACATTTGTCGCACGGAGTCCGTGCGTCGACTGCAGATCAATTAAATCAGTGAATTTCTGCGGCGAGCGTAGAAAAACTACGCTCGCCAAATTGCGGTCTTTTTTTATTTTATAAATTGTCCTGATGTGAATAAAATGAAAATAAGTATTGTTTATCAACAGAAATTTAAAATTTGCCGTGCGGCCGCCGTGGGAAATGTGACTGCAAAAGTATGAGAGCGCAGAAATTCTACGGCGAGCGTTCTTATGAGTCAATAAATAAATTGATATCCAATATCTTTTAGATGATTATATGATGAACACATTACAAAGCTTTTTGACAAGCTAAGATTACCTCATACTACTCAAAGTCCTTCTAATATAGATGATTGCATTGACTAATCTGGCTATTTACCTTAAGCTTCTATATTGTAGGCTTGACTGACTGACGCCGGATATTCAGAACTTATTTTACTCGAGCCTACTTAGAGTAAAAGCCTCTGATTATTTGGAATTTCTTCAGAATGTCTTCTAACCATTGATGACATTGATTTCTTGTATTTCTTTTGGTTATAAAAGATTCCTGCCAGAAGAAATCTTTAAAAAGAATTCTTTTCAAGGTCACATGGTACTTTTTATTCATCAATAAACTTGTCGAGGTGAATAACATTAAGCTTGTCAAGTATCAGAATACAACAAAGCGGGGGTTATCATTCAGCTATTATGGTGTAGCACATCGTCATGGAGACACTTTACTATGTTGTATGGGGAAAATGATCAAACTATAATGCTAGGATTATATTAACTGGTTATTCAGAGAATAATCTATTGGAATCCCATGGCTTAAAAGGGTATTGAGCCTCCAATACCTAGATTTGATTTTATTGTTCCCGATGAAATGAATGATTACTGAGTGATATAAAGTACATAGAATATAAGTTCAAAATATAATGTATGATTATTGCATCCAACCAACAAAGCTGTTAATAAAAAACTGATAGCGATATGTAGTAATTGGTAGAAATATTTATATTGTCCTTGTAAGCTTGTCAGCATATTAACTTTCATTTGACAGATAAAAGTCAACCAACATCATTAATCATTATTCAAGAATTTATCTTTACATCATGCAAATTTATATGTGGCTCTATTCAGTCTGTAATTGAATGATGCATGCCATTTTATGTAGCTTTATTCATACATGTATTCAAAATGTGTTTTTGGCTGCCTTAAATGTCTCTCTTATTTATCTTCTCTTTTCATGGATATTCCATTGTTTCATTTACCGGATTGTTTAGCCCTCTAGAAATAAATTATTCTTTTGGAGCTTTTCTAGAGCATATACAGCTATCTCCAATAGTACCACAGTACTGTACAGCAGCGTAAAATATAGCACTGTATGGTACTGTAAACTAAAAATGTACCATATGGAACCATACTCGAACAGTGCCGTATAGCACCAAACTCTTAAATGTACCATATGATATCATGATTTGAGAGTGCGAATGGGATTTTAATCCATTATAATACAATCCACTCTAAAAATACACTGATATAGGGGATTTAAATTCACTTATCATTTTTACTTTTTTCCAGATCTTTGACAACATTAGGCTTGGTTATCTCAGCTCTTGCAGACAGTGCATCTGGGAAGAATAAGAATAAGTTTGTGCCATACAGAGATTCAGTTCTCACGTGGCTTTTAAAGGTATGTAAAATTTATGCCCTAGAAAGATTCTGTTATCATTTGGTTCATAAAGGTAGATATGTATTGATGTCACCTTTTTTCCGTAAAAGTGCTGAAGTTCACTCATTTATGTGATTTAACTTTTATAATCATTATTAGCAACTTGATCAACAGTTTTTCATGAGAAAATCAATTAGTGCAACTTTTTTTTCATAAAGAGATTTTATTGCCAATAATCATTAAAAGTACATGTCATACATAAGGGACCCAATCGCCAGTGGCATTATAGGTGACAATGTAGAAATTACAATTTGTAAACATGGTTTATACACAATTTTATATTAGAAGAAAAATAAAAAATAAAGCATCTGCATTTTAATTGGAGTGTGGGGGGGGGCTGCTGCCTATATTAGTGCAACTAAGTACTGCAAGTGAAGAAAATGTATTTGAGAATGTTTCTGTGAAATACAATCTTGAGATCTGAACCCTAGGCTGGATCCAGTAGTTGCTAAACCCATGAACAACAAGCATTGACATATTTCAACACCTTGCACAAGAAACACACAAAGATGTCACTACTAAATAGTGAATGATAAATGTGTTCTCACTTGTAACTGTTGTATCAGATACATTCCACCAATCAAACAATTCATCCTTCATCAATTTATATAGATGGAATCACCATACTGCCAGCGCAAACATCTTGTTAATCCTGATCAGTAATGTACAAATATTTTGCCAGACATATGGGAACATATAGATTTCTATAGAACTGGTTGGTGAAAATGATTAAGTGAACTAAATGCAGTTCATATATTCCCCAAATGGCTTAAAAATGTCCCATGTTTTTCCTCATTTATTCAAAACTAACAAATCTGGTTAGATGTTGGTGATAATAAGGACATCCTATTTGAAAGAATGCCCATGGTGATAGTCTTGATAATTTTGGAGCACTACAGATATGAATAAATGATGTTATTGATACTTTATGAGAATCTTTTCTTCTTGTTGACATTTTTTGAATGGGAAAGTCAAAACCAATCTAATGAAACTGAACAAGTCAAAAATACAAAATCAATCAACGTAATGATCAACATAAAACATTTGATAATTTACTCATTATATTGTAAACCAAAGGATTTTGCCCTTTTTAGAATGATGTTAATTGACTCAAATAATGATGTGTATAAAAGTATACCAGGACAACTATTGTCTTGAAATTGAGCCAAATATTTCTCCATGTCAAATAACGAAATTGCTCAATGCACGCAAGAATTGTTCACAAGAAACAATTCTACAGTTTGATATTTGATGTAACCTTGAGTCTTATATGTCATATATCACATAATCTTATCCAGACGGCTTCATCCAAGGAATAAATCAAGCAAAGAAACCAATTGTGCAAAATATTAATGATAATCCTTCAGCTTAACTTAGTGTAAACCTCAATTAATCTAGTTTATTCATGCCATATTTTCTAATCAGTGCCCAATGAAATATAGAGAATTGAAAAATATTGGGAAATTTTGGTAGTTGAATGATGTTTTGATATTTGGAAATGGCAAGTTGATTAAAGTTTTATCTTGTTCGATAAATTTCTGTTCTTTCAATCTCACGGTTGCACTGCGATCAGAACTAATAGAAATCTATTTGGGAATGTATAAATAAGTGAAGTTAAATTTTATTGATTGGAACAATGCTAGAATTGCTCGTGAAATATCTTGAAATAAATGTCGATGTCAAGTATATAGGAAAACTAACCAATTCACTGTAATGGAATTGAATGAAGTTTCCCATAGATAAATTGTATCAGTGGTTCTGCTATTGAACATGCATATCCTGACTGAATTAGATGTTCTCTCAGTTGGTTGAAACCATTGCTCGAGGATAGAAAATTGCAAGGATTTTGACAGATTTAATTTGAAGACATATACATGTGTTATTTGAATTGCGTTTTATACCAGCCTGAAATTTTACGTAATGGATTCCTAACCAGAATGTATTTGTCATCAGTAACAGTACAGTATCGGGAGAAAATAATAGACCTGGATCTAGCGTGACATGAAACTGGATTTACATCAACGCGATTGTATATATATATCGTGACGTGATGTGACGTGACGCAAGGATCATACTCTTTGATGACATTGTTCAAAATTCATTTTGAATTAACCCATTCATTTTTTCTTATATATAAATATAATTGACTCTAAATGCAGGAAATACTAATTTTGCCTTATTAATCAGCAGAGACATGCACATTGATTATATTGATATCAGCATTCACAGAGTTGACATCAGAAATATTCAAATATGACATCTATATCAAGGTTGACATTATTTATCATAATGATTGTGACATTTACTTCAGAAACAAGGTTGGTGTCCTTGAAATCAGGAAATAGCCATGCAGGAAATGTACATTCAACTAAACTATATTTTTTAACCTTTTAGTGGTTAATTATTTTTGTATTGGTTAAGTTAATTGCGAGCACATATGCGGGTGAATAAAGTTCATTTGAGAGAGATATTATGATAACATCAACTTCTGTGTTATAATTTAGAGATATAACTTTTTATCTTAATTAGTATCTAGTAAATCAGATGTTATGAATACAAATTGTGTTTGAAGAATCTTCATGGTTATAGTCATGGATTATTGTAGAAACAAATCAATGTTGCGACCTGCGAGAACCTTCGGCACAAGCAAATGAAAGATATGAAAAGTAACTCCTAGAGAAGAATTTGACATTGAATAATCTTTTTAACGTACAAATCAGATAAATAAAATACACCTTGATTTTATTGACTTATTCATATGCTAAATAAAGTGAATAAATGGCAGGGAAAAACAGGATGATTCGCGAATCTTGTATAGAATCTGACATCGAGTAGAATTTTCTGTTCAAAAGAGACAGTTTAGGGTGGGAGCTTTCCTTTGTAGGTGACAGTGGAAAAAATCAATGGGACAGAAGTTGACATTTTTGGATTAGTTGAACCACACAAAAATGTCAATTTTTTAAAATTATTATTTAGGATAACCTCGGTGGAAATAGTAAGACTGTTATGGTAGCAACTGTCTCACCGGCTTCAGATAATTATGAGGAATCTTTATCAACGCTACGCTACGCAGATCGTGCCAAACGTATCGAGAACCACGCAGTTGTTAATGAGGACCCGAATGCGAGGATCATACGAGAGTTACGCGAGGAGGTTGATGAATTGAGGAAACAATTAGATGAGGCTCAGGTGAGATATAACAAATTTGATCATCAACTTGGGAATCTTGTGTGAATGGAATAATTTCTCTTCAAACTCCGGTTAGAAATGAATTTGAGAATGACATACTATATCTGCTTTTATCACTAAGGAACTCTTGTTCCATCAGGTTTCAAAGAAATGTTTAAATGATTTAAAGGGAAATCAATGGAATGTAACCCGACCTCATTTATTTAACAAAAAGTTCTCATAATATGATTTACATCATATATAGATGGTTCTCATGTCAATTTTCAAATTGCTTCAAATGTACTGGCTTAAAGTTTGTGATTGTATTAGCAGTAATGGAGAAAGTGTATGTAGCATCTTGATGCTTATTGCTTTGGATTATGTCTGCATTTGACTGTTAAAAAGTATGATAATAATCATTTTTATTTCAAATTCATTAAATATTTATTCTTTATCAAAATCCAGATTTATGATTTTTCGGTGTATCCCATTATGCTATACATATTGTGCATGTTTAAAACATTGACCTGCTCAATTGTTTTTCCTCACTATGCCATTGCATGGCTGTATTTTAAATAACAATTCCAGTTCAAGCTTTCAGATATCATAGCTTTTGTATAATTTCAGAAATTATGTTTCCTGTTCAGTATTCAGTATTGCATATTTGTACTTTATATGTTAAGTGTGTTTGTATTTTTATTTATCCCCACTTAAGGTTAAAAAAGCAAATCAATCGTCAGATGGATCACAGGTAGTTGACGTTACATGTTGTCCCATTTTGCTTCTTTTCATCTATACACGACTGAGCAATGTAAAATTAACTTAAAATTGAGAGAGCGTATTCTTGTTAATTTTGCTTTGTGATTATCGTTTTGCCTACATTCCCACATAGAATTATTAAATTTTAGATTCTCAATCCCTGCATGAAGTCTTAATTATTTCCCTTGGATTAGTTGACTATATGAAAACTGACTGATTCTATTGCATTATTTTCTATAGTTTTATCCAGGATGTCATTTTCCTTTTTTCATTGATATCATTACTATTGTATTAAGTTCAGAGATTATATCGAAATATTACCATGCACGTTTATTATGCACAGCTTTGGTAGCAAATCAGTAATACACATCTCACTTTAAGATTCAGTTATCCTGTTTTTAGTTTCAAAATTCTGCTGTAGAAATGATATTTTCCAAAAATCCCCACTTTGTCTTTCATTTTGTTTACATGTTTTCTTGTTCATTTTTTACTGCACCCACATCTAGCTTAAGGCACTAGCCCCAAGAGAACACATGGAATTATATTTGCTGTGTGAAGTTTGGGCCAACTGAAGACCTGTATATTTCTGTATGCACCTCTGTTGTTTCTTGTTTTGTTTCTTGCTTTTGTATTTTGTTCGCTTTTTGTTCAAATTTTTTATCTAGTTTTTGGAATGACCATTATTACGAGTCTAGTTTCAAATATGAATGTTTGGATGCTTTTTAACACAAAAAATATTTAGTTTGCTGTTTTTACTTTTCATCATTGCACAATATTTTTTGTAATTTCATCAATAGTTAATAGTTCAATTAATTGCATGTACTACAGGTTAACTATATCCTTTGATGGTAGAGGATGTTTTAATTTAAATTTTAAGTAGCTGTTACATAATAATCTAGGAAAGAAAGTACAATGCCGTTTATTCTGTTGTTATTTTGTGACTAACATTATCAATTGTTTTTTCATGAATTCATTTCTATATAATATGTTCTTATTTACTTACGATGCTACAGTTTTATTTGTTCTATAAAGTTGCTTTGACACAATGTCGCATGTTGTTTTATATCCTGCAATGAGAATTATTTAACCCAGATCTTGATACAAACAAAGTCAACAACTCTTCCACAGATTGTATTTTATTTTGATATGCCCCCCGTGAAAAAATCTGCAAATCCATGAACTGTTAATACCTCTATTAAAAAGAGATTTTTGGTTCAATTCACCTGTATTTACCTGCGCTGATGTGAATTACAGAAGAACAAAATCGTAGAGAGTCCTAGTAGTGCAGCACAGGTTGAGGGAGATGGAGAAAACCTACAAGAAAAGCTTCAAGAGTCGGAGAAACTTATAGCAGATCTCAGTAAAACTTGGGAGCAGAAACTAAAAGAAACTGAACAGATTCATCAGGTAGAGAATGATTTTTACTTCCACATTTTCATATAAAATGGAATTTACTATTACTACTCTGTCTGTAGATAAAGCTGTTATACCCCATTAAAACTATTTTAGATATTCAACATGCATGTATGCAGCAGATTGTAGGTGAATCTTAACATATTTTAGCGTTACTGATATTATAAAGGCGTTTATCTGAATGAATAATGATAAATATTATAAGAGGCTGAACATTTCAACTTCTAAAAATCTGTTGTATGTTTTCTCATTTGCAATCTAATTAAACTCCAAAAATGGTACAATTGCAGTATGCTCTAAAATAAGTAAATTATGATAATTCCTAGTTCATTCTTCCTGTTTCATTTTTCAATATAACACCGGGTAATCTTACTGTTTGTGAATGTAATTCTATTTTTTATGTCACCACCAAAAGTGGTGACATATTGTTATGGTCTCCGTTTTTTTTTGCGACGGCGGTTGGCGTCCGGCGGTTGGTGGTTGGCGTCCGGCGGTTGGCGTCCGGCGTTTGGCGTCCGGGCGGTTGGCGTCTGTAACAATTTCTTACAACTTCCTATAACTTAACAAATACTGTTTAGACTGACTTCAATTTTTTTCTAAATCATCTACATGTTCTCAGAAGTTCAAATCTGACTTTAGATTTGACATTTGACCTTCAATGACCTTCTCAAGGTCAAAAAGGTCTTTTTTCAACTTGCTTCACATTGACTAAATTTTTTTTCAAAATCATCTACATGTTCTCAGAAATTCAAATCTGACTTTAGATTTGACATTTGACCTTCAAATCTGACTTTAGATTTGACATTTGACCTTCAATGACCTTCTCAAGGTCAAAAAAGGTCAAAAAGGTCTGTTTTCAACTTGCATCAAATTGACAAAATTTTTTTTTCAAAATCATCTACGTGTTCTCAGAAATTCAAATCTGACTTAAGATTTGACATTTGACCTTCGATGACCTTCTCAAGGTCAAAAAAGGTCAAAAAGGTCTGTTTTAAACTTGCTTCAAATTGACTAAAATTTTTTTTCAAAATCATCTACGTGTTCTCAGAAATTCAAATCTGACTTTAGATTTGACTTAAGATTTGACATTTGACCTTCAATGACCTTCTCAAAGTCAAAAAAGGTCAAAAAGGTCTTTTTTCAACTTGCTTCAAATTGACTAAATTTTTTTTTCAAAATCATCTACATGTTCTCAGAAATTCAAATCTGACTTTAGATTTGACATTTGACCTTCAATGACCTTCTCAAGGTCAAAAAAGGTCAAAAAGGTCTGTTTTCAACTTGCTTCAAATTGACTAAATTTTTTTTTCAAAATCATCTACGTGTTCTCAGAAATTCAAATCTGACTTAAGATTTGACTTAAGATTTGACATTTGACCTTCAATGACCTTCTCAAGGTCAAAAAAGGTCAAAAAGGTCTGTTTTCAACTTGCTTCAAATTGACTAAAAAAAATTTTCAAAATCATCTACGTGTTCTCAGAAATTCAAATCTGACTTTAGATTTGACTTAAGATTTGACATTTGACCTTCAATGACCTTCTCAAAGTCAAAAAAGGTCAAAAAGGTCTTTTTTCAACTTGCTTCAAATTGACAAAATTTTTTTTTCAAAATCATCTGCATGTTCTCAGAAATTTAAATCTGACTTAAGATTTGACATTTGACCTTCAATGACCTTCTCAATGTCAAAAAAGGTCAAAAAGGTATTTTTTTATCTTGCTTCAAATTGACTAAATTTTTTTTCAAAATCATCTACATGTTCTCAAAAATTCAAATATGACTTTAGATTTGACTTTAGATTTGACATTTGACCTTCAATGACCTTCTCAAGGTCAAAAAAGGTCAAAAAGGTCTTTTTTCAACTTGCTTCAAATTGACTAATTTTTTTTTTCAAAATCATCTACATGTTCTCAGAAATTCAAATCTGACTTTAGATTTGACATTTGACCTTAAATGACCTTCTCAAGGTCAAAAAAGGTAAAAAAGGTCTGTTTTCAACTTGCTTCAAATTGACTAAAAAAATTTTTCAAAATCATCTACGTGTTCTCAGAAATTCAAATCTGACTTTAGATTTGACTTAAGATTTGACATTTGACCTTTAATGACCTTCTCAAAGTCAAAAAAGGTCAAAAAGATCTTTTTTCAACTTGCTTCATATTGACTAAATTTTTTTTTCAAAATCATCTACATGTTCTCAGAAATTCAAATCTGACTTTAGATTTGACATTTGACCTTCAATGACCTTCTCAATGTCAAAAAAGGTCAAAAAGGTATTTTTTCATCTTACTTCAAATTGACTAAATTTTTTTTCAAAATCATCTACATGTTCTCAAAAATTCAAATATGACTTTAGATTTGACTTTAGATTTGACATTTGACCTTCAATGACCTTCTCAAGGTCAAAAAAGGTCAAAAAGGTCTGTTTTCAACTTGCTTCAAATTGACTAATTTTTTTTTTCAAAATCATCTACATGTTCTCAGAAATTCAAATCTGACTTTAGATTTGACATTTGACCTTTAATGACCTTCTCAAGGTCAAAAAAGGTCAAAAAGGTCTGTTTTCAACTTGCTTCAAATTGACCAAATTTTTCTTCAAAATCATCTACATCTTTTCAGAAGTTCAAATTTGACTTTACAAGTTCTCAGAAATTCAAATCTGACTTAAGTTTGAACTCATAATATTGTGAGCAACTAGGTGGTGACATTTTGTCATGTTAATGCCTTGTCTAATAAGAAGTTCCACATTCAGAATTTATCCTTTAGATTAGCTTATAAAACCAATAACTAATCAAGCTGAATCCATACTGTTTCAACTATTTCTGAAGACGTGGGGATCTAAAGCTACCTTTAATTATAACCACTCACGCTGAAGCATCTCTTGTCGATTAATAAAACATATTGTTAAGTGTGAGATCTCTAATAGGAGAGAAATAACTTTGAAGAAATTCTCAAAGAATATTATTAATTGTGGGAATCTCTAGATGTATTGCAGAGCAGAATTAAGGAAATGATATCTCTTTCTAATAATGCATCATTCTGTTATTTTTTTATTCTGGTTATAAAAAGATTTTATTTATTTAGCTTGATTAATTCCTGGTCTTGATTAAGGGATTGTCAATATCTCAACTGTATGTTAAGCATACCAACAACAGTGTTGAATTCAAAGAAACTGAAATCTTCAGGCTAACGTAATTTGAAAAAGCAAATACCTCGTTACCCTGAGTGCAGAAGTGAGTGCAGAAGCTATCTAAAGTAACTCTGAATAGTAAAGACCATTTTACAATTTAGCAGCCCCACTCCCTCTCCTGGTGGTTGTCACGGCTCGGGTCATAAATAAGTTCAAAAATCATGCTGAAATGTTCTTAACCAATCAGCAAGCAGAATGAAAGGTGCATAATAAAACTTAAATGTTGGTCAATACTGTGTAAACAATACTTTAGAGAAAATGACCATATATAGAAAATCATCCATCTGGTGATGACAAGCTCGATTGGCTCATGAGTTCAAAGGTTTCCCTTAAACTGAGAGTGAGACGAAACTATCTTTTAAAAAGCTAAGGAAATGAATGTGAATGGTAGGAGAACCTTGCTACTCTCAATTTAGAAAACATGCAGCATTCAGTTCATTTAATGAGGATGTTAGATACTAGTTTCTGCGGAACTTATGTATTTTCACGACACTAACTGGGAGATATATATCCTGGTCTATCAAGTCAGTACAAACAGCATGGTAACCTGGGGCATATATCCTAGGATAATTACACGCCCAATTAGCATCAAACACATCAGATCTAATCCTGCTGTTGCTGTCATATTAGGTGCCAATATTAATTTGTTTTGTTAAAGCAATGAGTTTTAGTTAACCACTCACTAACAACATCACCAACTACAATGTACTTAAAAATAAAATATTGAAATATTTCATACAAGATTTACATGACAAATATAATATGCAAATGTTATATTGTACATTCCTGGTAAGTCAAATCACCCATGTAATCGCATAAGTTAGGCTACAGCCTCATTAGAAGCCATATCACGTTGATTTCTTGCGCTTTGGCAGTAAAACTTCTTTCACATTAATCAAAAGTGAAAGGTTGGCATACGTTGAAAAAATCTGTAACTGTACTAACTTTATTTCATCTGTAACTCCTTACTTGTTGAGAATTGAGGTGTGTTCTTTACAACTTCTTTTATTGACTTGAACAATTTCATGTTAGATGCACATGTGTACAATGTAGTGATATTTAGAGTCCTTTTGATGATGAAGCTGAGAACTCAATTCTGTGGCATAATTCAGCTACATGCTTATTTTATCATACCTACCATCACCTTGGTGTCATATACAGTCAAAAGTGCTAAATATTATTTTTCAAAATCTGAGACATATAGTTTCATTTTTTCAGTAATTTAAACACTTTATGTATGCCATTTTGAAAGTTTCTGCTAAAGCTGTTAGCGTATCCTTATGCTGACCAGTAATTATTTAGTCATTTATTTCGATATACAACATGCTAATGACTTGAAATAAGAAGGAAACATGTTTTCAATTCAGAGATGTTGTTATAATCTCATTTAAAAAAGTCCAGAATTTGAGTTACCAAAACATGAGCTTAAATACCTTGGTTGCACATAGGTGTTTTTTTTATTAATGGCTCTGATGGGTGCTTTAAGCTCACTGCTAGCAATGCATCAATAAACAAACAGGTAGATTGCTATATCTGGTGCTGTCTAATTCCATCTAATAGATTGCTAATTGATAGCCCCAGTGAAAGGTTCTTCCTTCAAAATAAATAAAGTTCTATATTCAGGATCCTCTCTCCAATAACCAGGAATTTTTTGTTTGTTTATTATATTGAGTGGAAAGATAAAATGTAAGATCGAAAAGGTTACACATTTTCAATATCTAATTTTTTTATTTTTATTTTTGTCATTCTGCCCAAACCTGAATTATTTTTTGTGGTTTAAACAGCTGACTCGCTTGATGTCTTCAATGAAGTATATTATACCTAAATAATTTAAATATAATACTATATATAAAAACTAAATTTAGTCAGAGATAAATTAAACAGAAAATAAATATCAATGGGAACATGATAAATCAGATATCATCTTAATATATTTACAACTACTTTGAGAAAGTGCAATAAAAATTGTTTGTATCCCATTTCCATACCCCCAAATAAAAGTAACTTGCCTGTAGCTGAGTTGGCTGCTGTATTGCATTCAGTTGTTTAAATGTGTACTTTTGTGTCTTCCACAAGGTTCTTCTAATCCTTTTTAATTGAATTTTATTGAACTTGAACATGAACTTTACCTAAATAAAAGCAGATGATTAGATTACCCTGGAATTCAGGGTCTGGACAATGTTGAGTGATTAGAATAACAATTTATGTTTTTGTTGTTCTTGGTTATCAGGTCAGTCTTTATTTTACATTAAGATTTTGTGAACCCTTTGTAACTTTTTTTGATGGGTGTGTCTAAAGATTGATGCACTTTTTGAGTCCAGCATTTCCTTTTTTCAGAATTGGTTGTAATATTATTCCTAAAATTCTATATCTGATTGGATATCTCAATTTTTCAGATATGTTGTATTATAAAGAAAACATAGTCTAATAGGAATATATTTTGTAATGATCACATCTAAATTTTACTCTCTCTATTTTGAAAGAATTCATATGATATAAAATTTGGTATAACTGTTCAGCTTTGTGTATATCTTCAAGAATTTTTGAGAAATATACATTTCAAAGCAACAATTGATTACCTGATTGATTATATATAGAATAATACCTTCAGGATTTTATAAACACGTTTACATTGCGGCATGGTATTTAAGGCATACCATCCTTGATTTTTCCGACCTGAAAAATATCATACAAAGGAGAATTTATCATCAACACTGTTGTTTTTCAACAATAACACCAATGCTAATGTTGATATTGGGAATATATAATATTTTAGAATGTACGGGAAACCAGGCACTAATGTTTTTGAATATAGTCCGGTAATACTCAGACCTTGTGTCTATGTTCTATAACTTGTTACCTTTGAACAGGCATTTCCTATAGATTTACGCTTGTAATTAATACAATTCCAATAAGAGAACATGAATATTTGATGAGTCAGTTGGATGGTTCACTTAAGGGAAATATTTAAGTTGCTATCATTTACTTCACTGTTAAGATCATTTTAGAATATCTTTGAAAATTCTTAATTAATGGCTATCTGGATAGTGGCTTTACTGCTGATAAAAATTCAAATTGATTTTGATTAAAAACATAAATCATTTCTTTTATTGAGTCATATATTGCCAGCTATCAAAAATAAGCATAACCCTGTTTTGTGTGATATCAGGCTTTCTGTTAAGATTTGCAAGTCCGTGAATGGTGATCTTTTGTCGATTATCTACCTTTAGGCAGTTACATAGCAGAACCTCTTCTGTTAGTATACCTATAGTATACTCTAGATAAATTAGAGTGGATGTTATAGATTAAAAATATTGATGCAGAAAGTTATGAGCCTTGTTGTTATTGAATCTAGAAACTTGGGAATTGTGGAATTACATTGTGCTGGTAATATCATGCTACTGGAAACAATTAAATAAAGGATTTAGTAGATGTTCATGGGATTACGTATCTTAACTTGGGAAAACATGGAAGAAAACTTCATATAGTCAATATCATCGAATATTTCTATTATCAAGTAAAATATCTCAGGTTTCGTGATAAAAGTATTCATTCTTAACTCTTAAAAGTTATGAAAAAATGATCTCAAATTAGATGATATTTAGTAAAATACTTTATAAGTTTAACTCTGTGAAATTGAATTATGGCTGCTGCAAGAACCAAGAGAAGTTAATTTTCGAGTCATGGTCAATAGTAATAAGAAACAGATCTGTTATCAAAAGTATCAATCTCTGAGACATGATTCTACTAACATTCTGCGCTGGATAGATAACAAATAATTTTGTTTAAGATGAAGCTACTTTATTTTAAAATCTTCAATCAGTGTCATATTGGGTGATTTCAGGAGCGCCATGCCACTCTGGAGAAGATGGGGGTCTCTGTGCAGAAGTCGGGGATCAAAGTAGAACATGGAAAATATTTCCTCGTCAATCTGAATGCGGATCCATCCTTAAATGAATTATTAGTTTATTACTTAAAGGTAAGTTTTTATTATTATTATATCTTGAGTTTAAATATTTTATGAGACAGCACAAAGGGCAATGTTGAAAAAAATTGACAATTCACGATAAATCGTGTTGTTGTTGTATAATATTGATGCACATTATTCAGAGTGATTTTGAAACAGAATACAAAATAATAAAAGAGAGGCAAAGATGCCAGAAATGTTATTTCCAAAATGTTATCCCATGAGATATTGGATATCACTTATATGACATTGCTAAATGGAAAATCCATTAAATAAAAAAGGCAAAACAAAAAATGTAACAGTAATTAAATGTAGATCGTAAGTCAAACTAAACATTTACTTCAGTACATTTCACAAAAACCAGTTAAGTCTGAATATTATGCACCCCTTGTTAAACACTGTCAAAATCAATTATCGTAGAAATGCCAAATGGATATAGGAAATCCTCGCACCTTGATGAGCTGCATGAATGGCTCTGAAAATAGCTGAAGACTACTCAAAGCAATAAGCATGCTCTTGAAGGGGCAGTGTAACATTATGAACAACTTCAAACAATACAATGGGACAATTTATCATACTCTTCTGCTTCTAAGCTTTCATTAGAAAACATTCTCACACACATGATCTATTGAAGTAATTTTAAGCTACATTCTTAGTTGCAATATTTCACCTCAGAAAGGAGGCATATGGGCTGAAATTAACGGAAAGGGAAATAACATGGTCATCGTATAGTAAAAAAATATAGTTCTTCATCCCTATTGTAACATGGACTTCTGTTGTTAATGTATTTACTGTCTAAATATATGTAATTGGACATTGGTAAATTGTTTAGTTAATATGTTTTTTCCAATATTTCTATGGAAATTCCGAAATGAAGAGGAGTTACTTGTTGTTTGAAATAAACACTGAACATGACACATGATACAGTTATATCATTGTTGTCCGGTGCCTGTTTTGATGACACTATTAAAAAGGAGGCTAATTATTCAATATTTTTCATTGGATGTTTTCTGAATGAATACATACATATTTTATATGAATGTTCCATTGAAGTTCAAAATACCATAAGACGCTTATTTTCGGACCAATCAGCAACTTTGAGGATTTCAACTTCAGAATCAAATTAAGATGAACTTTTACTGTGCAGTTAAACATAATGTTGCTCATAAAATAAAGTAATGAACTTTAAACATATGAATCAGAATCTAGAAGTTGCTATATACATGTAAAAAAATAAATATAAATATGAATCATACCTATCAATGTAAAGATATCAAATTGCCCCCCCCCCAAACTGACAGTACACCTAAAGTGCAATAAATTTTTAAACTAATATAAGATGTCATTTGATTACGGTTAAAACATGTCTACTTTCACAGGGATCATAAAAAAATTTACAATTGAAATAGCTATTGTAGAAAATATAACAAGTGGTATCATCAATTAATTATATTCTTTTTACACAAGGGTGTTATTTTTTATTCTTTTAGGATACCAAAACACTAGTAGGCAGAGCTGATGCTAAGAACAGTCAAGATATCCAGCTTTCTGGCCTGGGTATATTACCCGAACACTGCATACTGGAAATAGAGAACCAGGATGTTTACTTGACTTCAATGGAGAAAGCTCGGTGAGTAGATATGGTATATTTTCGGAGAGGCCAGGATATGGTATCCCTCCTTCTGAATGAGATGCATGTAATACATGTAGTATTGCCAGGGCAAGATATTCAACAAAAATAATCCAGCCTTAAATGCAAGATTTACATCTGCATTTCGAACCAATAACTGCCTCTCAGTGAACTAATTATACTGCAACACGTTATAGTAGTTATTAGAATACAATTTTTCATTTTTTATATGTTTTCTTCAAATATATTGTGAATTGTTTGAAAAAAATGTAGAGATTGACCACGGAATTTGCTACATAATCCACATTTACTAAATGACCTCTGTTGTTAAATAAACATTGTTCCATGATTATAAGAAACAATATACTGTATTCCCGGTAATTTTCACGCGCTACTATATTTCGTGCATTTTGTAAAATTTGCGAAATATAATAGGTAAAAACGTGACCTTTCGAGTTTTGAAGAAGAAAAATTAGAAGAAAGATCGTTATTACAGTTTTAAAATAAACATTCTAATGAAATGGCTTAATAAGAAACCCAAATCATCGGGTGAAGGAACAACCATGGCTAATATTGAAGTCGAAAGAGTATTTTGTATGACAAATCCACGAAATTAATAGCCGTGAAATTTTTAAAAATGAAAATTAGCGAAATATAATAGCCATGAAATTTCAAAATGCCCAAAACGCGGAATATAAGTGGAAGTACAGTATGTAGTGAATGTGTGCTCTCTTAGCTTAGTTAAGTCTAAAATGAAGGGATCCAGTTTGTCATTTAAATGGGATATTTTTTAATTAGCTATGATATCTTCTATTGGGGCTAGCCATAACACTACTTTGCTCGTGTATAAGTTAGGATATTCAGACAATTATGTACTGCATTGATTTTACAATAGATGATTAACTGATGAAACAGAATCATGTTATATCTCTCTGGAGATCAATCATGATCATGGGGCCAACTTAGAATGCCTCAATCATATTATCTCTCCCATTATAAAGGTCATATTGCAGTGGAGTAATGTCAGAATCATGATTTTTCATAAAAAATATCATTCTAGTACAGTACAATGCACAATATAGAATGGCTCTATTTCGTCTATATATTTATATTCTTCTGCCAGGTATCCAATTCTCTTTGATGAACCACATGACATATATGGGGCAGTGAACCATGTCTAATCTTGACACAACTATGAAATAGCCATTAATTTAAGGTTTTAGTGTGTGGACGACAAACCAAGGCAATCACTTGATGTCAGGGAGTCCAAAGGCACAATGAGTTGATTTATAAAGCATTATAAAACATCAATGAAGGAAGATCTGAAGAGCTATTTGGAATGTAATTGATATGAACATTTGCCTTCAGAACATGTGTCAATGGTGCAGTAGTGAAAGAACGGACCAAACTGAAGCATGGTGATAGGGTATTGTGGGGGAATAACCACTTCTTTAGAATCAATTGCCCAAAGGCAAACAGTAAGTAGATCTGGAACATAAGTCAATAACACTAGCATGCTATATTGATCTTGACTTTAAGATTTTATGAGTTAATGGTAAGATCTTGAACTGGCCTATTTGTAAAAATAATCGGTTTTATCAAAGGGAGTCAAGGAACTAGTGGTATCAATAGAATGATCATTTTAATTATTAAGTTCCTGAAAGTGCAGCTTCCTGTTATTTATATTTTCTCTGGTGTTATCCATGGCTTTGTTTCTGCAATTCTTCAAAATTCAAACCCTGTCTGATATGTTTCTTTGTAGGTCCCTCTAGTAATGAACCCGGTAAGGAGGCTGGTAAAGAAGCAGACTATGACTTCGCCCAGCAGGAGCTAATGATGCATGAACTGTCAGTTGACCCCATCACAGAAGCTATAAGTGCAATAGAAAAGCAACATGAAGATGAAAAACTTGGTAAGTAATTCTTTTGGAGGACTTTACAGTATTATATACCTAGTGAAGCATTTGTATGGAAGTCAATGGGCATTTCTAATTGACATTGATGTTAATACTCAGAAGGAACATACTCTTAAACAGATGTTTCATTGATAATGTGAATCAACTAGGATAGATATTCCGGAAAAGAAAGCATCAATTTTTGATGTGTTTTTATTATTTTTTAGATGCTTTAGAGAAACAGCGTAAAATGTATGAGCAGCAAATGCAGAGTTTACGTAGCCAATTAATGACACCCACCACCCCATCGCAACCATTCCCACCAATCGCAGGTCTTGTCCCATCAGGGATGTCCAATCAGGCGATTCATCCTAAATACCAACAATGGGCTGCAGAAAGGTAAGAGACATAAATACACTCTATCATGGACCAATGATATTAAGGAATGAAAACATTAAAATACTAAAGTGTATGACTCTACATGTGTATTGTAGCACTCCAAGTCAAGGTTCATTTTGGAATATATTCTCTTGATTCTGTTAAAAGTTAGTTGTTAAGAGGTTTAATTATGGATCCTGTATTTTCAGAGAGAAAATGTTTACTCAGAGTCTAGCTAAGTTACGTCAAGAAGTCATCCGAGCCAAGGCCCTGGTCCGTGAAGCTAACTTCTTGGCTCTAGAGATGAATAAGAAAACCGAGTTCTTTGTAACTTTACAAATCCCTGCAGCCAACCTTAGTCCCAATCGGAAGGTAATAAACGACATCTGCTTGAAAACAAATGACACTGGAAATTTATATAGAGTTTTAAACAGCTCAAAAGACCTGGTAAAACAGTATTTGTTTTATTCTCAATATACTTCATATATGTTAACTAACAATGAGTACTAAATGAGTGAATAAAGTAAGCCAGTGGGCACAAAAATGAAAAATAAACAAATATGACTTTTGACGACTTCTGAATATTAATACCCCAAGATTGTGTGTTGATCTCCTTTGTTTTTCATTTCAGCGAGGAGCATTTGTTAGTGAGCCAGCCATATTAGTGAAACGTAAAAACAAAGGCAGTCAGGTGTGGTCCATGGAGAAGTTTGAGATTAAGATTATATACATGCGGGAGATGTACGAAGAGAGAAAAGACAAGGGTCTCCCCATGATGGTAGATTACGACAATCATATATATCGCTTGGTCTGTCTGCACTTTTGTTGTCATCAAAGAAGCTTGAGCAATACCATCATTAACACAATCCATGTGGTGTGATAGAGCAATGGAGGTTTCTACCCATGATTCAAATTGCCACTGGCTAACTGGAATCATGGGATTGAGACTTGCACTGTGTTATATTTTTGGTATTTTTTATGATGGAATTGGCCAAACTTCTTTTTAATTTTATTTATTTATTATTTCATTCATAAATCTTTTATATGTTGAGTTAATAAAATATTAGATTTTGACAAAAATCTCTCCTTAACTACACATATAGAAGAATTCAAAGCAAACCCTGTATAAGCAAACTGAAATAGAAATAAGAATGAAATAGTGTTTTAAACAGCATTGTGAAGAATTCCTTATATATTATAGTTTTTCATTTATTCCATCTTATATTGCTGAAATTTACATAATGCACTAGAGGGGCCAAATTATAGCTCATCACTATGATGAAGGATAGCCTTAATCATATTACCATTTGATAATAACTTCAGTATAAACTGGGTTTGCCAGGAAATAATTGTAATTTGAACCTGACATTTCCACATGCAAGTACAGTTTAATCGTATTGAAATAATATGGCCTGTTCAATTGTGGAAATATTGGAAGAAGGCATGAACATGTAGTTTTTGAATTGATTATGTCATAAAGTAGTTCTTTCAGTTATTTCATTCAATTATATTTGTCGTAAAACTGTGTTGTAGATTAGTACATGTAGAATTATTGTATGTTGTGGTGCTTGCTATTGAAAATGCTCATTTACAAAGTCATACATAAATTTCTTAAGTCGATTTTGGGTTTATTCCCATCATTACTCATTATTGTGATTTAAGCCCATGCATTATTACTCATCTTTTGTGATCTAGGCCCATGGTTACTCATATTACGTGATTTATGCTCATTATTTCGCATTTTGTGTGATTTGTGCCCATTATTACTCATTGTATGTATATGTGACAAAAATACACTGACAACTGTAATCAATGTTGTAACCTTTAATGCTTTGCGCTTTGTTCATAATATGATATCTCTTTTTCACAAGTAGAAATTCCACATTGCATGGTTCACTCAGTAACATTGAATTGCATGTATATTGCACTGCCAAACATAGGCCATTAACTGTTGTCTCTTTTATCCAATATCAATGTTTCCATCATTTTAATGGAGTATGTGAGTATGAATTTAAATTACCCAATAGAAACACCTCTATGCTAAATTACTAGTACTTAGTTTAATTGATGACAAAATGGTTTCCCCATGAAGATGACAAAAATCTCAATTTCTTAACAATATTTGGAGATGAACAACCTCAAAAACTTTGCTTACATAGTTGCTGGAAAGCTTCTCAATAGCAGGCTAGCACAGTATATGAACTAATAACTGTCTACACCTTTTGATATTCAAATGTATATTAATTCATCTTTTATTTGCTGTATACAGGATGATGACAGTAAGCCCCCTACTAAAGGAGATCCATTCTACGAGTCCCAGGAGAACCATAACCTTATTGGTGTCGCTAATGTATTCCTGGAGTGTCTCTTCTATGACGTCAAGCTTGACTACCATGTGCCAATCATAAATCAACAGGGGGAGGTAAGATAGTTTAACTCAGGCCCTTAGTCAGCTTTTGGTTTTGCAGGGGGGTCGTTCACATTAGACAACTTTGACTAAAGCCACTTGAAAAATCCTCAGAATGGTGAAAAACTGCATGATTTTCAAAGAATAATCAGATGTTTCATATCAAATTAGATTTGCTATATTGAATAGTGTATTTCTGTTTGTGATGTGTAAGTATGTTGGTATGTTGCTTTTTTTATTCAGAAATCACAATAGGTCATACAGTACATTGCAATCTAATTTCATTGTACTCTTGGGTAAAGTTACGTCTTACAGTTCCTAAATACCAATCGCCATCAAATTACATACATTATTATGTTTCAATGACTTCTTACTTTTCAATGATTTCTAGAATATTCAGTTGAAATGGTTTACATGTTTACAGGTTGCTGGAAAACTCCATGTTGAGATATCTCGAGAAACTTTACCTGAGAAATACTCTGATGGTACCTATTCTTATGATGAACAAACTGAGGAGCAGGATACCAGACTGACTGTAGGCACACCTCTCATATGCAGGGTAAGTTCACCTATATCATGTTGGGTACATTCACCTCTCATATGCAGGGTAAGTTTACCTTTGATATATTGGTTAAGTTTAAATCTAATATGCAGTTTACCTCTAATATGCAGGATAAGCTCAAATCTTATATGCAGGATGAGTTCATCTCAAATATGCGGGTGAAATTCCAATCTTATATGAAGGTAATAACTCATCTCTAATATACAGGTTAAGTTCACATTTTATATATAATATGTAGGTTGAGTTCACCTCTAATGTGCTGGGTTAGTGATTTTGTTCTGTTGAACCAAATTCCAATGCCCTCATGCTGCTTAGTGACATCTTTACAACCTGTTAAAAACAGGAGTTTCAATTTCGACTTAAACTTGGTGACCAAAGGTTAACATATTGTCTTTCAATATTTTATCAATTCATGTTGCAGGTGTGTATTAAAGAAGCGAGAGGTTTGCCCCCTGCCCTGTCCCACTTTGTGTTCTGTCAGTATCAACTGTGGGGGCACACTGAAGCTGTAGTGGTGCCACCTATCATAGGACCAGATGTTGGACCAAAGAAGAAAAATTCTGGCATGTCTTTTATGTTTAATCATATGAAGGTAAGTTTTGGAATTAGTTTTCATATTTAATTTAGTTAAGATATTTATTTTGTGTTGCTATATTGGTGATCAAAAATTGAACACTTTTTAATTGACAGCTTCCTAAAACCAATGCCAGTTGGTCCTAATGTTGTTACTAGTTGTTTTCACTTCCTTAGGAATTTGAAGTGCGGGTCACTGAGGAATTCATAGAGCATGCCTCTGAGGGGGCATTGAGCTTTGAGGTGTGGGGACACAAGAGTGCTGGACTTCTGAACCCCACCATGGAGCTGGAGAGTGTTCAGGCCAAATCTAGGTCACTGCTTGACAGGTTAGTATGTACTGTAATTGTGCATTTTCTCTACCCCCTCCTTCATCTAGGTCAGAGTTTAGGCATGGATTCACTAGTTATTGAATAGTGGTCAAGAGGTTTGCCTGAAATATATTTAACCGCATAACATCTTCTCATTATACTTTTATGTGCTCTGAGGCAGTATATCTACAGTAGATTGTAATAGTGAAAAAGTTTCTTGGAAAAAACTTACTACATTAAGACTATTGACTTTTACTGTTGCACTGTGTTGCAGGTGGAATGAATTAACACGTAAGGTTGAAATGTGGGTTGAGGTCCAAGAATTGAATGACCAAGGTGAACACATTCCTGTAGATGTACAACAGAAACCTGAGGTCCTAACTGGAGGAATATATCAAATCAGACAGGTATTTACAGCTAATGGCCTAGTCACATAGCCCGGCCGATGTCCGGCATCGGTAGAGCTCGGTAGATTTTTTTGGTGCCACCAAGCTCTCCTCATCGGAAGCAGAGCTCGGTGACGTGAACGGACTCCGTCCGGACATCTTCAGGTACTATACTTTCCAAGGCTCTGTCCCACATCAGCCGGAGCTCGGCAGTTGTCCGTTAAAAAAACCTCGTCCTCTGGTTGTCTCAGATGCACGGGACACCGACCGATACTCGGCCGTGCACCGGCCGACGTGTGTTCTGATGTGGTTACGATGGGGCTGCGATGAGGGAGCTCGGTGAGAGCCCGGTGAAATTTAACTCCGAAGTTAAAATTTCACCGAGCTGCCACCGATGCGGTTTTAAGCAACAAACGCCACGGATGTCCGGCCGGTGTTCGGCCGAGTTCGGTGAAAATTGCATCGCTGGCTCATCGGAACCTCATCGGCCGGGCTATGTGACTAGGCCATAAGATAATCCAAATTAGAATAAGTATTCTGAGATGTACTTGTATATCTTGAACATTGATACATTTCAGAATTCTTATTGATCTTTTATGATTTTTATGGTTACACCAGTAATGTTGAACGTTTTACACAAGAATTGTGAACATTTTGAGAAATGACCTTTGACTTGGTGAATCACTTTCACATCGGTTTACATGACTTACTAACAAACCTTAGGCAAGTGCAAAACATTCTACAAGGCTTAACCTTTTAGAACCTCAATGTTCTTTAGATATATTTCTCATCTTCTATTATATTTGAATGTCTAAGGGCCAGTTACCTTATGCTGTACTCGATACATAGACTTCATTATATAATATCAGCCTTGTTTTGTAAAACTTAACTCTGTTATCATTTGTTTTATGCTATTTTTCAGGGTCAATCTAGGAGAATTCTTGCCAAAGTAAAGCCAGTTGCAGATTCAGGAACTTTGCCCATAATTTGTGAGTCAATCACATCCATATCTGTTGGGTGTATATGTGCCAGGTCCAAGCTCCAGAAGGGGCTGGACAGTTACCAGGAAGAGGACTTGACTGCTCTGAGAGAGAAGTGGTCAGATATGTTGATGAGACGCAAGGATTATTTAGATGAGCAGATACAGAGAATAATGCATAAAGAAGGTATGCATTATATGTTTCCGAATATTATATTTATATTACATTCGCAAATTAGTAGATTCAGCCATCCAATCAAGGACTTTCTATAAATATTTATTACAACTAAAAATCATAAGTTCTCTTATATTGTAGTACACAAACAATATGATAGAATGTAAAATCTGTAAGCATATTATTCTGCATTTCAAGTTTTAATTTTGGTCTTTTATTTCAATATGTTTAGATAAGACTGACAGTGATGCTGAGAGAGAAAAATCATTGATCGACCAATGGGTTTGTTTGACTGAAGAGCGCAATGCAGTACTAGTCCCCCAGCCAGGCTCTGGCATACCAGGTGCCCCTGCTGACTGGTTAGTACAGATATTCATTCATTTCTGACCATTAAATGCATTAATTCTTCAAAAGTACTATTAAACCAAATATTATTTTTTACATGTTTTCACACGTTTTTAGCATGTTAAATCATTACTTGTTTTAAAGGCTGCATAGATTAATCAAGTGTAATGAAATCATAGTCTTTCAGAAAGTTATTGCAAAATCCTTTAACCAACAGTTAATGAGTAGAGCAGGCTAAAGACTAAAGTGAAATGTTTATATTTGCAGGGATCCGCCATCTGGTATGGAGGAGCATGTTCCTGTCATATATTTAGACCTGACAGGTAAGCACTTAAACTTAAACTTACCTAGAATGAACAAAGATATCAGAACATCTCTCTAATCAATTCAGGACACTTACTCTAAGTACCAATTTTATAATCAGAGTTCTTATTTGTGTTTTTACTCCCATATACCCTACTACAGCTAGCAGCTGCCATTAATTGCAGTATTTTATGCAACTCTCCACTGTTATTGCAGCTGATGATATGAGCACCCCTAGTGTTAAAGAGGGTGGTCAGGCTGCAGGAATCATGTCTATCCTACCAAAGGAACATGGCACAAAGTTCTACAATCTACCAATCATTAAATACAATGAAAGAGAGGTAGGTCAGACTATATAGTCTGGTAGTGCTAACCCTTTAGAGGAGGACTCTTCTAACTAGTCAGATTTGAGTATCCAATCACCATTTAATGGAAGGAGATTAAAATTGAACTTACTTGAATGTTCTGTTTGCAAAGGACAGTGGAATAAGCATGAATCTAAAAGAAACAAGTTAATAATTAGTTTGTTTATTCCCATTTCATGTCAAAGTTTTTAAGATTCTTTCTGAATCTCCCTTTAATCTTATCCATTTTTACAAGGTTTGTTTATTTGCCAGGTCGCCTCAAAAATAATAACAACTATCTGAAATATAATATTAATTCACAAGCTTATTATTTCAGGTGTGTGCTCTTGCATCCTGGGATAGCTCTATCCACGATTCCATCCATCTCAACCGTGTCACCCCTAGCAACGAGCGTGTTTACCTGATCATCAAGGTGGTAGTGCGGCTGAGCCATCCCGCCTCCATGGAACTCGTCCTTAGGAAGAGAGTCTGTATTAATGTCTACAAGCGACAAAGTCTCACAGAGAAATTCAAAAAGAGGATATCAAAGTTTGTAAGTTGAATCAATGTTATAATTTAGAGGTTTATATGAAATAGCATGAATAGATATGTATATCTGCATATTTTTGGTTCAGTTTATCTTTTGTTCCTAATTGCTAAGTGCTTATCTATGTTTTTTTGTTTACTTTTAGTTAACCACATTTTGTTCCGTTCATCATTTGATTTGAGGAAGATTTTCAGTGCCATCGAGAATTTCAGTCAAATATATTAGCTATTAAAAGTCTAAGTTCAGATCATGCTTCTAAATCATTAATTCAAAGATTATCATAATCTTTCACATTACGCATGATCATTCTTGCTGCCTCTTTTGTCTTAATTGAAATATACTTTAAACCCATTTAGATAAACTGCTTTGAGTTGCTAATCAAGTATAACGCTTCAGCTAGTTGGTGCTAATTGTTTTCCTTCATATATACAATTACATGTATTTATTTCCCTTAACAAGAAGATGCTTTGTAAGATATGACCCTGTGTTTTATATTTACCATGCCAGATATAACCTGCCACATATATTATATTATATCACAAGACAATAGAAGACAACTTGTAATAAAGGATAGCACAGTAATCTTAGTCATGACATAGTTAGATATAGTTGAATATTGTTGGTATTATATGCTTAAAACTTGGATTAGAATACTAGATTCATCCCAGGCCCAATAATGAGGCAGTTGGTTAAAATCCTGCTCTAGTACCATCCTTTGTAAAGTTAACACTGTATTTCTATTTAATAACAAAGTGCTGTATTAGTATTAACATCATTCATTTTTGCCTCCGACTAATGACCATAACTTTTATTTATATCTTCTAATCAAGTAAATAATAACAAATACATATAAGCAATGAGCCATGAATTTTATTGTGGCTGCGACACTTGTTTGGTTTGAACTTACTACTTACTTGAATTTCATTCTCAAACTAGAGTTGTTTTCTAATGTTGTTTGAAAACAAATATTAGAACGCAGCAATTGATCCAAAGAAATTTCTTTGCAAAAGTGTTTTCTTAATGATGCACTTCATTATTTCTGTAATAGCATACATGCAGGCCCATACTTCCATTCTGGCAATCAAGGCGCCTGACATTTACCTGACATTTATTTTTAAGATGTTTTCCATTTTGTCATGGATCTTTTAAAATTCTTTGATGTGGCCATTTTAGCTTATATTCATGTTCGCACTTAAAATTTTGAAAAAAATTTCATTCAGCGGCTGAAAACTTTTGGCCTACTCTTTATGTGCTTCATGTTCATCTCAACTCAACAACTTTGAGATACTTTGGAATGAGTTGTTTTGTCTCAGTAAATTGTACACAGATATGGGCCTGACATGTAATGTTAGTATTCATATGATATACACTAAATACAGTATTGTGCTTAAACAAGCCATGACACACCACACATTGAAGAAATGAATGATGTTGGTCAATGGTGGTTAAACTGCATGGCTGAAGCTTTTGTTTGATTTTATTCACCTAGCAATGGGATGGAATCAAATCTAACGTTGAATGGGCTGGGCTAAGTGGAGAGCATATCGATACAATAAAAAGCTTTGCCGGAGCGAGTGTAAGTCATGTTGATGCTGCTGACATCTGTTGGGACACTTTTGCACCGGTTTTCCACATCCTCTCAGATCATGATTAGTCTTTCAGACAATATACCTTCTTGATATTTACTTCAGGCAAATCTGTTATTGAACATGCATATTCTTTGTTAACCATTACAAGTAGTCATCAAGATTTGTGTGGAAAATTGGTGTTACTTTGAGTGTATCCAAGGATGCCTGTCTTGATTGATGCTTCCCTACCCGCTGCAAGGTTCACCTAGTGGCTGACTCTAGTGCTTAAATGCAATGGCATTGTAAGGTTATCATTTAGAAATAAGAAGGTTATAGTTGGGTTGTCTCCCATGTGCCCTACAGGTGCATGCAGGCGGGTTCAGTACTTGCTGGATAACCTGGGAATCAACCTCCATTGATTTAGGTTAAGGGATATCATCTATATACACATGGTGGATGTTTTTCAAATAATTTTAGTAGCTTGTTAATTTATGATTGAGGGGTTTTATTGGAAATGAGGCATGTATAAGTAAGCCTAGGTTTTGCAATTTAAGTGTTGAATGGCGTTGCTAGATCTCATTGTATGCACTGTTTGTTGTACCTTGTTTAGCCCCATTCCCTGCTTAATCCCAAATGTATTATCTCCCCTCTTTGTTACTGTTTTGTGTGTGTCTTTACCTTTATATTGTAGGCAACCTTTTTGAATTTTTTACATTTATTTAGAATATTGTGATTTATACACAATGTGCATCCATTATTTTCTCGTTAAAGCTCAGCTGCATTTTGCTATTTGATCTGTCCTGTAACCTCCCCATCCTCAACACATTTTGTGACCTCATTGTATCCCATATGTGAAGTAAATACAACCCAAATGAACCCTGGGATTGGTGTATTCCTCCTTTGTTTTTACCCAACACTGCTTTCCTTTATTTCAAATTCATTCCTCTGGCAAAGGTTTCAATAGCTCACAATTCCCTTCAGCTGTTCAGTCGTACATTTATATATCTCTCTGATACAGTCTTTCACCTAAATAGTGTGTGACTTATATGCTATGCCTGAGTGTGCATCAATAGCTTAATTTGATCAAAACAATTTAGATATTTTGTTTTTCCTTTAATTATTCTAAACTTTGAATGATGTGACAAAATCATGGGAAACTGCTGTTACACTGCCCAATGCAATATCTACTGATGCTAACTAATGATGTCACAAATAAAGTGCCCCACTCACAGCCACCCTTTTTAGTCTGGTGTGGAGGGGATAATTATAAAAATAAAAAAGTCATAGACACAGTTCTCTAGACTAAACACTTGCTTCCAGAATATGACTGCCTTAGAGCTCTTTCATAGAGTTCTGCCATAGAGCTAAGCCATCATATATAATTAACCACTTTAACATATGAGCAGCTCACAATAGCTTGAGCAGTATGATGATATAGGAAGTGTAACAATAGTTCTTTTGTTTTAAAATACTAAATCTCACAGATAACATGACAACATTGTTTCTAAGTGTTTAATGTTTACTTTCTAAATAACATTCAGCATAAATCCATGACTGTATCTTTTCATATAACCCAGTTCAGATACCGATTGCAATGTTTTCTTAAAATGTTTAAATGTTTCTTTTGGAGAGGTTCATGTATTAATCTTTTACTTTTATCCTTTGACTCTTCATCATACAGTACTTTTATTTTGCAAAATGAGAATATATAGAAGTTCAAATGATTTCAGGGACCAGTTTCAGATATGCACCCCAGCATTTTTCAGAAATGGCAATCTGTTTGAATATTTTAGAAATTTTCCAGCTCAAGAAAGTTTCTTCACTTTACAGGAGATGGTACAAGCTACAGGTGTAATGTACGAGGTTGTGTCGAACATCCCTAAAGCCTCTGAAGACCTGGAAGATCGCGAGTCTCTTGCTCAAATGGCAGCCTCCAATGATGACGAGGAAGATACTACAGATGGAGAGACTTACATAGAGAAATATATCAAAGGTGTCTCTGCTGTAGAGAGTATCTTGACGCTGGATAGATTACGTCAGGTAGGTGTCTATGTGAAGAGTTCTAATTGCCTTCATTGGTCATTTCAGATATTTTGCCATATAACAAATATCTGGAATTTTAATATGAAATAGATATTAGAACTAGCATTAGAAGTACTAGGCTTGATGAGATATTATAACTAATTTGTTATAAGACAAAATATCTTGAAAACTGCAAAGTATAGTGTCTTGCTTGTTATGTTTGAATTAATATTTTTTCAAATAAAGAAAATGCCATTCAGGTCATTAGTTGGAATTGCTTGGCAAGTTTGTAATTTTTTTTTGGTGCATTTAGTTGTGTTTAACAAATTACAATATATGCTTTTGATTTCTTTTGATCTTTTTTTCGTGTTTGTCAGCATTTAGAAGTGAAAGCCCATTCACTACAGTTTGTTGGGCTTGTTTGCGAAGTGTGTGTCTGTTAGTTCTTATACATACATTATAAAATGCGAATGCTTGATATTTGTTTTATTAATTCAGTAATCATATCATATGTAGTTCTTTAGGGGATATCCTATGATTTACTCATGATATGATTTTTATCCATGTATAGATATGCTGGCTCCTGCAGGTATCAATCCAAATGAGTGGATGAAAATCATATTCTGAGTAATATATAAATCATAGGTTGTTCTTTTTACTCCATAGTTTAAGTGGTTCAAATCAAATTTTTCTCATGGTTCTAAAGACGTATTCGATGGTTAATTGAAAGCTAAAGTATGATTTTTTCTACTCATTATGAAATACCATTTTTATTTTGAGATGACGTCCTATGAATATCACAATAACTATGGAATAAAGTTCACTTCACTTCTAGTTTACACTTTGCCTAAGACACAGTTATAGTTTAAAAGTTTTTTCATTAATCTTATTTTCAACAATTTAATGTTTTTCTCTTGTGTGATGCAATATTCTAAAGTTAATTTGCATTTTGCTATATTAGGAGGTAGCAATAAAAGAGAATATGGCTGCAACGGGTCAGTCTAGAAAGAAAACGGTAAGATATATACTCAGCTTCTGTAGCAGCATGAGTAGCACCATTAGTATCTATACTATCATTACTAGCATCTATTTTATCATTATTAGTTTCTGTACTCTGTTTATTAGCATCTCTACTATCATTATTAGCTTTTGTATCATTATTAGTATTTGCACTATCATTATTAGCATCTTTACTATCATTATTAGCATCTAGCATCATTAGCTGCATTGAGCTTACTCTAACATTTTCAACAGTACTGTATTCTAGCTTATAGCGATTTCTTAACTAAGCCTTTTTTGTACTGTTTGATCCAAGTGGAGTCCTCTTGCAATGGGTGACTTCACAATCTACTGGTCAGATAATACTCTCCACCACTTCACCTCATATGTATGATATATGCAGAACTTCTGGAATTCAGAAACAATGTTAATTTGGATATTCAAAGCTAAGAGTGTTCATGATTCAAGGCAAGCATGAGCTGTTTGAACATGTTACATTGACAATGTTTGTAAAGAGGTTCTGCAGTAGATATGGCTGAAAGACATGGTCATTAGATTCTGTTCATGTTTTACACCACATATGAGGTTGTGAGGGGGGTGATTTTAGAGAAGAAATCACATTGATAAAGAAGATTACTTTGAAGATGTAACATGGACTTTCGATGTGAATTCTAAGAAAACACATTCTTCTCAGTTCTCCTGTGACGCCTTGGACAAAACTGTCGCCTTTTATCATCCTGTCTTATGTAATAAACAAGCTGATGGTGTTGTCTCTCTCCATAGATGCTTTATTAGACAGTTTTGAAGCCTGATATCTAATATTGTTTAGCAAGAATTTATGTTATTAATAGAATCCTGTGGGATATAGGGTCAATCTTAAATGGGATGCACTTATTATTAGAGGTGTCACGGATACCTGATTTTGTTCCGATCCGCGGAAGTATGCCCTCGGAACGAAACATGAAACACAAATTGAGAATTTCGGTTCGGTTCTGGAACAAGAAAATTTTACCCTTTCACAACTTTTGGCCCTTGAATCGCCACAAAACAGCATTTTTCTTTCAATATTTTGCACCAAAAGAGGTTCATTCTTCTCACTTCTTCTCATTGAAGAATTTTGAAGAGCTTTTCGCTACCAAATAGACCTAGATGATCAACTTATTTTAATTTTATATACGCAGTCCCTCTGTTCCGAACCGTTCCGAAATTGTTCCATTCCGAAGCAAAATGTTACGAACTGAACCGATTTTTTGTTTGTTCCGTGACATCTCTTCTTATTATTATTACAGATAGTAATAACTAAATATTTCTAACTAAACTAACACTAATTGTTTTATAATTAAAGATTTCTGTAAATGATATATACTGTACATGTATGATGTATGTTAAATCATTTTTGCCGAAATTTTATACATTTTTAGTTGTTTGTTTTTATGTCGATTATAGAGAAAATATACTCCTACTGAAAAGCATATATATATCGAAACATGTACCAGCTGTCAATTATGGCAATATCAGACTGACAGCATGAGTTATACTGGTGTAGTCAGACATATAGAATATACACTGGAGTATTTTCACTTGCATTACTCCTGGTTAAGTGAAACCTATAGAAGGCTTAGATGGTGCCGAATTTCATAATAAATTGTTAAGAAGGAATTGTAAATATTCCTTTTGTCTCTGTACACGAGGCATCTTAAACTGATGGAACGTTGCCTTCTTGTTATTCCTCAGCATTAGCTGTTTCAAGTTATCAAATGTTTGAGCCTTCACTTGGAGCACTTCCATTTCTTGAATCTTGCCATCGTCTCGCATTACTTTGTAAAAGGGAAACTCCACACAGAGGGAATGGTCAAACTACAAATAAACCACATATAAAAATATGAATAGGATGTAGCTTGAATAAGAGAATGTTGGTGTTTTCACTCATTCTTAAATCTATTTGGATTTTCTAAAAGTTAAAAACTCTGAGATCCACATCAAAATGATGATTGGATTTTCATTTATTTTTTGTTATGAGCACCATTTACCTTGCTGAGTTGTTCATCAGAAAGGATGACATTGTCGTCATTCTGCGTGACTTCTAGAAAGAGGATATAGTGTCGTGCAGTGGTCACTCTGTCTATAAAGAAACAAATTCCAAATCATTATTCATGCTTTGTATGAAATGACATAAATTTTTTCATTTTCATTGGTCATCTTAAATTAGACATAGACAGGCATAATCATGTTAATATTAGTTTTATAGTGTGTATTATTTCACTTACTTCTCAACTTGGCCATGTTAATATTCTCAGTGGCTGTGTAGTCTATTAATGTCAGTCCCTGGATCTCTTTTACTGTATTGATCACAGAGTCCATAAATGCTCCTTCAGGAGTCTTCTCCCAAAGAAGATTCAACATTTGCCCAGTCCTTAAATAAAACATATTTTGGATATCAACCAGGTGAGAATAGGAATTAGGGTGGAATGGCTCAACCCTCCCTCATCAAAAATCCTTTAACAGTTCACACACTCTTTAAAAACTAATTAATTGAAATGTTTTAGTCTGCAATTGCAAAGCAAGTGAGATACAGCCCACACTGTTAAGTGATTGGCTATACATCCTCAAATGCATTCTCATTTATCGTGACACAGTCTCCAGTTAACAAGAAACCCTCTGCTGCCATATAATTAGCTACCATAACAGGGTCCTCACCAGGAAATTTTTAGACCCTGGATTTTTAGCGGTATTGTTGACTACTTTTTTTCGCGGTATCGCGACTACTTCTCCCCCATGTGAGGTCAGAGATATCCTATTTGTATACTTTTCAACATACTTAAGATTATCTTGCTACTTTAATCCTAATATTTATTTCTAAAAGGTTTCTGACTTCTTATTCCTTGTTTGTATCCAGTTTTATGTATTTTCTCAAGAGTTTTACCGCAAATAATGTGACAAAAATGTAAAATTAGACTCCGGAAAAAACACTGTAGACTCTGGAAAAGCTATTAGACTCTGGAGCAAGAGGGTTTTAAGACATTAGACTCTAGAGAATATCCGGAGTCTAAAAGCCTAGTGAGAACCCTGCATAATCACTGATTTGTAATTCATTACCTGTATTGAAAATCATAAAGTGGCACTTTGTTCTTGTAGTCTACAATCTTGATGACATCTCCAAACCTGTATCTGTACAGTCCAAAGCTGTTGGTGATCAACATCTCATAGCACTTGCCTACCTCAATCTTCAAACATATGAATACCTATTGGCTCATGTGTTGCTTGAGTTGACATATTTATATTATTGGGATATTTTGCCTTTATATCTGTGATTTTCATTATTCATAATTTCGTGCTGCTGTGTGAGCAGGTAGATAATTCAACATACCTGGTGTACTCTTATGGGGTCAGCGCTTTCTTCATCCACTGGTATGAACTCATAAAACATTGCAGAGTTTAAGGCCAGTTGCTTGCCTTTTGTTCCTGGTTCAATAGTAGCAGCAAATATTCCTTCTGAGGCTCCATGTATAGTAGTAACCACAGGAACTATTTCTGTAAGGTATCTCTCTTTAACAATTTCAGCGTGTATCTTAAATGATCCTGTCGATACCATTGAAACAAATGGTAGCTCTTTCCATATTCTTGTGGCAATACCTTTCATTCCTTTTGTGAACTCTCCTAAGCTCACGTGCCCTGGTTTTGTCTGCATTCAGATGTTTTTCTAATTCTTGACGTATATTGGAGGAAATGGCCAAGTTTTTCCAAATTGTACCTGTTTCAATGTCATCACACAGTTGCTGCCAGTTGGATTCAATCGTTTCAAAGAATTTCAAACCAACTGTAGCTAAATGTGGATGAAGAAGTCTAAGCTTTTCTTCTTTCAGACCATATAAGGCATACAAATACAAAGCCTCATTTTGGGTGGATACGTTCAGTATAACACTAGGTGCTGCCGAACCAGGGGGAAATTTCTTCAATCTTCCCATTATTCCCCCCATTGGAATTCCCCTTTCTGTCAGTATAGGGTCCTGAATGATATAAATATCCAATGACTTCAACAGCTTAAATGTATACAGAGCAGAATATGTTTTATAGGATGTGTGAATTACTGCTGCCACTGTCTTGAACATCTCATTTAGTCCAATTTTATGGGCACCAGAGTATGAGACTGGATACTTCTTGTTGTTCCCAGTTGTTCCAGATGTAAGAATGATGTAGTCAGTTTTAGAATTGGCCACTATCACATTATCCTCGCCTTCAATCACTCTGTTGAAGTATGGTTCATAATGGTCATAGCTGGTAACTGGATGATTAGCAATAAAATCTTCTGGTGTTTTGATTGCTGAGAAGTTGTGGTCAATTCCATACTTTGTATTCTGGTTGGCTCTAATCAGCTTCATTAGTAGCTTATCTTGGGCCTTCCTAGGGTCAGTGTTGATGAAGGATGAGTAGCACCATCGGCTTAGTGTTGCGATGATTCCCTGTATGATATACAAGGAAAGAAGTGAACCCAGTGTATGACTCTTTGAAACTTCCAAGCGAAGGATATCCAAGCACATAATACCACATATTCCTGCAAAATTAGAAGAGGTTGAACAATCTCTAGTCATATGATCATACATATAGTCATCCACCCTTCATTCTTTAGTTTGTTGAGAATATATTCAGCATCCATGCATCCTTTTGGACAATAAATATTTATTACCCTGAGTTTAGTTCTCAACTAATCAATATGTAATTAATGAAGAGAAATGGCTATGTGTATGCACTCAGCTTCGCTTTATTACTGCTAAGCTGGTCGGAAAGTCAACTTTAGTCGTTGTGGTTTGTCTTTACCACTACCATAGAGTGATGTGCTTTATAATATTATGTACTTTTCAACCTTGGTCAATTATGGGTCAACAATGATGTCAGAAGAAATGACCATATAAAGAGAGAGTTGTCGTAATACTGATATACAGTACATGTTTCAAACTTTTCATCTTTTTAAACTTACAGTAACAAAATGGTAGCAGTAATAATATACTAATATAAATCCTAGTGCAAGCAGAATAGAAAACTCACCTAAGGGGACTGCTATTATATAAATCCATATCCCTGTATAGTGTAGCAAAATGTAGGCTGCCACAGAAAATGCAATTCCTCCCAGTAGACTAACTTTACTCTTGATATGTAGACTCATGGCTGTTTTAATACATCTGGTAAACCTGTTTGCTCGCAATAATATAACACTTAATTGCACATGATGTTTACAGTTACACTGACCTGGAAAGAACTTCATTGCGCATCATATTGAGTCTCATAGAAAACATCCTCTAAAATGTTTTATGTTTTGCTTGTATGTACTTTCGCAAAAAATCTAAGCATGTTTTAGGTACATATTCTCTATTCTGGCAAATAGATGTAAATGTATGTTTGAAGTGATAGATATATACCATACAGTCTCTCTGTATTGATAAAACAATATAAGACACAACAGGTACAATCGAAATATATTAACATGTTTACCATTTAAAATATCCTTGAATAAACCTTACGTTGTTTGGTAGACTGTTTTTAGAATGTTTCAGATATAGCCCTGTAATTGTTTTTTATGTAGATTTAATGTAGATTGGAGTATTTCCACTTGCATTAGGGAGCATTTCAAAAGATCAATATTGGAACTGTATTTGCACAGTTAGGGAGTGGGTCATTAGCCTTAAAAGTTGCTGTTAAGACATCGTTCACAGGAATTTTATTAGTGCATGCTCTTTTCGTCAAGTGCACTTCTGGTACGATAAATAAATAAAACATGAACACAACAAAGTAAAACTAAACTAAAAGTAAAAAAAGATAATGCATCATTTATTTGTTAATGTTTTTCAGGAGGTTGCCATTAAAGAATTCCTTGCATCATCTGGTAAACCAATCAGACGTGCTACCAGCGTTCCAAACTTTCAACAGGTAAATGTCAAATTCCAATTGCTCAACAGGTCAAAATTTCCAACTTTGAAAATGTTAACATCCCAAACATTCAATTTGTTAATGCATCATACCAAAATCTGTTAGCATCACAAATCACTGATGTGCCACAAACTTTAACTAAAAATATTCTTGCTCCAACACTTCCATAAAGTGAATATTAATTGGCATAAAGATACTTTCTGACATCTCATTCCAATTCTTTATTATTGTATTGGCATCAAAATTTTGTATGTTCTAATTTTTTTTGAGTTCAATTTTTGTTATATTATGTAGCTATGGATGGATGTAGTTTTGTTTTGAAATATGGATGGAGCAAAATTTTATCAGATACTTAATTTGTAAAAATATGTTGTTTGTCATTCTCAGTGGGATCTCTTTCAACTCTACATGGTAAATATTTCACAGCTGAACCAAACCCTTTTCCTAGTTCAATAAAACATTTTCTCATTCTTTCTAACAAATAGAAAATGAGTCACATAATCACTTAGATTAAAGATGCAATAAGTTTAATTTAATAACAACAATTTATTTAATTCATCATTTCTTGTTTCTTGTTTTGCATGGTATTTTGTGATTGAAAATGACTGCTAGGGTGCTGCTGTTCTAAAAGCATATGTCTAAATAAAAATAAATAAATAAATATTTGAATACAGACTGATTGCATCTTTAATGAACAATTCTTAAGATATTAAATTGTTTATATGTGTTACTATTATTAACACTATTATTATATTATAGTAAAAATAGTATAGTTTTTATAACTTAATTATAATCATGTTAAAGATGAAATGTTAATCCTCTTTATGATTTATCTGAATTAATTTATCTCAATTAATATAAACAATGTATATAAAATTGAAACACTTCTTGGTTTTGTTTCTTAACTTCAGATAATTCTGCAGATCTATTATTTACTGAAGTCAATATGACCAATTCAATGATATCTTTGTCATAAATCAATTAGGAACTTACAAAATCATTCGCAACATGTCATAAAATATGCCTAAATACTATGTTGAAGTGCATAAAATATGGTTTCATAAGGTCACATGAGAAAAACCTTTTGTATAAGAAATGTTCTTGTGAAAGATCATCAAAGATAAAGATGCTCTTTAAGCTGCTTAAGAGTAGATGATCTTACACAAGTAGTCATTCTAAAATCTAACACTTTGTTATGTTCCGTTGTAAAATGTGAAAATTTGATAAATATAGGATTTCAGTTTTGACTGGAATTTGAAAAAAATGTTTCAGTAAACTGCTGCGTATGCGTAAATGCTACAATTACATCTATAATATGTTTTACTCATTCATGAGTCACCAAATGTTTAATTGCAGGCGATGAGATTGGACTCTCCTAGTAATAGAACAGATGATTTGGTAAGACTTTTAACATATAGGTTTAAGGTACAATGTAATGCAGGTTTTGTCTGCGGTATATATATATTGTAAGTTCTGATGAAAAAGAATTATTTTGCCATCTTGAAAGAATCAAATATATTATAATTATTATGTCACCACTAGAAGTGAGAAGATATTGTTATAGTGTCCCAACTTTTTTGTGGACAGCGATTGGTGTTCTTGCCTGTGACACGTTCTTACACCATCTGTAATAAATGGTAGGTGGTGACATTTTGCATGTTAATGCCTTTTTAACAATGCATGTTAATGCAATTTTTACAATTTATATCTTACCTCACTGTGAACAATACATGTACATATAATAAAACATTATCCTAATGAATTTTTGAATATTTCTTGATTAGATGCACCAAAGTGACAGTGTCTCAAATCTGTCGATGTCTGACATGGATGGCTACGCATCCCTCCCTCGTCACCTGGCCGACCCGTTCAATGCATTCAGGCGCATGAGTGACTCCAAGGAACCAAACTTCAACAAGAATAGCAACTTTGGACTAGGTAGGCCATCTTGGATAACTGTCAAAAATTATGATGCTGCTTTGATAGAGGAGGTCTTGCCCTTTCGGTTTTCAACCAATCATATTAAGTCATGAGTTACCCCTTTGTGAGGAATTATGGGAAATGGGTATGTTACTGCATCTTGTTATCATTAACAGCCTGATGACACAGTAACTGTCTCTTAGTGACTAAAATATATCCCCTATATCATTGCATGTTCTCAGTCTCCCTTGTTGATATCAAAAATCTTGACAATTTCAAGTTTTGCCTTCAAAAACATTGCTCAGTCATTCGTGCATAGCTTCACCATTATTTTGAGCAAACTGATTTACTTGGTTTGCGATGATCGCCATGAGAGCTGCTTAATTCTGTAATTCTTCTTTTAATAATTAAAGCTATGGGTGTATTTAACAAGCTTTATATATTCTGTCATCAGCATGGGTGGATTTGGAACTGTTACAGGAAACTATATATATTTGTCAATGTATTTTGCATCACATATCCTTTGCTTGCCAGTTGATGGCTGACTTAAGATCCTGTCACTTGCACATTTCAATACAAGAACTTCTTTCACTACCATCCACTCTATATCTATTATAATAACAGTCATATATTTCTTCATTAAGTAGTGTATGCAATTTTACCTGCACTATTTGATATACATCCAACAAAAGCGACTTAACACTGTACATACAGTCTCAAGAGTGCTAGAATTAAGGTGAAAGGATATACTAAAACCTGTTCAGAGCTTTAACCAGTTGGGCTTATCACCTATTCTTCTTAAGACTGTATAGCAATTTAGATGCATTAATTTTGGGTTTCCTAATTGGACTAAAATACTTACTTTGAAATAAAATAGTTAATTTTGAACAAAAATACTTAAATTTCAGCTCGGCCCAATTTCCTGAACCTGAGATCTAGTACCAGCACTTCTAAAAGTATGTTAGCATTAGTGGTTGTTAGTCTTCGTTAGTGCTAGATTCTTTGTTAGCTCTAGCTTTTTATTCATCTTTGGTCTTAGCATGGATGCATGTTGGCATGTATTGGAGTGCATGATTTTTTCAATTTAAGCTTTTGGCCTGCACATAAAATGGAACCCATTGTTTGTGATGTTTCAGAAGCCACGATGTTTGTTTCAGTAAGTCACATTTGATATTTGTAGGTACCCATGCATGGAACAAGTTGTGATTAAGTATCACAGAGAGTTAGGCTCACCACTTCTGTTTCAAGTAGTGATAAAGCATGGCGGCATTTTATCACAATTTATTTCCAATGGAATTAGCCTCATGGAAGATTGAGCCCTGATTTGAAAATATTTGACTTTGGCATTTCAGTCTGTTACATGTTGGTGGTCACAGGTACTGTTTGGTGTGGACACAGTGGTGTAAATGTTGATGTTTTCGGATGTATATTCTAAGGAATATTTCTGGGAATCGGGAAAATATTTGCATTTTTAATTAGAAGTAATTATTCTGTCTTTACCTACTACGTGCCCATGTATTATCTACATGTACTGTCACTCTTATGGATATGTATCCCATATATCTTAACATGTATTTTGGAGTTATTGTGGGTTTTGGTTTCCACGTTAAGCTATTTGATGATAAGTCGCAAGCACTGGTTAGATTTTTCACTTTTGTAAATCGCTCTTCCTTTTGCCCATATTTGGTTCTATTCATGGTAGAATGCTCATTCACTTCTACTGAAAACCTACCATAGGGCATGAATCTGAAACTTTTGTGTTCATTCACAAACTCTTGAAAAAATCCCAAGAAGTTCTGTGTTGTGTGTTTCACATACATGTACAATAAGCAGGTATATGGCTCTTTATGTATAATGTCGATGTAAAACTAATGTATTAGACAGATTTGCTATTGATGTTAGACTAGCTACAATGGGGAACTGGAACGTATTTCTGTAAATTTGTAGCTAACTTTCAACTCCATTTCTCTATTCCTCTATCCTCTAGGTTACAGGATATCATTTTCTCAACTTTTTCGTAATTTTACTTTGTTTAACGCTTCTTTTCAATATAACTTTCATTCTTTGTAAATAAATAGATGTAATATCTGAATTTACAATTTTCTTTCATCTTTTCTAAACAATATTGTCTTCATTATTTAAATTTAAAATCTGTATTTTCGTACTCCATTTATACTTTGTTTTTCTTTCTCTACTTTCTTCTATTTGGTACACACATACTGTACTGTACTAGTTTATTGGTGTGATAATGTATAATAGGTGTGATATGTCTTATGAGTGTGATATTAGACCAGTGCTGTCAATTGGGGTCATTGTCACATCTTCACATGTATGCTGTACTTGTATCTTTAAACCATCAATGTCTCTCTGCTGATTTATACATCTATTCAATTATTAATGTTTTACTCATAAAATCCCAGCTTGACAACAATAAATGTGATACTCAACTTCACATGTATTTAACTTACAACTGGTATCAGTTATGATTTGTTAACTGAACAATGCAACTTAAGAAATTCCCAATGCCACATACACCTGAAAGCCTGTATATTTTGTTACACACACATGTTCCAATGAGGGTGTACAGACAATGTTTAATGGTGTGTTCTGATTGCAGGTTCTCCCAAGGCTATTGTCAGCCCCCAACCTGCCAAGCTTGTGAAGCCCATGAGGACCTTAATGGAGGAGAGTCAACATAAGCTACCCACTGAGGCTAAACCTCTGCTTTTACATGATGAGGTATTCTTTTCTTAATCAATTTGATTGACTGCACAACATTTTCTATACTAGTATGTCTTTGGAACATTTGTTCATACATATTTGTTTGATTTTCAATACCTTTCATGACTGCTTGCTTTATTTTTAATGTTAAAAATGTATACATATGAAAAATGAACAAAACAAACCAGCATCCCTTTTTGGAATACCAATTTCATTGCTATGTCAGGAATGTTTAATGTTAAATGTGATGAAGAAAGTGTAAAGGTTGTTCCAAAGATATTGATTCCCAGCTATATGTTTTATTTCACTGGTTCTCTTGTTATTCTAAACTGATGTCTTTGCTGTTGCAGTCTGATGATGACTACATCAAGTCCCTCCCTACCTCTCCTATGAAGGATTCCATAGATTCGGATGACTTCCAGGAGTTTGAGTCCTACCAGTCGCAAAATGAGCAGCAAAAGATGAGCGGTCCCCAGAAGATTCACAATGATGGGATTACACCATCAGGAACGTCAGAGAGTTTAAATGATGCACAAGTGAAGAGTTTCACCCCCAGTATGACCTCTAGTGGATATGGCTCCCAAGCAGTTTCGACTTTAACCCTTTCGTCTGAGGACTCTCTCAGTGCTAGGAGCTATAGCCTGGAGCAAGAGGATGCTCCTGTAGAGGAAAAGAAACGCTCACTAGATGGAGATAGTAGTGATCTGAACTCTCCTAGCAAGGCTATCCCTGCTGGGAGTGAGTTCACAATTGCTGGAAAGGCAGCGCAGATTGTCAAGCCCCAACAAATTGAAGCATATAATGTTGCTGCATTGAACAATAAGAACATGACTGGGAAGGACATGAATGATGTGTACAGCAATGAGTTGGATAACTTACTTGATGCTGACACAAAAATCCAGTCTGTAAAGCCTTTATCGCCCTTAGAGAGGCAGAAATCCAATCCAAAGGATTTAGAAATCAAGAATTTCCTTGAGGGACTTGTAGCCAAGGATAAAAAGTCATTTTCTTCACCAGTGACATCACCTAGAAGTGATAATTTTCAGCTTAAATCAATTGATCACATGAGCACAAGTGATACATCAAATGATGGTGGAGATGGGTTTGAGGCAGATGAAGCATCAAACAGCAAGAACACATCTGAAGTGTTACATAACCTTGAAACATCTGAAGTGTGTGAAGATCAAGGTGAGGAGGAACCATTGCAGTCAAATCTCAAAAAGGAGGGTATGGATGATACTAATGCTTATGACACCATAGAAGATAAAGGTGCAAACACTGACACTGAACATATTCATGAAGAAGTGAAAACTGAAGACATCAATGAACCTATTGATTCAATTGTAAATCATGTAGATAATGAAAAGAGCAGTTTTTCTGTCACAGAAAATGTGCAAAATGAGGAAAATGTACAAAATGAGGAGGAGAATATTCATAGTGAGGGTGTTCCAAATAAGGTAGAAAATGATGTACCAGAAGTTAATATTGAAACAGACAATAGCAATGTTATCATTAATCCCAATTTCACAGATGATGACTTAGAGGTCCATTCAACAAATGTACGCATCATTGAACAAACTTTAGATGATATTATAGAAAATGACAAAACCGTCAATACATCTGTTGGTCTCACAAACAATAATGCCCCTGAACACAAAGATATATCTGATGATTCAACTCCTAACAAGAACACTAGTAACCCATTACCCCAGGTTCAAATGAGACATTCCCCAAGTTTAGACTTGAACAAGCCAGTGTTCCGTGTGAAAAAGGGTGAGCATAAGGCAGGGGGGCCTATGAAAGCATTCCCAATGCGTCCTATGAGCACTCCTGATGCGATGCTGGATATCATCAATGATAATCAAGCCCTTGGCAGTCAGAAAAGTGAAGAGAGTCTTGTGTCAGATAGATCTGATGACCATTCAGGTAAATTACTTAACAAACCATCTTACATTTACAAGTTAAAATATGGAATTCATTATCATGATAAAATTATTGAAATCTTTACACACCGAAATCAATTAATCTATGTTGCACAATGTGAGACGGAAATAGCTGACTTAACCATTACATCATTGCATTTTGGTCTGCCATTTAGAAGTAGCAAGTGTTATTTACAATTTCAAGAGGATGTTTCTATCATACTTAATATTAGGCCTCATATAATTGTTTTTCTTGCAGATAATGATGACAGCATGTCAATGTGTTCATTTGGTAGCAGAGCTGACCTGAATCGTCTCCATGAATCCCCTGTGCCATCATGGATTGTTGTTGGGGAGCCAGTCACCGTCCTATCATCCACAGGACCATCTAAAAGTGGCACTGTGAGATATGTGGGGGAGACAGACTTCGCAAGTGGCCCCTGGGTAGGGGTTGAGCTGGACCAACCTGAGGGTAAGTTAACAGTTATATGTTGAGGAATCACACCTGTGTGTAGATCTCCTATTTTCTATAGCTTTACCACAATCTTTCCTCAGTTTCAGGAAGAGTGATGTGTAGTGCTTCTCTGGGATTAGCGAATTTGATGGCCATGTGTTTCTCTAATGACTTTAATTCTGAAATATTAACAACACTTTTAATCTCTGAAATATTGAAAATGATGACTTGGACATCAAAGCTTGGATTGCAATAAAGTTGCACTGTAATATGGCTTTTGTATCCCATGACATGAAATAATTTTCAATCATTTTCAATAAGTTTTCTATTTCTGTAAATAAATATGTACACTATGTATTGTATAATGAACAACTGTTCAACATGACAGAATAAAATGAGTATCCATTATATTTCAGGCAAGAATGATGGTTCAGTGAAAGGTCGTCGTTACTTCAAAGCCAGGTCACGTCATGGTACATTTGTGCGACATGATAAGCTCATCATGGATAAGAAGCGACGTGCGAGTCCAGCAAAGACTGGTTCTATGCCACCCTCATTGCGTCGCAGTTTGGGAAATTTGGCCAATATTGAAGGTGCTAAAACTAAAGCAGAAAAACGGGCCAGTTTTAGTCCCGGGTCGTCATTTATGAAACCAACGTCAAGTTCTGTACGACGCACCAGTAGTATGAAGAAAAATTAAATACAAAATGAATTTCAACATAAATAGAAAAAAATATTCAGAACTGTGATTTTCCAGAGTGAAAAACTGGATTTATGTATGAGAAAAGTAAAACTGAATATTTAGCATAAAGTGTAAATTACTGATCAACTTAACTATTTTTAGATTAAAACGTGTTGTTTAAAACTGATGTGGCTTGTAGGATATAGAAGTGATTGCTTTGGATGTTTTAAGTGCACATCATAGGAGGTTTGTATAAAGCACATGTTTGCAAAGGCATTCACAGTGTAATGATTGAGTACATGATAAACTGAGCCATGTAAATTAATTATCCAGAAATTCTCCCAAATCTTTGGTCGAATAAAGCTAGTAGTAAGGCTGATTCGGAAAATATTCCGATCCATCCAATCTTACCTTCAGAGTGGAATTTCCTAACAGATGTGTCATAAAAAACTGACGAAAACAAATACAAGGTTAAAAATCAGGATTTACTATATATTATAGAACTCTACAACAATGTACAATCAATTCACATTGTTGTCTCGTTTCACAAAAATTTGATTTCCAAAGTTCTAGTTTCTAAGAGCAAGTTTTGAAATCCATTCTGATTCAGCGACAGCCTTAACGAGTAGTTTATCAAGATTACACATTATGATTGTGTATATGTTGCACAGATAAATCATGTATTTCACGAAAAGACTAAAACTGGAGATTAAAGTTGAATGCCGACTATGTATAAATAAAAAAGTAAGGGGTATGACTATGAAGTGTAGTTCGACAGATAAATGTAGATATTCTGTCAATATTATTACAGTGTACAAATATGCTTAGATTTTAAGATGTACAAAATATTGTTTGCGTATTTAATATGTGTAAATTAAAAGCTTAGATCCCTATATGATTCTATGACTGTACTGTATATGTTGAAATTGAACTGAAACTGATGGACCACAATATGTGGGAGGAATGTGAATGTTCACACATTATTATGCCATATTTTATTGTTTTTACTTTTAAGTTGAAATAATAGATTTTTTACTCTGTAAGAAGTTAAAATCTGTGCAATTTTAGTTGTAGATGAATCAGTTAGAGCTCTGAATTATTTTTTATTTTCAATAAGCTCATTTATTCCGAATGCTCGAAAATATTTGTGATATTTCTAAATCATGACGTTTGAAAAGAGATTGATGCGTGGAAATGTTTTAAATTCAAACCTTTATTGCAGTAGCTTTGAATTCCAATGTATCAATTATTTGTATTGATTAATTTTTAAATCAGTAAATATGATCATTGTGTTAATTTGATACATGCTTTATTAGAGCTTTTAATGATTTCATAGTTTATATTAAGATTTGTATTTTATTTGCTGTATATCGCTCAAGATTTGAAATTTTCTAGGAAGGAAAAATAAAAAAATTGTGCCAGGTATGAACATGTAAAGATGAATCTTATAAAATCTGTCAAGTTTTTCTTTATGATGAATCTGTAAACTTTACACACAGAACATATGACAATGAACATAATGTAATGGAGTGCACAAATATACACTCAGTGCTGTATGAAATAGAATAGCAGAAATGTACAGAGTATTTTATATTTATCATAATTCAATATCTGTGACATAAACTGTCATCTGTTCAACATCATTTATTGTCACATATGTCACATCACATATCTTGTTATGTCACACATCATGTCATGTGACAAGATGTGTGACAAACTGTTGAATAAGTGTTTGTGGTAATTTATTCAAATGTACATGTGTTATGCTTGTGACATCTTATGTATCACATGATATGTGACATATTACATCTTATGTATCACATGATGTGTGACATATTACATCTTATGTATCACATGATATGTGACATGTTATGTACAACTTTGACATAGTTTCTACATCATGTGTTATTATAGTCTATATTGTTTGTCTGAATGTCTGAAATACAATATATTTTGACATCCCTCATGTAACAAACTATAAGAAATACATGTGTAGTGTAACAGTGTTAGACAATATGCTCCACAAACATGTGCAGTATGCTGTGTCATAAAGTGTTCTGATTTTATTTCACTGATGAATTACAAAATGTGTATTTTTGAAACGGATTCCCAATAATTGAGCTACAGTAAGCATAATTTTGAAAATATCAACATAAGAGTGTGTACTCCATTGAACGTTACATGTAGACTGTAAATGAAGAGAAATTGACAGAAAATATCTTTATTGATACAGTAGTTCAAAGTATGAAATCAAGGCCTGTCTGTTTGATATTTATTGATCAAAGAGTGCATTATTTTTAGTTGCAATGTTTTTATTGCATTTAAACATGCTACATTGGCATTGTCTTGTGCTGATGTGTGGGCAGTCAGCACAAGAAATCTTGTTCATTCGTTTCACTTGATATTTTCACACTTGTAAGAGGAGCCTACAGCCAATATCTGATTGTTTTTGGGCACGTTTGGTTAATTACAAGATGGCCATTTTGAAAACTTATGGGATTCAGATTTGCACAACTGAAAGGTGGTGTCTAATTACAGAACTTATTCATTTTGATGGCCACTTTGAATTTTTGATATTTCATGTCATATCCATTCTAGAAAGACCACTGATTGAATTCAGTTCTTTATACATCATGTTAATGGTATTGAATGGATAGCAATTCAATTTAATTTTTTCTGTTCAATATTTCTTTTCATTAGAAACTTTGTACAGTTGTTAGGTGGTATCGAATTCAAAACTTTATCAACATTTGGTCGGCCATCTTGGATAATAAGGCACCATTTCTTGTCATCATGAATTTAGGAAGACTATTTGAAGGAATTATTTAAAATGCTCAAGGGTACCCCTTAGTAAGTAAATCTAGACCTGATTATGGGCATGTTGGATGTTTTCTCTTCAAGTGCGATATTTATTATTACTGTGTGTCTTCATTCTTTGTTTCTTATTGTGCTTCCGTTATAAGCATGTATTCAATATGAATAATATTGCTGTATCATAAGATATTTAATATGTTTAAAAAGATAACTATAAAAATGGTTGGTATTTTCAAATTTTTCTCTTAAAACAGGGTTAAAGCTATAAAGCACAAAAATTGGCTGTATTTTAGAATTGGTTTTCACTTTATAGTGGATGCCTCATTGTGTAACGAGTAAAATTGGTAACTTGAATTTTTGCCATGGTAACACCTGACATTGTATCGATAAAAACTTAGATAACTTTTCAATTGTTAATCAGATTCATGAAAAATAGTATTTTTGTTAAGTTTCAGAACAGGTGTTTGTGCTTCAATTGTAGCAAATATGAAATAGGACTGGATATTTGTAACACCTGAATTATCCAAATAAATGTTTCCAATCATAAATTACATTGTTTATTCTTAATTATTTTTAAATTGTTTAGAGTTGGTCTCGTATTTGCCTTCATTCAAACTTTGGTGGGTAGGTTATTAAGACGAACAGAAAAAATTAAAAGTGCTCACAAAGTGTTTTGTTGGATTTGGTGGGCCTAACATTTTATTGTGAATTTCATGTAAAAACTGTTAAGATAACTCCCAAAACATATTCTTGGAATATGTAGTACCGATTATGAAACATATCACTTTGTGCTCACAGCTATACATCGGATGTGAGCCATATATGCCAGAACGGGCATCATCATTGAATTTTGCTTCAAAGCAATGGATCATTTCTTGGTGTCCTCATATCAGTAAATAGCTTATCAATAACAACAGTCTTGACCAGGAGCCTAATAATCCTTATACATGTATTATGAAATCTCCTATTCCTTCATTATCCATGTACTGTATTCTCTAAAGGCTGCAAATCCCCTAAGAGTACACATGTGATGAATAGTCTTAGAACTTACAACCAAATGAGATTTTACTCCTTTTCCTGTAGTATAGAACTTGAGGTTTTTGGTAGGAGCTGAAATCTCTCAACATTTCCCTTTCCACGTTAATTTTTGAGTTTGTGTGCTTTTTAGAGAGAATATGGTATATCGTAAATCCATATACTATTAATATCATTTTATTTTATACTTACATGTAGTGTACTAAATGTGTAACATTGAAAAATAAATTTGATATCTATTGGCAAAATGAATAACCAGAGGATATGGCCATAATATACTAAAAACAATGTGCGGAGGATATCGCGACAATTAATCCACTAGTTGATTTTTTATACATAGTACACTAAGTGTAAGATAATAACATGATATGATTTTTCAGAATATAATTGATATCTGCACTCTTTTGCTTCGTTCTCTCATACCATGCAGATATCACCTTGTAGATAAAAATGATATTCCTCAAAGTAATAAATATCCATGAAATATCCTTGAACCAAGGAGACACACTCCACATATCACAAAAATACATAATATTTAGTATATTTTTGCTATAAATATATTTATTGGTTGTTACCTTATTATGTTTATGTTGTGACAGTAAAGTAAAAGAATGTTAACACATACTAAATAGTGGAAGTCCTTATCATTAATTTTAGTTTACACAATACAACTTTTCCTAAAAATGCAAAATTTCATTGCATTTTTTTATGAGTTAACAAATTAAGTTTGAACTTAAGTTATCGTTTGTAACGTTAGAATGCAATATAAGATTCATCAGCCACCTCAAAAAATTTAAAAGATGTTCACTCAACAAAGGCTTACATTTTTTCACTTGTTAATAATGCAAAGTCTGGTAACAAAGGTATGATGGGATAAATGTGGTCTCATCTGTTTAACTCCTAAATTAGGAGCAAAAACATTGTTTTATGTCCCGTCATAGAAATAGCTGGAATGTACAAAAAACAATTTACAAAATGTTTGCAAAATTTTTGCTTGACGTACATATATGATGAAGAATTTATTTTACAAATACAAAACACTCAATACTTCGTACTACAGCTGCAAATCTTAACAAGAACAATTTCATTGGAATGGACCTAAAGTTGCATGCTTTTGCGGCAAAATATTTATTAATAAATGGTGGATATAAACCTGGTCAGGTACAAGACCTGTTTTTCTATGACAAGTCTTATTATTAATATTAACTGCTCACATTTGATTCCAACAAAGGTGGTACTTAGGTTTACTCTTCACTTCTATCAATAACAACTATCAACAAGCTGTTGAATGTACTTTGCCACTAAATGTCCCATTTACAGAAAAACAACTGCATACTAAGAACTCATCATTTAATTACAGACTTTTTCCATCCCATACCATCTCAAGTCATAATATTAAATTTGTGCTAACCAAAACAGATTGCAAAAACAGAAGTTTGGTGGCTTAATCTGATGCGCCATTAGTATTGTTTATTAAACTCTAGACAAGGATTTGCATTCTGTATCAGATGAAGCCTTGTGCTGACTCTGTTCACATTCTCATTATTTCCTTAGTTGGATTGGCCTCTTCGAGATAATGCATTAGCTAGTTCATTTTGTAACATCTTCTGGGAGGTTTCATCTTGTAAAGGTTGCACTGATCTCAAACCATTCACTATATCTCGAGTTTTACCAAAGTAGATTTCATTTAAAGTATTTCGAATTTTATTCTCCATATCCTGGAAGTAAAGAGAAGATATTAGTTAATGAAAACCCAGAATGAAATTCTGCGCTAACTGGACTTTTTCACAAAATATGGATTCCATGATACATCATATTGAAGGTTATTGTAAGATACTACACTCATCATACATTACAATTATTATAAAATATGAAATCTGTTTCAATCTGAACAGAACACATTGACACCTTGGCATATTACAGTACTGTAAAACTTGTATATAGTGAACACCTATGGAGCCACAAAAAAGTATCCATTGTGAGTAGGTGTTCGTTAACATTTGATAAAAACCAATGGAATACACAATAGTTCATATTAACTTCATAGGGTAACATAAAAAGATTATGCTCTTAGGATATTTTTTCTTAACAGATTAGAAAATCTTTATCTAATTTTTTTAAATGAATACTTCAATACACTGAATAAATAATAAATGAAACAGGTACGTGATGATGTATTGATAACATCTATTCTTAGATATCTTACCTCTACCATGGTTCCTATGTTTTTTATATGTGGACTTGCATCACTAACTGGTGCATCCTGTTCAGTCTGGAAAAACACATAGTATATGGGTAATGGTTGCCATAGAAATATTGAATATGATCAAATCTGCATAAGGATTTCATTAAGAAAACCATTAAAAGCCAATGATTTATTTGGTTTTTAATATATTTAGTTAAAAAATATTGAGGTTTACCCATTTTATCATAAGACATTTTTCAATTAAATTAAATAAATTCCAGTTTAATTCATTGTAACAACATTAATCTTTATACACTCAATATCTCCTACACACAAGGTAATTTGAATTAGCATTACATAAATCCATCTTGCTATTTAGCCTTTAGGATACAGTTGTAGTGTTCAAGTTTAAAATACATTAATCACTCCAGCATTCATTTCATGCCATTTGCAGTTGAGCATATGGCTAGAGATATATTGTCAACTTATAAGTACATACAATACACTACGTGAAGCTAATAAGTTGGAGGATTATACATCTGAACGCTCAGAACCTTCAGTTAAGAGATACATAGATAACAGCTCGACTCACAGCTAGCTGTATAGAACTGATAAACAATATGGAACATTTTGAATAATTTTCCATGTACAAAACTGAAAGATGAGGATATTGACAAAGACTTTCTAATAATCACAGGCAGAGACAAAAGGCTGTTTTATACATAAGCCAAGCATGACTCTGGTGTAAAACTTAAATCACCTTTAGCCTAAGTGTACTTGTCAAAGATTCCCAATGATATTCAGAAATTGCAAAATATGTAATTACTTCACATGTAAAATGAGGTACCTAATAGTCAACACACAGAAAAAGAGACTGCTGATTGCTTATATGTTGCTTTTCAGTTTTCTCTATCTTTGGTGGAGGAATCACCATAATGCCTCACCAGATGTCAGCATTATCTCTACTAGACAAACTTGGAGGAACCAAAATGGTAATTTAAAAGATGGTGACTTTGTAACATTGTCCACAAGAAAGCCAATGAACCCTAAGCAAGCAGATATAATAATGCAAGTGAAACGGCACGAAATTAATAATCAAGTTGCAAAGGTGCTCCAAGAAGCTAAAGATGAGGGAGAAAAAATGGGAAGTAATATAGATTCCACTGATGGTCAACAGGACTACCAAGTGACAAAGAAACTTTCCAAACTTGAAGAAGAGTATGTTTTAATTCAGAAAACCTGTTCCAAACAGTTAGTTTATAGGTAAGTATCGGTACATTGAGTGTACAAGCTTGCACATGTATACAGGATGGGTTATTTAGGTCATATTTATAACCACATTACCCATAGATAGGTCTTGCTCTCACATCAAAGGCTTCTTGCATTTTATTGCTTTCTGCATGATGCCATTATGCAATTGGCTTTAATGTTAACAATGGCAGGGTTTACAATGATTTGACTGTTACAAACACAAATATTGTAAATCTATATAACAGTTGATTTGAGAGCTCTCAACTAGACAAAAATGTCTTATACTTTCATGGATTTGAGATTATATAAGATATTTTTATTGGGGTGTCTGCAAAAACAGAAATTCATGATGGCCTTTCATAAACCAAGTGTGAGAGAAGAAGCACCATCTATGATTTTGTAAAAAGCAAGATTGGGCAGTTATCATGCATTACATATTTGCATAACATTTTCGTATTTTGAATACCATTTTAAATATATATGTTCATCTTATTCCAGTTGTGACCATTTCTGTGGTGGTCTTGCTGACAGACTGGATGGAATAATGGGTGTGTTTATCTGGGCTTTACTGACTGGAAGCTGTTTCCACATAAACTATGGACACCCTTGTTATCTCGATAACTTCCTTACTCCCAGTGGGGTCATCAACTGGCTTCAACCTTTTCGTATGGATAACATGAACTTCCTTGATTTCATTCACCCAACTGGGGAGTTTCAGAGGGAACTTAAGCAATCTATTCAATACTCTAATATCAGTATTGATGAAAAGTACCCAGCTGATAACTATGCTATAAGACTTAATGAGAATTTATTTGAAGCTTTTCAAGGTAATCCTATGTACAAAGAACATTTAGAGAAGTTTGGGTTCAATGAGGAGACTACAAGTGAAGATGGGTTTATTATGGTGTATGATGCTCTATTTAAAATGACACCAAAGATCAAGGGAGCCCTGAATGAATTCAAGCAACAGTTGGAACCAGATTCGCAGCTTATCTGTGCACAGTTGCGTATACCAGATCGTATGCCGATAGAATACTTAGACGATAATGCTGAACAATTAAACAATGTTTGGACGTTTCTAAAATCATACCAAAAACAAACAAACTTTAAATATTTTGTCACAACGAATTATGAAGCATTACGTGAGAGAGCAAAAGCTATATTTGGTGATGAGTTAGTTGATACTAAAGGCCCTACAGCCCATATAGACATCGACAAGAAACAATTGGCATGTGAGGGGCACAGTAAGGTGATTCTTGACTTCGAGATCTTATCCCAGTGTGATGTGTTATTAATCTCTGGGGGGAGTGGGTATGGAAGACTGGCTGCTGCCAGAAAGCATGATCAGAGTCAGGTCTTCACATTTCATATGCGCAGAGGTCTTATAGAAGATTCAAATGGCCATGATGTTAATTCTTAAAATGTTCTGATATTGTACTGGCCACATAACAATTAAAAACAAATAGTATCCTATATTTAGAATCCCTAAACTTTTGTCAAATATAAGATAATAACTCATAAAACATATCATAATATTAGATCTTGCGATAATGACAGTGAACCAATTTCAGTTCACAGAAATGACAGCTGTGCAACATTTTGAATTCCATAACTGTGTGACACAATCTGAAAGTAAAGCTGGTTACCTGTCGTGTAAGGCTGCCACCAAGATTCATTGTACCAGAACCGGTTTTGTTTGTCTGTAGCCACAACATTGCAGTAGAGGTGAGTTTGTAGTGTGCATTACGACCAGTAGCTTTCTCCTGCAACAAAAATATACTCATCAACGAGACATAAACACAACAAAATATCACCCTCTGGTAAGTTATTGCAAATAGCAATACTGAGGGAAACATTTACAAGTTCAAAGTAAATTTAAAGGAAACACACAAATCTGATTTTGGGACACCTCTGTAAGTGGAACACCTCACAAGTGAAACAGGTTTTTAAAAGTCCTGTAGCTCATTGACTCCATGTTAATGAACCTCTGTAAGTAGAGCACCTCATAAGTGTAAGTTCCACTTACAACGGTTCTACTGTATATGATATACTATTATTTGCAAACACAATTTCTTGATCAACCAAAAATGAAAAGATAATGAGTCAGTTTTCTCATTTGAAACATCATTAATAAAACCGACACTTTTTCTGATGTGACTTGTGACTTACTTGTACTTCTACTACATGTATTGAGTCCCAGCATCCTTTAGTTGTCTTTGAACCATCCCCTGCCTTCTTGATGAGAATAACACCTGCAAAGCCATGGTCCAGGTCCCATAGGTACACTGAGGATACACCTCCTTCAAAATACCTGAATTCATAAATAAAACAGATATCATAGATAGAGGAAAACAAGTTTCATGTAAGGTCCACCCAGCCACACACAAAATAGTGCAAAATTACAGTATAGCACATTTTCAAAGTGAAATACAAATATTTGTTTACTTTAAAATCTGTATTATACAATGTCTTGTTTATTGATTATATCATACTACTCTTATTCAAATGAAATAGCATTTTCTTGTTAAATATCATATTCGATATTGACATTTGTGTTGTGTTTATAAGGCAATAACTTACAAATAAGATGTCAAGATTTAAATAAAGATTGCAGTTCAAATGTCAGCTCCATAAAGAGAGTAACCCAAGACTTACATTTCCCTATATTGGTCGAATGCTGAGTTGGCATCAATCTCTAAGCGCCTCAGTCTGTCTGAAGGCATTGCCCCGTCATCTAGGGGAGGGTCATATTTATTGCTCCATGGTGACCTGTAGATAAAGAAGCCAATATGTAAATTTGTATGAGAAACAAAGAGCAGAAATGTGTACGATGAAATGAATAAAACAACATGGTAATCAATGCATATACTTCATGGTAATAGGATCACATCAATACATCATATCTAATTTCCAAGGTAGTTTTCAAGGATTTGAATGCTACCAACAAAGCAGAGCTGGCTATTATCGTTTTATCATTCACTCCATACTATACTTGTTTCAAGTGTAATTTTCATTGTATACCTCGGATATACAGGATATGTTTACCCAATGTGAAATAACATTTTGGGTTGGTTTGTCTTTGAATGTTAAAAGTAAATTTCTAATCAATGTTCATAATTGAAATAGAAATAGTATCCTATAGTGGTATATTATACAATGTAAAGCATTTAAGCAAGTTCATTAAAATATGTGGGTACCTTCCAAATATCATAGTTTATTAAATCACTCTTACAGTTACATAAATAAAATACTACATTATTGAAAGAATGAAATTGATCTACTATCCCTTTAAAAAAGGACCAGATATACAAAAGGTATGTAATATAAAAGTATGTTCTAGCAAGGCTTCTCTTACAGAGCACTCACCTATATGAATCTCCATCTCTGTTGTAATCACAGAGCAGGTAATCTTTACCCACAGTTCTATCTCTGGCTATCTTTAAGGGTTGATCTACAGAGGACAATAGATCTTCACATAGACTTGGAACCTGGGGATGAAAATAAACTTGTCATAGGATTCAGATATGAATACAACACAAGGAATGCTTAATACAGTAAAATCTGTCTTAGTGAACACCCCTCTCTAATGAACACCTGTGTTTGAAGACACATTTTACACTGACTGTACTGTATGAAATCCCTTCTCCGCAGTGAACACCTTCCTGCAGTGAACACTTTTTTGTGGCTCTTTTTGAGTTCACTATCCACCTGTTTTACTGTAGATCTATATTCTAGTTCTATGTTATTCAGAACATTCCAAAGTGTGCATCTTACCACATTTGAGTCAATGGGTAATGGCTGAGGTAATGCTTCAAGTCTTATCAAAAGTCAAATAACAGGTCTAATTTCGGTTGAGTTCAATGTTGAGTATTTGTTCATGATGAATAAGATAAACAAATTCATGTCTGCATTAATGATTCAATAAGCATTACACCAGGAAATTCCAATTTAATTACCTATATAAAGATATGGTATCCTGACTTGATAGAAGTGATCTGACTTAAATAAGCTCTGATCTCATACTTTATCTGTATAACAGAATTCAAAACTATTATTCAGAAAACACATTTTTTGTACTGTTAACTTTAATTCTCAAATGATCTCTAAAACCTGTATAGATGTAATAGGTATCATTTAAGTTTACATCTCAATGTTAACAAACCTCATAATTTATTCTCACAAGTAAATCCATTTACATGTAATAAAAATTCAAAGCAAAATTTTATGAAACCTAGAAAGCAAGTATTTAATGAGTATTTATAGGATTTTTGAAACAGATCTGAACCAATATTTTTTAAAGCAACCATGACATGTTCAATCTTTATAGCTACATATGAATAATTCACAAATGGCTTATAAGCCAATTTACAGGAAATATACAATTCTATGATTTGTACAGAATTTATATAAATCAATGACAATTTCAGAAAATAAATAGTACCGTGGGTACTGGGCTCACATGGTGTTGCTCAAAAGTGAATGATTTTTTACAATACAGGACACTAATGGGCCAAAAGTAAATTTCGCGAGACAAAAATGGCGACCTGTCGACAGAGGTTTAAAACATGCCACTATTGTTGACGGACGGACGGACGGACAGATGGACAAGTGAGTGATTGCAAAAGCTCACCATGTGAGCTAATGACAGTTAAAATAGATCTATGATAACATATCCTCTGATAATGTTAATGAAGATAGCTGGCATCTTCGACTTCCAAGGTGTTATAACACAATTGAAACCTTGTGAATCAAGATGGATAGCTGGAGTTTACTATATTTACTATTTGAAAAAATAGATCAAAGTATCCACTCACCAGGTCTATGAGATCACTAAGGTTTTGTTCTATCTGTTGTGGAGGGAGCCTCCTCATTAAGTCTAAGGCACAATCTAATTGTTGCTCCGTCTGAAAGATACAAAATACATAGTACTATATGTTACAATCTAATTGCTGCTCAGTATGAAAGATACAAAATACATGAACTGGTATTTAATCTTATTGCTGCCCTATCCGAGTGACAATCAAATACTATCTTGCTAAGCCCTTCTGCCACCATCAGCCATCTCCCGAGAAGTTTATAGGGGAAGATTTAGATGGATGCTTAATGAAAGAATACTGTATGTACCGGTATTAATGTGTCATTCTTGCTTTGTTCAAAATATAGTCAAATACATTGACTGATATGACATCAGATTTTGCACATGCACTGGTTTGACAGAGTCTTTACAGAATTTTAAAGTAAACAAAACATGTCGGTGGTACAGTATATTGCAGTCCAAGGATTCATTTTTCATTTGAATTTCAATCAATGCTTGATTATTTGTATCAAAAAAATGATAAAGGGAGATTTGAAGATGAGCTGTTTCATCAAACTATATATTTCATTGTGCATAAAATATGGTTTTACAGAATACAGATATATATGTACATGTACATGTTTTTGAATAGAATTTAGAATGATGAGTATTCCTGGGAATATCACTACAGTTTGGACCATAAGTAAATGAGTCATGGATTTCCAATGTTAAAAATAAGAGATATTTAAAGAGGCCATACATCAGGGGATGAGAGTAATATTGGAAACTATGGGCTTTCAAACTACAATGGTTTGGAAATGGTGATAGAAAATCGACCACTTATTTATTTATGGTCCAAACTGTTGGTCGATATTACGTCTCTTGCTTACCACCTTCATTTGTTCGAATTTTTACCAGCTAGTTTCCGAATATTACTCCTCGTTGTGATACTTTAATCGATGTTAGTTTATATCTTACTTTATCTTGATGTGAAATAACAAGCTATGATATTGGTGAACACAAATTATTTGAAACATTTAAAAAAAAATTGAAACCGCCAATGATTGATGTATGTCGATTTGACCAACCAGCGACGATGCCTTCTCAATACACATTTACATTATAGTCATACCCCCCCCCCCTATTGGTTTATTCTTGTTAGCTAAAGGGTCCCCACTGTCGTGTGGACATCACATTTTTTAAAATGAATGTAAGAGCATAGGAGACAGGTTACCTGAAAAGGAAGATAGATATCATTATCTCTTATCTAAACAAGGACTGAAACTGAGGCAAGTCTACCCTGGCTGAAATCAGCTCTGAAATAACAATTACTGCATGTCAAGCCGTCATTCAATGCTGATTTTGTAGAAAACAGATCTGTCCATCCTTCTACATGTGAGTTTTTCCCATAAAGATGCTTGATTAAGTAGAAATTCATCAAATTATACCCCTAGAATATCAAAGTTCAACTGTACATCAATCGCGTGAGGAAAAAAAACAAATCCATTCTTCACCTTCTGTTCACAAACCCTTCTTCTTCTTCTTGGAAAAGTTGTCCCTCATTTGACTAACAGCAAATGTGTATGTTTATGCAGCAATATATGTTAGTTTAGAAAATGATTAATTACAATCTTACCTGTACTTCACAGAAACATCCTAAGTATGAAAATATTTCACTAAAAATACATGCTTCCATTTTGTCACATGTTCATAATAATTTACATATTGACCATGTGATGTTGACAGGGAGTGTAAACGCACCTAGCGTACAGGAAATATGTTATGATATTTATTAAGAAATTAGGTATGGTAATCATTATTACTTATTGTATTAAGCCCCCAACCCACTTCACAAAGTTCATGAAGTACCAAGGAAAGACCAAATATTAAATAAATTAGAAAAATTTGAATTTCCCAAAAAATCAAGTGGGCGATAATAGAGTCTCTGAAACATTAAATTTTTCCTTCATTAACTTATTACATACATTATTTTTAGATAATACTGTAGATTGGGTTAATTTGGTGCCCGCTTTAATTTGGCGAATTTGGCGAAATTGAAAAATTCACCAATATAAATCTTCACCAAAATTTAGAATGAATCCCCGGGAATTATCTAGGGTATTTCGTCTAGTGTATTTAGGTCACTTCCAGTTTAGTTTTTTCCAAAAATATGAAAAAATGTCTCTCATAAATTGGCTCAGAACTGGTCAGTCACTCATTAATACTCAGGGAAAAACTAGAAAGGAAAAGCGCGTTATAGTAGCAGCATTGATCGAGGTGCAAAATGTAAATGATCTCACAAAAATGTACAAACGTGGTGAATATCGCTAGTGGTCCTCAAAAGAAAAAATGAACATAGCCAAACATGCCCATTTACATGGTAATTCGTAAACAGGCCGTAAGTTTAACATTGCGTTAACATTTTTTTTGCATATCCGCCAAAATAAATAGCCGCCAATATGCCAAAAATGGCAAAATCGCCGAATTAAATAGCGCCAAATTAACCCAATCTACAGTTTTAGTTTGATATGGTGTGGATTATCCCGTTCCCGGACTATGGTCCTGTGAACATCTCAATCTTTTGCCTGTGCGATTACAACATGGGAGAATTTTTTACTCATCTTACACTTCAGATACCTACTTCAATAGATTCCTTGGTAATTTAGCATTCTTTTCGTGTAGTTGAATCCACAATTGTCTGGGTTTATCGGCAGAACGAAGACATTTTCGTTTTTGATCGCAATATTTGCGTGTAACATTTAACTTATTTCAACCGTCAAATTCCTCCATATTGGTACTTCCGGGCTACATCCGGGACAGCCAAACGGGGGATTCCCCTTTTAAATCCAACCGCCATTTTGAAAAGTGATGGAATCTCTCTCGATGAAAAAGAGAAAATGTTCCCGTTCTGCCGATATACCCAGACAATCGGCGGTTCCAATATATTAGAAGTTACATCTTGAGTTCTATAATGCATTGAGGTAGGTATCTTAAGTGTAAGGGGCGTAGATAATTCTCCCAAGTTGTAATCGTACAGGCAAATGAATGCGCTCAGTGCAGGACTACAGTCCGGGAACGGGATAAGGTGTGGAAAGCACACAATGATAGATAATTATCGGGAGTATGCATTGAAAATTACAAAATATGTCATTTTTGCCATGTTTCAGAGGCTCTATTATCGCCCACTTGATTTTTTGGGAAATTCAAATTTTTCTAATTTATTTAATATTTGGTCTTTCCTTGGTACTTCATGAACTTTGTGAAGTGGGTTGGGGGCTTAATACAATAAGTAATAATGATTACCATACCTAATTTCTTAATAAATATCATAACATATTTCCTGTACGCTAGGTGCGTTTACACTCCCTGTCAACATCACATGGTCAATATGTAAATTATTATGAACATGTGACAAAATGGAAGCATGTATTTTTAGTGAAATATTTTCATACTTAGGATGTTTCTGTGAAGTACAGGTAAGATTGTAATTAATCATTTTCTAAACTAACATATATTGCTGCATAAACATACACATTTGCTGTTAGTCCAACAACATTAGACCTAGCCTGGGCCTCGTTTCTTATCTGACATGTCTTATGGCCCCGGCTAGGTCTAACTTCCATGATGATTTTGCCCTTGATGCGATCATTTAATCGTTCAGCAGGTTTCGACATGCGGAACTAATTAAACCGTAATAAGATGGTATCGTTACAGAAATAATGTGATCAACGCATGCATACATACCTTATGAATAAATACAAATCATCACATACCCCCCTGTAACCTCATCGATGTATAATTATGAAAATGTTGGGAGAAGGCTTTTTCTTAGTTTAGAAAACTCTGTTCTGGTTCCGGTAACATCGAAATGGCAAATCCTTTCAGGAATAAACCGCCGTTAGCAACACTGAACGAAACAAGTTCATAAAACGAAACGAACCCCGGTTATCCTATATATAAGTACAAAATATTGTAATACTGTAGGAGGCTTGCGATAAACATGATTAAGTTTCCTACTTTTTTTCCTGTTTTATTTTCAGAATTATGGTCAATTTCTGGCTAAAATGCTAAAGCTTTCAACATCTTTGGACAGACGCAAGCATGTGATACTGAATAATTAGATATTTTTCTTATTGTGCCAAAGTTTTCTCTCCCCGAAAGTCAGTGATTTCCCATTGTAATAACTCAGATGCGAGTAGGTAGTTACCAGTTTCACCACCAGGTGGCTCATTCAGGTCACATAGCATGACATAGTTATGCAAATTAAAATAATGTAAAAGAAAATATTATCTGTCCAATACAAGAAAACATATTTCACTTTTTGTGACTTTATATGTTGAATCTCCCCGTAGTAGCATTTACATTTTCCAAAACAAAAATTTTTCAAAATTGATCAACAATATTTGAAGCAATATTTCTTGATGTACTTTTACATGTACATTTCAAATACTAGATAGTATGACATCATTTTGACTGAATGTTTAATGACGATCAAGTAAGGTTTTTTAACATTAGAGTAATGAGATCGAAAAAAGCTGAAAAGTGTTGATTTGAAAAAAATCAGATTTGGAGGTATCGAGATAAATCAGGTGTGAAGTATAGGTTAAAAGTACATTTACTTGCTCCAATATCGAGATAAAACACATGTGTTTAACTTTTCTCTCATTGAGTAAATGAAATATCATTGTAGAAAAATATATTTTATAAAATAGCATAAACAAAACTTCTGTTTAATTTTATTAAGAACATCATACATTTAAGAGCTAGGAATAAAACAACCATGCATATACATCAGTGTTCTCCCCAAAAAAAATTTCAACTGGGTGCAAGATTTCAAGTCTAAAAAAATCAGCACTCGCTACGCTCACAATATCTCAGTGTAGGTGCTTACTTCACTCATTCTTTAAATCAGAAGTTGAAGTGCAGATGCCAACTGGGTGCCAACTGGAGGGCCTTTGGTTTCAAGTAGGGGGAGCCCCCGGTAAAAGTGACATGGGGAGATCACTGTACATGTAATCTTATCACAATACATCACCACATTGAAGTTATTAAAATGTAACAATTGTTACAAAGCATGTTTGCTGAGTAAAATACATGATCCCAGTTATAAACAATTGAGTGTATTCCTAGGTACGTTTTTGCAAGCAGAAAACCATGAACAATTACCATAATTTAATATTTAGGCACGGCAATTATTCAACACAATCACAATCTAGCACAATCAATGACATCTATATTTCTTTGAGCTGAAATTACCAGTAATCAAATGCATCAATAATGTTGCTTTTTAAAGTTTTTATAAATAACAATAGAGTAAACTTGGGTGAATACACGCGCTGTTTGAATAAAGCAAAGATTCGTGTCATACTGGATGGTTATAATAAATATCAATATTGAAGAACAATTTCGTTTCGCTGACCAAGTTTACTTTGGCGACGCACAGACAGACATTGCCGGTTGAAATATTCGTCTCATAAATTGGTAAGAATAAGACTCATTTTACGATTAAAAATGAACATTTAACACAATAATATTATGTGAAATCGCCTGATGAAATGTGGTTTTATATTATTGTTAAGTATCAGTGTCATATTAGCGAGGAAAAGTGGTTTCGATAGATCCACAACTTGCATCAAAGGAAAGAATAGCATGGAGGTTAAACTCAATAATGGCCCCAAGAAAATTCCTAATAATAAAGAACGCCGTTATTGAGTTTAACGACGTTGAACTAATTTGCTGTTAGTCAAATGAGGGACAACTTTTCCAAGAAGAAGAAGAAGGGTTTGTGAACAGAAGGTGAAGAATGGATTTGTTTTTTTTCCTCACGCGATTGATGTACAGTTGAACTTTGATATTCTAGGGGTATAATTTGATGAATTTCTACTTAATCAAGCATCTTTATGGGAAAAACTCACATGTAGAAGGATGGACAGATCTGTTTTCTACAAAATCAGCATTGAATGACGGCTTGACATGCAGTAATTGTTATTTCAGAGCTGATTTCAGCCAGGGTAGACTTGCCTCAGTTTCAGTCCTTGTTTAGATAAGAGATAATGATATCTATCTTCCTTTTCAGGTAACCTGTCTCCTATGTGTAAGAGTAACAAGCTGACAGTGGGTCTAACTGGTTGTTACCTTGCAACCACTAGATATACGGAATCACAGCTCCAAAACACAAAATACTTCCGAATGAATAAGCCAATGACGAATAGATGAATGATAAAAACCTGAAGGGCCGAATGCGGAAGTAACTTTTGGAAAAGCAAAACAGCAACCAAAAAATCAAAGAAGGTAATTTGGATAATAGGGCTATACTTGGACTACGAGAGCGCATTGAACCAGTAGTTGTGTAAGTATACTATACCTTTATACCACAAAGGTCGAAAAAACAAACGTACTTACCATCTTGATTGTCAATAAGAGCGGAATAGTAGGAGGAACTCAATTTTTCTAAAAATGGCGAAATTGACCTACATACGGGAATCGGGGAATCTCAAGGTCACGTGACTTTAACTTCGATGGTCAGTCAGAAATGTGAAAAATTTCAGGAATTTATTACAAACTGTGCCTTTCTCTGACTGTATACCTGAAGTTGGATACTTCAGTGACATTAACAAATACCCAAACATTGTACTAACATACAGAAGGTGAGTTTGACTTATCGATGTTTGGAAGAAATCGGCCTGAAGAATTGATTTCCGGGTAAAAACTTTTGAACTTTTTCATTTCCTGTTTTGCTATGTTTCAATCAAATCTATGTTTCACTTGTTCTTAGGTCGTGTATGATTGTATTTAAATAATATAGTGTGTGTTTTCTCCTATTGGGTCAGGGCGACCTGGTACATATGTATAATTTATTAACTACTTGGATTAGATGTTGGGTTTATTATTCTAATGTGCAGACATGACTCATTTCATAAACAAATCAGCACATTTGCCCAAAATAAATACAAGAGGAAGTGCTTCTAGACAAAGTACGTGTTCTCTCCAAATTAGGGATGCGAACAACACAGATATTGTACATGTATGATTTGTAGGATCAAGGAGTTTTGTATCAGGCCTATAGGCAAGGGAATAATGCCCACAATGACACAACAAGAGTTCGAAGATGATAATTCCATACGGATGAAGGCTGTTTATAGTGGGTAAGTGTTGCTATCAATTAGTTCAAGTTCAACTAGTCTTGCACTTGTGAGTAAGCAGATAACATTTGAGTTATGGGCAATGTATACAGTGAAGCAGTATTTTACAGATAATTAGGTTGCTTTGCTTGTTTTGCCATCAACTTCTATTAAGCACATTCCTGCATTCCTGTGCTGGAATTAATCTACTTTAGCATTTATTAGGCTCTATTACATAATTGGCAGTATAGATACCAATTCTCTTTGAACAGACATACCTTTTTACTCTCAATATATCTGTTCCTTTATGCAACCATGGACGATTTCTTCAAAGTTAAAAATCTTAATGTGCAACATTCCAACAAAATTAGAAAATTTCCATTGCCAAGATTGCTCCTGTATTGGTATGCCAATGAATGTCTTTGCTATTACAAAAAGTTGAATTTGTCATATGATTCGTATTGGGTATGGCTGTTTTAAGAAATATAATTATAATTACTGGAAGGAGGAAGGCAAATGAATCTTCAGAATTATGATGTAAAGAGTACCCTATCAGTATACACTTTCATTTTGTCTTAAGTATCTAGTGCAAAGTGAAAATGAATGTGATTGATTTCCCATTAATTGTAGGGATATTATGGTGACCCAGATAGACCCATCTATTACCTACGATGGCTTATGTGATGAGATGCGTGATATATGCCAGTTTGACAAGGTTCAGCCGTTCACTATGAAGTGGGTAGATGAGGAGGGGGACCCATGTACAATATCATCACAAATGGAGTTAGATGAGGCTATCAGACTTTATGAAGTGAACAAAGACTCTGAGATCACAATCCATGGTATGACATGCTTCAAAAATATTTATCACCAAGTTCCTGTATATACTACATGTATTTTAAACATGGGTTTTCAAGAGAATATGAGAAATCGTCATGGGTTTTCAAAATTGGATGAAATTGATTGCTGTGCACATTCTAATAAAAAATCTTATTTTGATTTATATTTTTCATAAATGATTCAAAGAGATAACTCACAAATAAAACATGATAACATGCATGCATATTGTTAAAATACAATAATGGAAATGGACAAATGAAAGCTCCTGTTTGTCTTGGTGCAACCATATCATTCAGTATTCCATGTTTTGTTTTGCAGTTTTCCCAAATGTGCCAGATAGGCCAGGCTTGCCATGCGCTGGAGAAGATCGTAAGTGAACATTTTATAATATATTTGTTATTCAATGATATCAAGAATATACTATTTAATGAACAATTTGATGATAAGCAACATTATCCTACACTAAGTGTACTAAATGTATAATAACATGAAAAAATAAATTTGATATTTATTGGCAAAATGAATATCCGGAGGATATCGTAACGATATACTCCGGGCGGAGGATATCGTGACGATATACTCCGGAAAACCCAATATGCGAAGGATATTGTGACGATATACTCCGCTTGTTGATTTCCCGCCAAATTGACTTTATTTGGCATGAAATTCATTTTACAATGATATTATACATTCAGTACACTCCTTGTAAGTGTAGGATAATAAGAACATCCTATGATTTTTTCAGAATATCATTTTAATCTACTCGGTGATATTGATATATGCACTCGTTCGCTTCGCTCTCTCGTGCAGATATCAATATCACCTCGTAGATAAAAATGATATTCCTCCAAATCATAGGATATCCTATAATTATTTACCAAATTTCAATACAATATGGAGATATTTACCAACAAAAATTTTGATTTTTTGTAAATAAAACTTAGTGTTAAACAAACATATGATCTCACCTTACCTTACATATAACAACGTTATTGACCATTCATGATACAATGTTAATGACAAGCGCAAACTATCATTTTCAGGCAATGTATATAGAAGAGGTGCTAGAAGATGGAGAAAGCTCTATAGGATCAATGGTCACAGGTTCCAGGCTAAAAGGTTCAGTAGGGTAAGCTAACATTCTAACAACATTCTAATAACATTCTAACAATGCACATGTGCATACTTTGCAATCCTGATGCTTTCAGCTATAAATACTCTCATTGCTGTTTCTGAGGCATTGGTTATTCTTATTCATGAATAATTATAATTTGACCTACTCACGCAACTCTCTCATTGACCACCAAAATAAGACCAAAATAATGAATAAAGTTGAAAGAAGTTTCCAAAATGTCTACCTTCATGCTTATACCAAATTGTTTGTATTTAGTGAATGTTGGGTTTAGCGTAAAGAAAGGCGATTTGAGGCCATTGAATAGTGCCATGTTTAGCTTAGATTGGTTGAGTTTTGAAGAAATTGTTTCTGTTTGAAATATTTTAGTCAAACAACAAATATCTCGACACAAATGTGCTCCAATACATTTAACTTCTGCTTGATAAATAAAACTTATGTTTTTCAGAAAGCATTTTGTGCATTCTGCTCTGACAGAATCTGGGGACTGGGAAGGCAGGGATTCAAATGTGTGGACTGCAAACTTCTGGTACACAAGAAGTGTCACAAACTAGTCAAGATGACCTGTGGAGCTCCTGTGGTAAGTTCATGTATTAATATTACATATTAGATATGATGGTGGACATTTTTTGTTGTAAAAAAGGATGAATTACTGTAGTAAGCTGGGCTTACTGTATTTTTGCAGCACATTTAGGATGCCTTACAGGTATCATGTATAAACAGGTCTCCCAATAGGCTCTTTCTATTGCATTCATAGGGAAAAAATGAGACACTTCATTATATATAACCATGGGACTATGGGCCAATTGAAAGCCCATGATATAACACAGTGAATATTTGGAATGTGAGTGATCACAAATCTTTCAAAAAGAAACACCACCCTTTTAGAATTTAGATCAGAATGTTGAGGAACATTCCCAGCCAAACCTTTTCTATCCTGATGTGATAGCTATAATCATATATATACTTTCCATTTTTAGCAAAACATGGGCAAATGTTTTAATAAAGTCAATATTGATAATTTAAAAATGTAGTGCTCATTTCCAGTAAGCTGCCATCTTTTAAAATTTTACTCAGGAAGTGATGTCATCGACCCTCAACTTTCATGACCTTGCATATAACAGTATAGGAAAATAGCACAATATCACTTCTAGACGAGTGATTCTTACTTTATGCGCAAAAATATGTTCAGAGCTTGTCAGCTTAGAATAAAAGAAGAGACTTTTAGAAGGATTAAATCATAGACAAAATTGAAAAAGAATATTCAGCTGGTTTTGTAATTCTTAATAGCTCCTTATAGTGTTATATGCAAAGTTGAGAGTTGATGACATCACTTCCTGAGTGTAATATTAAAAGATGGCAGCCTACTGGAATTCGGCACTACATTTTCAAGTGATCAATATTAACCATATCAAAACATTTTTCCCTGTTTTGCTAAATATGGAAAGTATATATATGGTTATAGCTACCATATTAGGAGAGAAATGGTCTGGCCAGGAATATTCCTTTAATGAGATGATATTTTCACAAGATCAGTTTCTCTTTTGTAACCGATGGTGGTCCTGAAAAGGACCGTTAATTACTATCTGTTGAGGTAGAAGTTCATCATGGCAGCAGTTGCATTAGCAGAAGATCGGAACTGCAGAGGGATTGAATCTCATCTTCAACTTGTTGCCAATACTCAGCAAACATGGATCTTGTTTCTGTAATACACAGTAGCTTTAGTTCTAGACTGGCCATGCTGTGCAGTTTCTGCTCACACTCTGCCTTCATTAGCCTGGCTATAAGACACTTTTCTTTGGAGATGAGGGATCTAACTTGTTGCTCAGACTTTCTCTGTTTCTGCTGAAGTATAATGATCTTGTTATACAGTTGATTCTGGCTGGGAGTAAAAGGTTGCATTTCTTCTATGTCCATGTTGCTACAGGTCTCAGATACAAGTGCTGATATTTCAAATTACTTGCTCTTATATACAGTAAGCTGGCTGCCTTGAACCAATCAGAGTGCAGGAATCTGACATGAATATGAGCAGCTTATTATATCACCTACTCAATGTCTTGGTTTCTCATTTTATCACCTACTCAATGTGTCTGTTAATCTAGTGATGTCATAATCCCGTCTTACTGGGATTAAAGATGTTAATCTTGATTGTGTTTATTTTGGATGTAATCCCTTTGTTTTTTTCTGACTCATTTTTCAATGAAATATTGATTTCAAAACAACTGACTCAACCTTTAATGCTTTATTAAACATACTTGTAGTTCAAATAATGTAGATCATTATTTCATTGATAATTTTTTACCATGAATCATAATATTTTAAGAAAATTAATGCATCATTCGAGATCGGGCTTCAGTGCTATATCACATTCGACAAATTGACTATTTCTGCTATTTAAAGATTAAGAACTCACAAACCCTTGAATCAGACCTGAAAAAAAGGTGGAATAAAAGTGATGGCTTTTGTAAATTATGCCCCACCAATTCTTACAACTCTATGTCCCATCGCCTGTTCCTTTGCCCCCCAACATCCAAGATAAAAGAAACCTATTTATTGATAATTTAATTTCTTCATCTGACATTGCCCTTGTAGGTGAATATTTATCAGCTATCCTCAATGATAAGCTACAATGCATAAGCTACAATGCATGAGCTACAATGCATTATTGGTGATTCACTTTACTTAGGCACATAGGGGCAGGACCAAATTAAAAATGTTGAGAGATGTTTTTTTACTGCAACTATTATGTATTTTATTCTCTCTGGATGCACACTTAATTTGAGTAGTGTCGATCTTGTAAAAGCATTTTATCCTAATAAATAAATAAAAATTGATAATTTATACAAAAAATCTTAAATCTAGTAAAGTGTATTTGTTCTCGATCATGTCATAAATAGCAGAGTTATTTGAGCCTGTGATAACTAGATATTGAATGTATCCTGTTAGTTGAAGTATCTGTTCAAGGAGATGATATTACAAGTTTATAAAACTTCAAACAACAAAAACTCAGTCATTTGCAAATATTAAGAAATAGATTCATAATGTTAATTTCTCTTGTGTAAGTGAATGTGGTCCTGAAAAGGACCGTTTGTTATAATCTCTTGAGGTAGAAGTTCATCTTAGCAGCAGTTGCATTAGCAGATGATCGGAACTACAGAGGGATCGAATCTGATCTTCAACTTGTTGCCAATACTCAGCAAACATGGATCTTGTTTCTGTAATACACAGAAGCTGTAGCTCTAGACTGGCCATGCTGTGTAGTTTCTGTTCACTCTCTGCCTTCATTAGCCTTGCTATAAGACACTTTTCTTTGGAGATGAGAGATCTAACTTGTTGCTCAGACTTTCTCTGTTTCTGCTGAAGTTTTATGATCTTGTTATACAGTTGATTCTGGCTGGGAGTAAAAGGTTGCATTTCATCTACGTCCATGTTGTATCGGGTCTCAGATATGAGTGCTGATATTTCTCATCATCTGCTATTAAATAGGATATGATGGCTGCCTTGGACCAATAGGAATGAAGAAATCTGGCATGAACCTGAGCAGCTTATTATGTCATCTACTTTGTCTGTTAATCCAGTAAGGTGATAATCCTGTCTCCTTACTTGGATTAAAGTTATTAATCTTGATTGTGTTTATTTTGGGTTAATCTCTTTGTTTAGTTTTCTAATGAAACATTGATTTCAAGATGTTAAAATCTTGGTTGCGTTTATTTTAAGTTTAATCCCTTCGTTTAGTTCCAATAAAATATTGCTTTAATAGAAAACAACGACTCAACTTAGAGCTACTGAGTATTAAATGAAGTATGTGATCCTTCATTGTTCAAATAAAGTGTGTGATCCTTATTTTACCAGCTATAGAATATTTTGTCTTAATCTTTTTGTTTCTTGCATATCTACAATTCATAGAAAATTATTGATTTGTTTTATTGTGCTTAAAATAGTATTTTTCAGTGTGTGTTACTAGTACAGGGTGGTCAAAAAAATGGAAACCCTGCATTTTTCTCATATCTTCGTCATTTTGGGTAATTATTCCCTGAAATTTGACACACATGTACAACATTCAATTTCCTAACAGCTAACGATATTTCATGACCATCAGATTGATAGTCACAATGGTACAGCACTTTAAACAAGATGCCCCAGTGTGGCCACCATCGCGCTATTGGCAAATCTGAACAGGTTGTCAATGATCTTACTACATTTTTCAGCAGGTATGGCCTGAATGACATGGATGATCTGCTTTTTGAGGTCTGCAATTGTCCTGGGGTTATTCTCATACACTCTTTTTTGGTGTATCACCACAGGTTGAAGTAAGGTAGGGACATTTTGGATGATAGGTGCAGGTTTGCCAAAAGTGCAATATTGGCCAATGGGGCATGTTGTTTAAAGTGCTGTAAAATTGTGACTATCAATATGATGGTCATGGAATATGGTAGGCCGGTAGGAAATTGAATGATGTACAAATGTGCTAAATATCAGGGAGTAATTTCCTAAAATGACAAAGATATGAGGAAAATGGCGACAGGGTTTCCATTTTTTTTTACCACCCTGTACGTAACTATGACCTGTATATATTTATCGAAATTCATGTTCTAAATGCTTACAAATTAAATTTTTATTATTGTTACAAAGTGTCTTTGTTTCTGAGAACAATTCAATTTAATAAAGATCATCCACAATCAAACTAAAAATACCTTTTACTCTTCCACACAGTTCAAGATTTTGATTGACAGCTCTATATTTGGAACTTGAAATTGATGTCCTGTGTTAGAACTCCAAGGTCAAGCTGATCTGGTCATTCCCTAAGCCAATTTAGAAACAGATTTTCATGGAAATTGATCAATTCTTTCTTTATATTTCTCAGTCAAAACAAAGCTATAGACAAATTGACCTTCCAAACCATTCTTGTCCATCTAATATCAGTTTAAGTAAGAGGTTTTGATCATGATTATTTTTATCTGAAAGGAGGTTTTTGCAGTGTTTTTGAAGGACTATTTTGTCTAAAGATTTCTTTGCAAAGCACAATTCCCCAATCTTCACAAGTTCAGGGTTTCTAATTTTTTGATATAGGGAAGCAGTTTGTCTGGTCCATATGTCCATTGGGACAATAACTCAAATAGTGTTGGCCCAATATCATTTATATGTAATACATATATGCCCCATATGAGTACAAGTCTTGCTCTAAAGCCAATTTTGAAAATGGCAACATGGTGCCATTTTAGTGTCAATTCTACAGTAATTTTTTTATAACTTAAAAAGGAATGGAGCAATTTCATTGTTTGATATGTGAATACTTATAAGCATGGCACACTGTTTTATGACACTTTTGGCACTATCTAATTACAACTTGACAAAAAGGTGGCCATTTAAAAAAATGCCAGCCATTGTTATGGCTGTTCGATAGGATTTGCTACTCATTGGCGTTGCTGTTATCTAGTTAGGCTATAGACATACTGTTTGATGTCAGTGATGCATTGACCATGTTTCTCATTGCGCCTCATCAATGTTTCTCATCGCGCCTCATCAATGTTTCTCATCGCGCCTCATCAATGTTTCTCATCGCGCTTCATCAATGTTTCTCATCGCGCCTCATCAATGTTTCTCATCGCGCCTCATCAATGTTTCTCATTGCACCTCATCAATGTTTCTGATTGCGCCTCATCAATGTTTCTCATTGTGCCTCATCAATGTTTCTCATTGTGCCTCATCAATGTTTCTCATTGTGCCTCATCAATGTTTCTCATCGCGCTTCATCAATGTTTCTCATCGCGCCTCATCAATGTTTCTCATCGCGCCTCATCAATGTTTCTCATTGCGCCTCATTAATGTTTCTCATTGCACCTCATCAATGTTTTTCATTGTGCCTCATCAATGTTTCTCATTGCGCCTCATCAATTTTTCACATTGCGCCTCATCAATGTTTCTTATTGCGCCTCATCAATGTTTCTCATTGCGCATTATCAACATTTCTCATTGCGCTTATCAATTTTTCTCATTGTGCCTCATCAATGTTTCTTATTGCGCCTCATCAATGTTTCTCATTCCGCCTCATCAATGTTTCTCATTGCGCATTATCAACATTTCTCATTGCGCTTATCAATGTTTCTCATTGTGCTTCATCAATGTTTCTCATTGTGCCTCATCAATGTTTCTCATTGTGCCTCATCAATGTTTCTTATTGCGCCTCATCAATGTTTCTCATTCCGCCTCATCAATGTTTCTCATTGTGCCTCATCAATGTTTCTTATTGCGCCTCATCAATGTTTCTCATTCCGCCTCATCAATGTTTCTCATTGCGCATTATCAACATTTCTCATTGCGCTTATCAATGTTTCTCATTGTGCTTCATCAATGTTTCTCATTGTGCCTCATCAATGTTTCTTATTGCGCCTCATCAATGTTTCTCATTCCGCCTCATCAATGTTTCTCATTGCGCATTATCAACATTTCTCATTGCGCTTATCAATGTTTCTCATTGTGCTTCATCAATGTTTCTCATTGTGCCTCATCAATGTTTCTCATTGTGCCTCATCAATGTTTCTCATTGCGCATCATCAATGTTTCTCATTATGCCTCATCAATGTTTCTCATTATGCCTCATCAATGTTTCTCATTGCGCTTCATCAATGATTCTCATTGAGCCTCATTAATGTTTCTCATTGTGCCTCATCAATGTTTCTTATTGCGCCTCATCAATGTTTCTCATTCCGCCTCATCAATGTTTCTCATTGCGCATTATCAACATTTCTCATTGCGCTTATCAATGTTTCTCATTGTGCTTCATCAATGTTTCTCATTGTGCCTCATCAATGTTTCTCATTGTGCCTCATCAATGTTTCTTATTGCGCCTCATCAATGTTTCTCATTCCGCCTCATCAATGTTTCTCATTGCGCATTATCAACATTTCTCATTGCGCTTATCAATGTTTCTCATTGTGCTTCATCAATGTTTCTCATTGAGACTCATTAATGTTTCTCATTGTGCTTCATCAATGTTTCTCATTGAGACTCATTAATGTTTCTTATTGCGCCTCATCAATGTTTCTCATCGCGCCTCATCAATGTTTCTTATTGCGCCTCATCAATGTTTCTCATTCCGCCTCATCAATGTTTCTCATTGTGCCTCATCAATGTTTCTTATTGCGCCTCATCAATGTTTCTCATTCCGCCTCATCAATGTTTCTCATTGCGCATTATCAACATTTCTCATTGCGCTTATCAATGTTTCTCATTGTGCTTCATCAATGTTTCTCATTGAGACTCATTAATGTTTCTCATTGTGCATCATCAATGTTTCTCATTGAGACTCATTAATGTTTCTCATTGTGCCTCATCAATGTTTCTTATTGCGCCTCATCAATGTTTCTCATTCCGCCTCATCAATGTTTCTCATTGCGCATTATCAACATTTCTCATTGCGCTTATCAATGTTTCTCATTGTGCTTCATCAATGTTTCTCATTGAGACTCATTAATGTTTCTCATTGCGCATCATCAATGTTTCTCATTATGCCTCATCAATGTTTCTCATTATGCCTCATCAATGTTTCTCATTATGCCTCATCAATGTTTCCCATTGTGCCTCATCAATGTTTTTCATTGTGCCTCATCAATGTTTCTCATTGTGCCTCATCAATGTTTGTTATTGTTATTCTAGGAGCCTACAAAGGGGAGAGAAGATGACTCAATGCTCTCAGCTACTAGTGAATCTAATGGAGAACAGCTAACAGAGAAAGGTATACAGCAATGTACTACTTGTCTATCATGAAGTCTCATTCCTTATATTTATAAAACAGATAAGAGCCTTGTTTGTTTTTATCCTAAATTAAGTATTCATTGATTCAGTCTTGGTAAAGTATGTATGTATCAAGCTTCTTTTACAACTAATCCACTAATTTTGATAACACAATACAATGCCTCAAGCCTCTCTTCTCATCACTCAACAGATTGTAGGTTGGTCATCACTCCATTGATGGCAGAAATACTTTGAAATATCAATATATATTTGTAACTTTTGCCGAGGGGCCATTGATCGCAATTGAGGCCGTCAGTGATAAATCTTTTATATTATATTAATAAAAGTCTAGCCTGTTAGCCTGTTATACATATACTTGTTATCATATTGATTCCTTCATAAACCTGAAAATCTGAGCATTTATTGAACATCCTTTGTATGTGTGCCAAACTCTGAACCTAAACTAAAGGTTATAATCAATGTGATGTAATATACATGTATATGATGTAACACTAATCCAGGTGATGCTCCTGCACCAAACACAATAAAAACAGACACAACCACTGAAGAGAATGGAGATAGCAGGAGCTCAGGCCTAACAAAGTCAGGGATTACATTGGACGACTTTGATATGATACGCGTCATAGGAAGAGGCAGTTATGCTAAGGTGCTACTGGTCGAACAGAAGAAGACGAACAGACTTTACGCAATGAAAGTCATCAAGAAGGAAGTAGTCAATGATGATGAGGTACAATTCTTTGATATTATAATATTGTTTCAACAAACAATGTTCATTGCTTTTAAGTGATTAAGCAAATTAGTATTGAATCTATATGATGATATATTAAAGTTATCAAAAGCATCACTTTCAAGAAATCAAAAGTATTTTGAGTATGTAGAAACTAAATAAATAAGGCACATGTGAATATAATGTTAACATATGCTTTAAAAACTGGTTTGATAATATAAATATGAAAATGTACATTTATGTAATTCTAGGACATAGACTGGGTCCAGACAGAGAAACATGTATTTGAGTCCGCCTCCAACCATCCCTTCCTAGTTGGACTCCACTCATGCTTCCAAACACCTAGCAGGTATGCTACCTGTACGACTTATCTTGAAACTACTTTGTATTAAAATGTTGCAGAACTAAACAAATGTCTAAGCAAGTGGGTATTTTCAAATTGGAGGTAGAGACCAAGTTAATTAAATTAATCCATGTAAACTGGTACATTGGGTACTATGTTACATATTAGTGGTATTAGTGTGTGGTGTATATGTATATTATACTTCTTCCAGGCTGTTCTTTGTCATAGAGTTTGTGAATGGTGGAGACATGATGTTCCATATGCAGCGGCAGAGAAGGCTGCCAGAAGAACATGCACGCTTCTATGCAGCTGAAATATGTCTTGCTCTAAACTTCCTTCATGTGAAAGGTATGTCTGTCTTGAAGTTAATTTCAATCCATCATATTAAAGGTATGTCTTAATTTAGAGGTTTATTAAATATTACGTTCAGTATGATTTTTTTTATTTATTTCTCACTACTACCAATGGCCAATGTCATGGTATAGTTTGGTAACTTGGAAATAATTTATTTTTCATGTTTATAGGTATTGTATACAGAGATCTGAAACTTGACAATGTCCTGTTAGATTCAGATGGTCATGTGAAACTTACAGATTACGGAATGTGCAAAGTAAGATATAGCTTTATAATAACTCTCGCTGGCATTTGTATGATTGACAATTTTGCTTCCTTTTTATTGAACAATGAGATCCACAATTTACAATCAAAGTTTTAATGAAAAGTTCCTTTATTTTAGCTTAAACATTACCCTTTATATCAAGGGTGAGGGTATATGATTTTTTTCATCCAACTCAGCTGTTCCTCCTTATACAGGCAGTTAGAAGTGTTCTTAATGTGTTACAGACACATAAAATTCATAATTTGTTCCATTCAAAATTATCAGGGCTCTATTTTGTAATAATGAGTGTGAAGCAATAAAAACTATAATGAATTAAGGAAGTTAAAATTATTTCCCTGGAAAACTTTTGTGCGTGTCAATTTGACCTAATTGTCTATTGTTTTTCCCAATACAGGAAGGTCTGAGGCCAGGAGACTCTACTAGCACATTCTGTGGAACACCTAATTATATAGCACCTGAGATGTTACGTGGTGAAGACTATGGTAAGAAATCCAGAACCATGGTTATAATAGAATGTTATGAATGTTTAGATTTGTGATAGGGTTATTGTCGTTCACTCTTATTTGGTAAATTCACGTTTTAAATTTTTTTTTTGGTTTCTCATTAAAGAAAAACTCCTAGTGGTATGCTAGTAGAGTAGAGACCGAACTCCCGTGCAGTGATATATCACTGCGGCGGGCAGGTATCTCACCGTAAGCATGGTAACACCGTAATAAACAACTGACGTGATTGGTTCTAGTCCCATGCTCAGGTCGCGTGATTGTAAAATTTAGACAATTTCATTGGTTGAATTGCGCGTATTAACTAATAAACAACACGTGCGGTAAACTTTTATCAGCACAACTTTTACTCAGAATTCCTTCCGCGGGGATTTCCTCTTATATTTCATTGATTTTGGAATATTTTGACAAAATAATTATTGGTGAACATAAAAGAACATATATTTTATAAGTTGTGTGAAAAACAAGTACATCTGTGACAAAAAGGGGGACTATCTTCCCCAAATTTTGGGGATTCCATAATCTGCCCGCCGCAGTGTCTATACCGAGACACTGCATAGGAGTTCGAGTAGAGACCTATTTATATTGGAATGACCCTCGTTAGTGACCCTCAATAATGTACCAATACAAGGGATCTTAAAGCACTGGGTTACATGGCACTAATCTTTATCCTAAGTTTGTAATATTGACTACTGGGTTTTATACTTTTGTTATCTCAATAATTTTAGCTGTGGTACATTCGTACATAGAGGCTCTTTGCATAGGGAAAAGCAAGCAATGCCTAATAAATATGCATAACCCATTATCTTCATACCTTGCAGACTACAGTGTTGATTGGTGGGCACTGGGTGTACTAATGTTTGAGATGCTAGCTGGAAGGTCACCATTTGATATAGTAGGAGCTGCAGACAATCCAGATCAAAATACAGAGGACTATTTATTCCAAGGTATGTCAGTCAATGTCATTGCAGATTTGTGTAGTAAATATGGTTTATATATTGACATTGTTAATAGCAACCCCTTTGAAATGATAATTTATACTTATTAGACTAGCCTATAGTTGTTGAATTATACATACACAATGTTAACATATTTCTGTTCATTTAGTGATAATTGTATGATGTCCTGAATACATATACAAACTATATTTTCAAATAACTGTGTTTTCTTTTTCAGTTATTTTAGAGAAAACCATACGTATTCCTAGATCCCTCTCAGTAAAAGCTGCATCAATTCTCAAAGGATTTTTAAATAAGGTAAGCATAATTTTGAGCAACTACCTAGTTCATTATGTCACCACCACAAGTGGTTATGTTATCGTGTTCAATTTTTTGTGAATGGTGTTTGGCCTATGTAACAAATTTTGGCGTCTGTAACAAATGGCAGGTCGTGAATGCTACAGTGACTTGCTAAAGCTGTTCGCAATACGATGTGTGAGTCAATGCTACTAAAAATAACTGAAAAAGTGTTCAGAAGTTGACATGTATGTTCATTTTAGAGACATGCTTATTTTACAACATATCATCTGGCCTAATCCAATAATTTCAATGAAAATTAATTGATTTTTATTGAATATAGAATCCTAAAGAGAGACTTGGATGTCACCCAGGGACAGGATTCACTGACATTACCTCGCACCCATTCTATCGCTCTATAGACTGGGAGCTGCTAGAGCAGAAACATATCACACCACCGTACAAACCTCCACTGAAATCTGAGCGAGATCTTGAGCACTTTGACAAACAGTTCACTGATGAACCAGTGATTCTTACCCCAGATGATACGTAAGTAGAAACATATTATACTAAATTACTTCTCTATATTGTGATGTGCTGCAGTGTATGATACTGTACCATTGTATACTGTGCCTTTTTTCACCATAATACATTATACCATATTATATATATATCAATGCATATTAAATGGTCATTTATTATTCTCTTCTATTTACAGTAAAACTATAAACAAAATAGACCAGTCTGAATTTGATGGTTTCGAATATATAAACCCACTGCTGATGTCTTCCGAGGACTGTGTATAGATGGCTCTCCATTATATAATGCCAAACATTTGCTGTTGCATTATGGGTACCTTTGTATCCATGGCAACAATGCACAATATTAAAACTAAAAACTGATCATGCAGTCATGCATTTAAGTAAATGAAACAGAAATGAGTGGCAATATGTGGAATACCCCAATTGCCATTATCCAAATTGGACCAATGCTCTTCTGATTGCCTCCCTTGGCTTTGAAATGAAGAATTGACAAAGGTATGCAAACGTAATATTCCTGAATTTGCGAAGGGTTAATGCAAAATTCAATTTAGCTTAATATCTTGCTGGTTTCATTCTGACATATCTGATAGACAGCTTTTTGTTAATGCTATATAAGTAATGATCTAAATCTTTTATAAAATCAAGGTATTTTAGCACTGGTTTGAGAGAATCGAGTTGCTAGCATATCCAAAAAGTATTATGACAAACATTCTTCTATAAAATTCTTATTATCATTGATGCATTATTGTAAAGTGATAGGTAATGTGCCTTTAAGTTAAACCAAATTAAATGTATTTGTAAAGTGTTCAATTCTGTAGATTAGTGTTATACAGTCATACGTTTAATGATAAATATTATGATGCTGGTTGCATTAAATTATAAAGCTGAAGGCATGCAAGTATTTTTTCATTGAATGTAGGACTAGATAGTTGAGGTGTTCAATTGTTGATAATGTTATACAGCATTGCATTCATGTTTATAAGGAATCCTGCCTGGATTTAACAGTAGATTGTAGACCAGGGGGATTGTTACAGTGAACACATTAACATAATATTGTAACATTATTTTAATTTCATGGTTAAAAGTATTGATACAGTACTGTTGAAAATTGAATTCAGAATGCACACCCATGAAGCTAATAATCATGTTGCATAATGGAACATTGAACCCAGATATTAATTGTTTTGTTTACCACAAGAATTTGAATGACTTCATTGGATGGGCATTTCTTTCATGAAGCATTCTCTTGTTCTCTTGTAAGAATAAAACCTGTTGTAAGTAGAACACCTTTGGTGCCTCAAAATAATGTTCCACTTCAGGTGTTCCACTTACAGTTTTAATTTGGGTAACTGGACTGGAAGTGTTCTACTTATGGAGGTGTTCCACTTAATAGGCTTTAATGTACTTGGCAATTCAGGATTGTATAATACCAAATGTATGTGTAATGTCTCTACTTGTGCAAAATCAAACATCTACCCAGATGACCACCAGTGTAATATTAACATGTGTAAAATAGGAGGCCCTCATATTTCACCTATGTATATTGTTCATCATCTTTTGTCCATGCTAAAACTATATCAGTTACCTTTAACTCATATTTCATCTGATTGTGACATTATATTACGCCTGTTATCATAAATGAAGATCATAAAATGGTTCTGTTTGTATATTATTCATATTTATGCATCATTTTCATAGTATGCTCTCATCCTAAGTAATATACCAGAGAACCATGTTATAATCTTGGCATGTAGTTATGCCAGACATAGCAGTTGCTACTGTGTTGATGTGTACTAAATGTAACCACATTATATCAAAGTTCACATTTTAATCAAGCTTATGTTCAATGAATGTATGTATGTGTTCTAAAATGACTATATACATGTATACCGTGTATATGTATGTGTGTATTAAGCAGTTTGTCAAATATCTCTCTGTGGATCTTTGATGAAACTGAATTTTTGATGATATCTGCTGTTATTGAATTCAATGCTTTTGATATTTATTATTTTTTCAGATTTGAATGCATTGTTGGTCTTTCTGCTGGAAAAAGAAAATTATAAAAAGAAAAAAAGATTCTTGCCATGTCTAATTTGTCTGAATTTGATTTAAGTGAAGTTCATATCGTTCTCATTGGTCCAGCTGACTCATACCATATCATATATAACATATACACAATCAGGTGCACCACTAAGAACAATGTTATTTGTTGAAAATGATATGTTAGGTGTAAAGAAAGTATGTGGATTATGGACTGGCTTGGTCAATGTTTGATGCTGCCCCAAAACATATTTTAAAAAATACACCTCCCTCTCCCCTAACATGTCACTTTCCTTTAAAATCAATGTGCAGTGAAACCTGTCTAATCCATACACCACTGGACTGGCCAAGGTGTTTTGATTGGCATTGGTACACATTTTTAAAGTTTTTTTATTGAAAAAAGTCTATTAGGCAAATTAAATTGAAAGAATGGGACAGAAAAGGTGTTTGCAAGGAGAACTGTTTGAATATAGAAAGATGTTCCCATATCACACCGGAATAGCCTGACAACGGTAAAGTCAGATACTGTTGTCACAAATGGCGGACAAAACTGTCGCTTCAATTAGATTTTCATGAACTGTATGTTTAATAGAGCACCTAGACTAAATTCCTTTGGAACAACAATCAATCAAAGTGTCTTAATACTCATTGTACAGTTAATAATGTTCTACCATCGAATTAAAAGTCTAATTTAACTGATCAAAATGAGATATGGGACAACGGACACTGTAATTACCATATGCCGTTGTCTTTCTAAATTACTCAAATTCAGATTCCGTTATCATTGATGACATTGAAGACGCTATATTGTAGCGATTCACGACCCAATTTGATCGAAATTGGGATTTCATATGAAATATCATCACAAGAGCTTAATACATGCACAGAATTAGCGACAATAAAATCCCATGAATTGAGGACCAAGTGATTATATGTCGCCATTTGTGACAAAGGTATCTGACTTTATATACTTTATTATTAGGTATATATATATATCTGACTTTACCGTTGTCAGGCTATTCCGGTGTGCATATACAGGTTTTACTGTAATGTTGACAAGAAGAAAAGTAACACGTTTTGAGCTCATCCCCACATTATTAGGTTTGAGGGCATACATTGATACATTGATGTGGTCTCTTGAGGGGTAGAAACCAAATATCATTGTGCTGAAGTTTACCAAATGTTGAGTCATTAAAAATCAAAACCTTTAACTTTTGTATTTGTTTTCATCATTTACTTGCAAGTTATACAATTCATATGTACATTCTGTATAGATGAGCAATGCAAGCTATGTTTTATAATTACATATCAAAAATAACATGAACTTGATAGTTACATTTATTTGTACTCTTCTTATTTGTTCATTTATCATTTAATAAATATTCGTAACTTATTAAGTATGTATAAATATATACTAGTCTTCTGTTTTTAACTGTCTGCGATTTAAGACTTCGTATCTAAAAGGTAATCACATGGGTTATGTACTGGGTGGTTTTGGATACAGGGTTTATCCCAAGGGAAATATGTGTATCTCCTGTGGGACATACACATATTTCATGCGGGATAACCATGTATCCAAAACCTACCATACAAAACAGATGTATTCCATACCTACAAAGGTTTTAGGTACATCATACCTCATACAGTAGTTCCAAAATTCAAAAACATACCTAAGGTACATCTTTTCTTAGTCTTGAGAAGGAGTTTGTGAGATTTTTACACTCCTACATTACTGGAGCACATCAATAAATTGATATTAAAATTGAAAATATATAGTATAAGTTTGAAATATAATTTTTAATTTGGTAAAACGTAAATTGAGTTCCCATTTCAGAAGTGGGAAAGGATGGATACAGCCTGTATCCATCCCAATCCCGGACCTTCCTAGATACACTAAATATTCCTGCTCATATGTACTAAGAACCTCAATAGGTTGGAATACATGTTAGAGTTTTCAGATTAGACAGATATGCCTTCTGGTAGACCTTCTGTGACGATAACACTAAATTTTGCACTATTATTCGAACCAGGTGGCAGTGTATTAATGCTGTCCTTTGCTTTGGCAGTACCTATGTTGTCATTTCTTACAATATCATCTGCACATTTAGTGTCAGTTGTGTCATTTGCATCCACTGTTAAATTTTTATCGATTGCACTAGTAGTATCACTTTCATTTCTGGAAATATTGTTGTTTACACTTGAATCATCATGTCTATGATCATCTCCTTTGTGATCAATTGAGGTATTTGTGTTTTCATTACTTGTAACATTGTCAACTCTGATATTGCTGATGCCATCAGGACCGTCTTTGTCATTTTGTTCATCTGACATACTTTTATCATTTGTCTTGTTATTTCTCACATCATCTTCATCAAGTTTGAATCTTACATTGACTCTTCCATGTTTTCTTGTCTTTTTGTGTTCATCCTGATCTATGTGTAAACTAACCACACTGGCTGTTATAATGTTGTTATTGTACTGTTGACCAGGCTCAGGGACAGACAGAGCCCTCTGGAGAGTGCCCCTAGGTGTTGAACGTGCCCTGGGGGCAGGAAGGGAGGCAGTGCTGCCATCAGACATGAGGGTAGTGTCTGTTAGGTTAGATATTGAGTGTGTAGAGATGTTCAGATTACTGGAGCCCTCAGAGGAACTTCTCTTTCTTGGTGGGATGTGTGGAGACTCTGAAAATATAACAATATTTTAATTTAAAGGAAATATCTATTAATTCAGGAGGTCCAGTAAACAACTGTCAACAAGTTTTAAAATCGTTTTTACTTCAGTGAAATAACTGATTGCAATATTACCACAAAGACTGTAATAGTAAAAATTAACAAGGTATGTCACCACCTGTCATTTGTTATAAACACTAACCAGCAAACACCAAGCGCTGAATGCCAAACACCATCCACAAAAAAGTTGGACAATTTAACAATACTTAAGGTGGTGACATAAAAACACTTTAATATGGATGACTTACTGTCAATCGAATTCATGCTGCCAGAAGTGCTAGATCTAGGAACAGCTGGGTTAATGATGCTTTGTTTCCTGTGGGCCATGACAGTTTCCTTAGTGTTCTTCTCAGGCCTCACTAGACATAGGTAGACTTTGGGGGCAAACACACAGACTAGTGCCACTGTGCCACTGAGGGAGACCGAGAGACAAAGCGTGAATGTGCGTACTTGGTAGTAAGTGCTGGCGAAGTATATTGTTATAAAAGCCAGCCATATGATGCATGTTGTGTAATTTGTGAAACTTATGAGTCTTGTTTCGCTGAAACCATCTGGTGTCTTGCGTGTTTTGAATGCATATATTGTACATAGAATCATAAGTATGAATGGGTACACAAGTGCAATAAGGTAAGATGCGTTATCAGCTCCTGAGCACAAGAGGATATTGTCCCCAGGGGTGGGGTATTTATGAATGGTCCGCGGCACACTGATCGCTAACCAGGCTCCAAGGATCACACATTCGATCATCACCAGCACCCCAACTATGAACAACTGGGACCCAGAGCTTATGTACTTTGTCTTCTTGCCACTGTTTTGTGAGTTAAATATCCTGGATATCCTATTGGTTTTAGTAAGCAATGTAGCATAGCATAAAGTATAACAGAATCCAAGGAAGAATCGTTTTAGAGCACAAGATACAGGTGTTGGTTTCGCGATGAACACAAAGGACACAAAGTAGGATAAAAATATTCCAATAAGTAGCATGTAACACAGTTCCAAACCAGCCGCTTTTATAACAGGTGTTTTACGGTGGATTGCAAACACAATTCCAACGAAAATAACACAAACACATCCAACGATCGATAAAATACAAGCTCCAATTGAAAATGGATTTGAATATTTTAAATATTCTTCCTCAATTAGGAGACACTGTGTTTGGTCCATATTTGGCTTGGTTCCACCTTCGCAGTCTATGCACATGTGTTCCGTACCCAGAGAAACAGTGATCTGGTAGTCAGTGCAATTAACACAGATCCAGCAGCAGCTATCACCCTCCACATCCTTTTGGACTTGTCCCTTTGTGCACTCCTGACTACAGAATGAAGGAGGGTAACTTCCAATGGACCTCCTAAATGGAGCATTTAGTTGTAATGTAAAATCATCCTCTGGGACACCTGGAAATACATTTACAACATTCTTTTGACTATGGTTTTAAAAGCATTTATGATAAACCATCACACAATCAATTTAAATGCGTATACTGTACATAAAGAATATGACCACTCTGTTTTCAAAATAATTCAAATACTCAGCAAAGTTTTTATTCTTACTTGAGTGAGTGCCTACATTGGACCAGCCACTGCTTAGACCAGGGACTATATCTGGGTCAGTTTCATAGTGTCTGTATGTTCTAATGGTATAGCGAGGAGGCCCATCAGATCCATTCATAAACTTAAACTGACGTTTACTGACATCTGAAACATGGGAAATGAACATTTTTATACATTTGATGATCTCGTATTATGATTTTAGTAATATGTACATTCATTCAAAATAGACTAGAATATAGACAAGAAAGATTTTAAAATATATTTTTTCATCAGGTATGAAGCCTTCTTTACATTTCAAAGGTTTTCAACTTGTTCTCCATGTACCATTTACCTTTAAATTTCACCTCCCCAAGGTACTTAAGTAACTCCTCTCCCTCTATCCTCTCAGGGGTCATGGCAGGGCAGAGACCAGGAAGCCCCTTACACAGATCACCATGCATGTTCTTGAGAGCATGAGCATATGCGTACACAGCATCACGTACAAAGTGAATATTCATATTTTGAAAATACCCTACAATCACATTAAGATGGGTCAAATATAATGGAGCAGTTAAGATCATGCCTGTAAAATCTTTTTGAAGGGGTTGTCATTTCATCCTTGAAAAAACATTTCTGTGGTTGTGGGGAGAAAACCCCTTCTATGAACATTTTGGGGTCTTGCTATAATAAATATCGTCACATTGTTTAAAGGCCCCATGTAAAGTTTAAACTACTTTGGCTTATATTGTAGTCTTACCCAATGTTATCAAAGTGTGATATGTGAAACTTTTTTTTTAAATTTCAAAAAGTGGATTTTGATAGACTTTTTGTTCCAAAATTTGTGAATTTATTTAAAACCAACTTTTAGAGGTCACTCATATCTTCTAATTAGCCACAATTCATACCAATGCATAGCATTCATCCTCCCATGTTTTTTGCCGAAAAAATTAAGAAAATCAGTTGATAAACAAGCGAGAAATGAACTTATCAGTGCATGAAAATGGTTCTGAGAAAAATGCATTTCAAAATTTTAGTTCTCATAGAAACCAATGGTACAATTATATCTAAAACATAATTTATTCTTCCTTTTAACCTGGTTAGACAATCAACATTGTTTTTTTATAAAAGTCTAGCATATTTAGAAAAGATTGACATCGAAAAAAAAAATTCAATTTTTTCAAAAAGTTTTTGTTACCTTAGTGACATCACTAATGTTTCAAAATATTTTTGATAAGCTAAAACATTGAAGTGGCCCATTAAATATGACATTTTATTATTGAAATAGTGTGTCTTTTGTTCAATCTTTGCATTGGTTTTAAAAAGATAATCTTTTTTGAAATGCATTAAGAAATATTTGATGATTAAGAAATTTCAACTTTTTTTGAAAAATGGCGGGAAATTTGAATATTTGAGAAATGAAATGCTCACAACTTTTTTTTCAAAAATTTTTTTTGTTCAAAAATCTCTAAAATCACTTTTTAAGTCCTGACAAATAGTAAATGAATGATAAAAAAATATTTTCAAACTTTAGACGGGGACTTTAAAATTTTGAGGCCGATTCTCTCAAAAATGGGATCAAAAATTTCAATTTTTAGGTTTGTGGTCAAAAATAGGTAATTTAATTTGTCAATTATTTTCTGAACATTGGGGGGATTGTCTGCACCCCCGCCCCCCTAATAAATCACTTTCTGTACAATGCCTGGTGATAAAATAAGGTAATCTTTTTCCAGAGTAATACCTGAATTTTTGGATATCTTCTCATTGCCTGTGCAGATCTTCGGAAACTGTTTTTCTGAAGTATTTGCCATTGGGTCAACATTTGGAAACTTGCAGTTGAAATGTTGTTGCCAGTATTCTGTGAACCAGGCATTGCGCTTATTGTTCCTGGGATTCAATCTACAAATGGATGCTTTGAAAATGTATATATAATTTAGAGGGATTTCCTTTGGTACATGTATGTGCAATGATCAAAATGATTTTCTATTCTTATGTTTGTTATCAATAATAAACAATATGCTAAAAACATCCTAAATATCGAGTCTCATAAATGATTTAGAAGCAGATGTAAACATGTATTTATTTATATACATGTGATGTTAATAATAACATAATATACACCCGTGGCCAGGGCCTCAGACATACACCTACCCAAAGAAATATTCATCAAAGTTAGGCATTGTATAAGCTACAGGCTGTGTAGTTATAGCCCCATTAACAATGGACTCTACACCCTTGACAACAGATTGCCTGCCACTCCAAGCATCAGAACCAAACCATGTAAAACGCTGAGCTAACTTTGCACGATGGACAGCCTTAAACAGTTCTCTAACCTGAGGGTGGTCTGCATAAAGAATCACAGCTGAAATAGAGTCATCAACAGAAGTGAATGAACTGCTTTGTTAATTTACTAAGGGATTATGTTCCTCTTGGTTAATGAGAATTCTTATTACCTTTGTGTGTCTTGAAATGTATATGGTTTTCAAATCATAATAAACCTTACTCACTTCGAGAGCCATGTTAGATTTTGAAACTTATGGCTCTCAAACGGAGAAGTGAACAGCTGATCAATAGTGACCTTTGAAATTGAATTAAGTCGATCCGCGGCTTACTTTTGGTCTCTAACTGTGTCTTACATCAGTATCATCAATCCGTGTAAGTATTGGAGCGCTGGAGTACTTCTTTTTCGATCAAGACTTGTAAATTGTTCATCGAGTTAAAGTTTTACAGACCTATTTCCAATATGGCGGTTTGCTAGGTGCGAGATACGCAACGAACGAAATGAATTTTGAGAATTAGTTAGGTTCGGACAACCTCCGGAGATTTACGAAAATGTCCGAGCAGAAACCGCCATATTGGAATTTGGCAGTAAAACGATTCACTCGACTAACAATTACAAGTCTTGATCGAAAAAGAAGTACTCCAGCGCTCCAATACTTACACGGATTGATGATACTGATGTAAGACACAGTTAGAGACCAAAAGTAAGCCGCGGATCGACTTAATTCGATTTCAAAGGTCACGATCATTGAGCTGTCCAAATGCTCCGTGGGAAAGCTATTATATCAAAATCCAAATAGCTTTCGCAGGAAGTAAAATAAACCATGAATCATAATCAGACAATGATCAATCATTTTATTAAAAATTGGTTATGTAGGCAGTCTACATGTAAAGGTTAATTTTATTATGACATGTATACTCCCTCTCATAATCAATACTAATACATTGACCCCACTTTTCCAGAAAGTAGCAAAGGTAGTGGTTGCTTACCTGTTGCCTTTGGCTTGCTCATTAGTTGTTTTACAAGGTTGTCATAGTGACGCTCATTCCAATAGGAATCATCAAAGTCTATTACAGCTGTCACAGCAAAACATATGCCTGAAATTTGAGTTTGAATTGATTTGGCATAGATATATGGGTATATCATGGAAGTATGGGTACATCTGCTTTTGTGTAATGAAAAAATATCTATGGTGACTGGAGTTCATGATTAACACATGACAGCTTGATGTAGGGCTAATTGTCAGCAACTGATGTAATGAAATTCGGATTCTCTTACAGTAAAACCCGTGTAAGCTGGAACACCTTTATTGCCTGTAGAGATGTTCTACATTGGAGGTGTTCCAATTACAGAGGTTTATTTAATACTAAGTCAATTGGTCATAAGACTCTGAACTGAAAGTGTTCCAAATACTAACAAGTAGTGTTAAAAATGAGATTTTTATTGTACTAGTGCCAGTTGTGGTGTGGTGAGAAATGAGATTTTTATTGTACAAGAAACAACAATAGGTTGTAAGATTCTCACCATTAGCTTCTGCTTCCTTCCTTAGTTCAGCAAAACCCTTTACTCCATAGTTGCTGTCCTCATATATGGCAGATACGTAGGTGTAGTTGAACTCACTGTAATATACTAGTAGTACAAACATGTATATCCAGCATCAGGATATTTATAGGATATCCTATGATTTTGAGGAATATCATTTTTATCTACGAGGTGATATTGATATCTGCACGAGAGAGCAAAGCGAACGAGTTCATATATCAATATCACTGAGTAGATTAAAATGATATTCTGAAAAGAATCATAGGATGTTCTTATTATCCTACACTTACAAGGAGTGTACTAAATGTATAATATCATTGCAAAATGAATTTCATGCCAAATAGAGTAAATTTGGTGGGAAATCAACAAGTGGAGTATATCGTCACAATATTGGGTTTTCCGGAGTATATCGTCACAATATCCTCCGCCCGGAGTATATCATAACGATATCCTCCGGTTATTCATTTTGCCAATAAATATCAAATTTATTTTTTAATGTTATTATACATTTAGTACACTAAGTGTAGGATAATATAGGAATATCCTATGGTTTTGAAAAAATATCATTTATATCTATGAGTGGATATTGATATCTTCATGATATGAGTGGGCGCAGCAAATGAGTGAAAATATTTGTATCCATGAGGGATATAATTGATATTTTTGAAAAACCATAGGATTGTCCGTTTATCCCATGGGAAATCATCATCAGCGAAAAAAGTTGAAAAATATAATTTGAGAAAAAATTTGAAAAAATAATTGAAAAAAATTGTGAAAAATGTTGAAATTTTTTTTTGAAATTTTGAAATTTTTTAAAATATTTTTGGAAATATAAATTAAAAAATGTAAAAAAAATTCGAAACCATTGAAGTGATATTCGATAGTTTAAAAGTGATATTCGATGGTTTGTGAATTTTTTGCTAAAATATGATATCTTGATCCACATATCAAATATATCTTCATGTGATATTCAAGCTATATCCTTGCAACCATGGGATAAATACCAGGTACAGCGAAACCTGATTAAGTGAAACACCTTTGGTACCTCTAAAAAGTGTTCCACTTTGGAGGTGTTCCACTTATAGAGGTTCATTTAACATTAAGTCAGTTGGTCTTCGGACTCTGTTCCACCAACAGAGATGTTCCACTTCTTGAGGTGTTCCACTTAACAGGTTTCACTGTATACAAATTTATATTGTTCATCTTTTAGAAGTTCAATATAGTATATGTACACCCATGTACTGATAATTCAATCTGAGGAATATAGTTTGGAGCTGATAAAGGAACTGGAGCAGACCAATTGCATCAGATAATGAAAATGTTTTGAAATGGCCATACAATCAGACATTCCCACTCTGTAATAAATCTTCAATAACTTGCACATATTTGAGATAAATTCCAGGACATTAGGAATGTCATGGGCAAGGGTATTGTTTTGCTTTCTCAAAACAATCTTTCAAAAAGGCATTAACATGCAAAATGTCATGACCTGCCATTTGGTACAGATGGCGAACACCAACCATGAAACACGACCTCCCAAACACCAACTAGCGGACACCATCCACAACAAAGTAAGAGACTATAACAATATGTCACCACAACAGCTGGTGGTGACATAAATTATGCTGATAGAATGATGGCCTTGCTACCATTAGCTTGATTAGACCAGAATAATATATCAGGCTAATCATAATCATATATAATGGAAGAATAACTTACGTAAGTAGTTGAACAATTGCTTTTGCCTGGTTGGTGTCTGATGGTACAGTCCTCTTGAAGTATTCATACCTGTCCTTGTTGCTAAGGTCTGGACTGGTCGACATGTAGCTCACCTGTAACATGTATGGCATCTCAATCTCATTTATGCTCATCAGAAACATATACCTCACCTATGACAAATGGCTTAGCCAGGTATGAGGCAGACGAGGCAATTGCCTCACCAAAGTTTACAAGAAACATGTTTTCAGATATTTTTCAACTAAAAATGTGGATTAAAATCCAACTGTAGAGGTATATCTCCTTTAGCATGAATTTGCCTCATCTACTAATATTTGCCTCGCCTATTTCAGATCCTGGCTACTCTCCCAGTTGGATCACAATTATTCACTTGATCTAACTCATGTTTCAAATTAAGTTATTTTTTTAGGATTATTTCCACAATAAGGAGACAAGTCTGAAAGGGTTTTTATGCTTAGTTACGTTATATGAAAATAAATAACAAATATAATGTATGAATATTAATGTGATGGTAACTTTGTCAAAAATATCTTAACATGATGATAGTGCCACAATTGATATCAATGATGTTGAGAGTTGGTATCAGATGATAAATAAAACATGACTTATTTATCTCTTTACTGTTTATTATTAAGTGGAGAAGTGCATAATACTTAGCAGTTATGTCCCTATCATTGAATATATGCCTAAGGTCTGTCACCAATATAGCCCGAGCTTGCGAGGGTTATATTACGACAGACCGAAGGCATATATTCAATGATACGGACATAACTGTTGTATTACATACTTTTATATCATGGCTACGTTATATCAATGACGCCACGTGTCTGTGTGCGAGTGAAATTAGGAAGAAATGAAACATGACGTCCCGATGACGTCATAAGATTGTCATGGTAAAAGGTTTGGTGGCTATACAGGAATATATAGCCGACCTTCAGCTCCATTGACTTCAATACAAATGCTTCGCTGGGTATGTAATACATCCTGATATGTAGGTAGTTAAAGACATTGTCTCTTTGACGTGTATTATTATTGGCTCTTGGAGATACATCCCTTTAACCTTCTTCTCAAATGACCTGATAGAAAAACATTGCAAATTACATTATTTATCTGTCAACACTTTCATTACTATCATTTGCTTGGATTGTTAATATAAATTATTTTCTTTATCAGCTTGTCACTCAATATCCAATAATAAAAAGGTCGCCCTTTCATCTTAGGAATTATCCTATCCATAGATCATTTTGTAATTTACCATGTTAACACATCATTTTTCACAATCTCCATGCAATTCATTCAGAGCAATTGTGCCTCTGTACCTTTAAGGAACACAATGGAAGGCAGGAATGCTATGGAGATGGCATTTTTCTATTGAGAGTGAGGAATGATTTATAAGGCATCAAACCTATACTTGTTGTGTCTATTAAGCTATATTAAGAAATAACTCATGATATGAAAAAGAAATGTAGATGCGTCAATTGTTTCTATAACAATCATCTTACAAAGGTTTACAATAACAACCACAAGTGAATAATCCAGTCTTTACAGGGTAACTGAAATGGTGATCCTCCTTGCAATGGGTAATCCTTTTACAGGGTAATCTGGTTATAATGGATAGTCAATTTAGATCTTAAAAGTTCTTGTCTAACAATAGTATTAAATTAAAAATATATTTATATGTAATGTATAGGTGTATACATAGACTTAAAGCATACTGTACTGGATCCTTTATCATAAGTACAATTACCTGCGTTAGATACTAATGTTAAATATGTTTCATGTCACATCTAGGAAGCCATTCCTCTTTCACAAAATTAAGAAGGCAGTAATGCATTGTATCCCATATGTAATTTCTTACAATAGTGAACCAAATGATAGGTTCTTTAGTTTAACTACTGCAAATGTTCAGCATTAATCTACATCTACATCAATATAGCATGTAAAATGTGAGTAGCTTCATAGAAGTGAATGTATGGAATCAGAATAACTTACATATAATTATGCTGATTTACTTTAAATCTTTACATTTCCATATTTTATACAGGGTACCCAAAAGATTGTGCCGCGACAAACATGGAATATTCTTGAAGTTTGGTCATCTGACAGACAATCTAATTATCATAAACATTTAAAAGTTTCATTAAGTAACCCTATACTTAAGTAACCGTATTAGTAACTCTTTTAGTATCAATCATCACCCATTTTTTCAATTTCAAATCATGAGCATGTCATCTAAAATGTCAAATTTCTCACTAAGTAATCTACAAATTTCTGTAAATTTTCTCTCTGTTTATTGGAAAAATAAATTCTCTTTATTATGTGAAAACTTTTTGTGTTGAAGAAAAAAGGATTTATTCCTGTTTCCTTTGGGGTCAATTTCTTGGGACACCCAGTATAATAACTTGAATCTTGAATTATAAGAACATGTACAGTTTGTATATAGTATTGAAAAAGCCTCACCTGTGGTACTTTGAAGATCCTCAGGAGCCTCGCTAACTGTATGGAAACAGCACTGGAGGAGCCTCCAATGATCCCAGATATCTTTGCCAGTGTCTTTGCTTCAGGTTTAAGATGTGGCGCACTGTCATTTCCACTGCATTCAAAGGGGAGTTCATCCACAGTTTCAGATAACTTAAAAACCATGACTTTCACAAACTCAACTGCCTGATCTACAGCGTGTATTTCATTGTCGCAGCTATCCAAGGCTATTGCACCCAGGGTGAAACCTGGTAGGAAATCAGGGTCATTGTTGATCTCATCTAACGCAAACAACATCGCCTCAAGAGTTTGGATGCCATCTTGTTCTTGGATGGCACCACATTTTCCAGGGCTGTTGGAGGATTCATTAAAGGCATGTACTGGAAAGAGTGCCCCGAGTAGTATGTCCCCATCTTGAAAGGTGTATATCTTAGGCATGGCATAACCACCGGGTAACATCACCATGCTACATATAGGATCCACTAGCAGGGTCAGTACAATCAAGGCATAAAATCCCTTCTTCATAATTGTTCTGAATATGATGAACACCTACCTTAAGTTTTGAAATCTAGTTTACGTACAATTTTAAACTGCGTATGTGTATTTTTCTTATTGTTGTTTGTAAATATGTCCTCTTGGGCATGTATTATCAATTAGCCTAATGCCTGCTTTATTCTCTTTCACAGTTCATTGTTGTATTTTGATCCAATATGTTGATCATTATCATAGTATAGGAGTATGATCTCTGATTTTACATTAAGGCTCATGACACTCCTATCAGACAATCCCGTAGTTTCAGGAAATTGCAACCTGACACCTCCAAGAATTATATAAGTCCCTGTTGTCAGTGTAAATGTCATTTAATCTACTGGCATTGTGTTCTATATCCCTCGATATTTACACCTTCATCCCTTAATATACATTCTAGCTCAGTCTCTTGTGATGTAAATCCATTTGTTGGTGCTACATATGAAAGATGATAAGTCTTAATATTGTTTGAATTTTCTCTAAGTTGACGAATCAGGTTGTTTTCTACATTGTTTCTCTACCTTGACACACTTAACATGACGTTATCATAATGTTGACTTTCAACAATGTAAATAAACCACCATTGTCTCAGATATGTATTTATTCACCAATCACATCACATTGCGTATACATAATTTAGTTTGTTAAACCAAGATTGATTGAGTGTTATTCAAGACAAGAAGTAGACTCTTTAACATATTATACCTAAATCATCACCCTCATTAATCATCGGAGTTGATAAGATAATCTGTATTTTCAATATTATTTCATTGTTCTCTTATTCTACAATTAATGTTGATTTCAATCCAATTAAAATTTCATTGAATCTGAAAACCTAGCAATTTTGTAATGAATTTATATAAAATTATGAAAAACGATTCCTTTGTTTTATCTAGAGTCAAAAGTCCATTGTCTCATGATAAGGTGCCTAGTTTGTGCAGTAGTTCTAAAAATTCCACCTGAGACTTATATAGCCTGATTACCTTTATCTCTATGGATTATGGAGTACCACTTTGCAACCATACAATTCCTAATACCCAAACACATCAGGGCATATGATCAAAGAGTCAAACATACCCCTATCATATATTATTAAAAGCCTTTAGATATTTTAGTTTTATAAAATGTATTGCGATTTATCGATAATAAAATCTTAATATTAATTAATCCCAATGATGGGCTTCCATAATTCAATTATTTGACTTTATTGATTCACAATATGTATTAAACACAGCACGCTAATATATATGATCTTAAGAGGTTTCATTTAGTTTCCATGATTGAAACATTTCCTTTTAATACGGGCACCCCTTGCAGGGGTTTCACTAGAATTTCTCACAAAAGGCTAAATAAATTAAAAAAACAGGCAAAATTAATGGAAATCATAAATTTAACATAGAAAAGTTGAAAACTGGCAATTTTGTGAAAACAACTGGTGAAAATCGCCTGTTGCCTGCTGCTAATGAACCCCTGTCTTGTTTGCTTTTACCCGGGCTCCAATAATAAATCTTTGCAGTTCTTCTGGCTGCATTTCAGGTATACATGACCTATACCTTGAATATGATATACATGATTTGAGATCAACTAAAATGTTTATTATTCAAAATACTTCTTGGAATCGAAAAAGAAGACAAAATAAACCAACCAAGAATTTGGTGAACTGCCAAAGCCCTAGTTTTCACAAAATCAAATGATACAAATGTCGATGTCAATGATGCCAGCAACCAAAACACTGAATATGCTAAAGTGCATATAAACATTCTGTTAGAACTTAATTGATTATTAAGAAATGCTGCCATCTTTTTTCGACACCATCCATCATCGTTTGCGATGGTTGCAAAATTAAAGTACATTAGCAAGAAAAAACAAAGGGAATTTACATAATCAGGGACTTTATCAGATTCACCAAGTCCATGGTCTAACACATAATGGAACTAACAATTTATTCAATCTCACCAATATTTTAACATATTTTTACAAGTTGGTATTTGAGTAAATAAAACAGAAGGACAATTGAAATAAACATATAAGGTAGAGGTAGCTAAATACCTAAATACAACAGAGAGTCTTTGCACTAATATCGCAATCATAAACGTTATCAGTACTTCACCATAAGGAGGCAGTTGTAAAATATATACTGTACTTCATAAGATAAGTCAGCCAGGGATTAATTATTAATCTATTTATTATTAAATCCAATTATTGAAATGCGTATCGATATTATATATCAAGTTTCCAATTAATAGACATTTATTGATGTATTACCTTCACAGGGAAATAAACATGGAAGCACTTAGAGAATTGCAATCCAATACCTCATGTTAACTAATTAATATACAGATGTAAAATATGGTAAGTCCTCCAATTTCAATGATTAGCTCGGACTGTTAACACACAAATCAATGAAGTTGCACTCGTGTATAATTTAACTTTCATCATTGAAAAATAACAGACCAGAGATTAAAGGTCTACACTGGTAATATCCATATATCTCTAATACTCCATACAGTGCATGCCATTTTGTGTATTGTCCCCATGTGTATTGTTATATAAAATCTATTTACATCTGGGGATGTTTTGTATCTTGGAATTAGCCCAAATGTGTCAGCTATCTCTTATCATCTAATGTGAATAGATGGTTTTATATTTTTATCATGTAAATTAAGTTATAACTGTAGTTTATATGATGTCCTTTAAAGCAAGGAAGTTCAAACCCAAAGGCATTTTTCAAATACCATCTCAGGTCACCTTTCATTGAATTGATGGATTTCATATCTTCGTATCATAGCACACATCTCATACACTGTTGACTATTTTACACATATTTAATATAGTCTATATATATATAATAAAATTATTTTATGGTTGAAAATGGGCCATCTTTTACTAACCCACTTGCTCAAAATTGACATTTAGTTCATTTGGATATACACTGCATGATTAGTTTTGAGCTCAAAAAAGAACAGTGTTGTGACCCTTTCACTGGTATAAGGCACAGGTGTTGGAAACATAGTAGTCATAACTACAGGCAGAAACATTTACTTCATATGTAAACGTACATGAAATGGATGTACAGTAAAACCTGTCTAATCCAAATGACACTGTGATAAACCTAAATTTCAAGTTAGGAGATACAAAATTAATAGAGAAAAAGTGTTCACATTGAGAGGTGTTCGATTTAGAGAGGTGTTTGGATATACAGTAAAACCTGTCCGATGGAACACATTTCTAAGAACGCCTGTCAACAATGAACACTTTTCAAAATAACCAAATATTTTTCCATTGATCTACACCCTCCCCTCTGAAAGGAACACCTGTCAACTGGGAACAAGGAACAGTGTTTAGGGGCAAATCTTGAAAATTCACCAGTTCTAATTATATTGGCTTAACTAATTTTTCTAGTATTAAGCACAGATCCCAAAAATACAACGGCAAAAAATTGAAATTATGCATTAAAAAACCAATATTACAGCTATGTCAGTAGTTCTCATATTAATAAATGTGGATAATACTAAATGATTTTTGAACTTCTGTATTTATGAGGTGCATGTTTAAATAAATAAAATACTAGTATGTGTTTCTTACAGCTTCCATTTGTATACTAATTACATTTCAAAGTTTTAACAAATTCAATCAAATGAATGTAACATAAGAAAAGCTTGTCATGATACATGGCTCTGTATATTTGTATATATTATTTTGAAATGCTGTTAAGTTTGGAATAAAATATCACAATCAGAATACCTTTATAACAATATTACAATAACGTCATTTTAAAGGGCAATACTAGTATAGTGAAATATTGGACCAAGTGTCTTCTAGTATTATTACCACCATTTATGCCCAGGGCTAAAATAGCAAGAATGGACTGCCACTGAACAAAAATTATATGCATTGAACGATATCTCATTTCCCGGAAAACATTACCGGGCTGATAATATCATTATTGACCTGGCACTATGACGTCACATATTGCTCAGGTCAATATAGTAAAATAAAAGCCTTCTAAACTTGCACTAATACCCCTAGAACAGGCCCGGCAAAGGTGGTAATAATTTTACCTCATAGAGTTGTGTTGCGCAATAATTGAAAATCAATGCATTAAGATACAATTTTTAAGAGTAAACATTGATACACATTGTGAAAATTCATTTTAAGACTTACAACCAAAATCCAATTGCAGAAAATGATTGTAATTGACAGATTCTGGTAAATGGCAATATAAACAAGGAATAAACATGCAAAATTTCACCACCTACCATTTGTTACAGATGACAACCGCTGACTGCCATACACTGTCCCAAAAAAATTGGAACTATCACAATACATCACCACTTCTGGTGGTGACATAACAAATGTAGGAAGATATAATGATTGTGCCATACATGCCATATCTACAAGTATTGCTTAAACACTTTTAAAGTGAAAACACATGAAAAAACGAGGAAATTAGAGACAAGATACTTCCAAGAAAATGATCTAGGTAAAAGTGATCTTTAGAAAATTTCTTTTTTTGCAAAAACATTGAGGTTTACTTTCTGATAATTATCGGAATTCCCAGAATCATTTTTATCAAGTAAACATCAACAATGCGTTGCTACAAATTGAACAGGAAACATACTGGTGGATGGTAATATAGAAAAAAATTAATCACAACAAAACAACCATGAATAATACATTACTAAGAACTGCAAACAAGGAAAGAGTGATTTCAATTGATATAATTATGCACAATTGCACATGTACATGTATTTGTAAACTTGATTAAATATAACACCTATTAAATCCACATGTATTTAGAAATAAATAACAATGAAAATAAAAGTCTAACTTGAAATGTGTTACAGAGGCATAAGCCTAGGCAAAAGACTTTTGAGAGATTTGCATATTTCATCATTAAGGATTTAAGTTTTCTTTGATCTGATGACATATTTGAATTTTGAGCACAATTTTTCTTCGATGAGAAGAACTTTGATTTACATACAGTTACATGTATTTCCTTAATTAGTACTACAGTATCTATTTTCTTGTATTACTCTATAATGTTATTATTACCTCACTGACTGTTTTATTCGGTGATTGCTAATGTCATGTTGTTTGTTGCATATTGCTTGGACTGATTGAGAGGTAAGACAAAGATCAGCAAATCCCAATTAAACACAGTGTACTTTACTACAGGGTGGCCAAAAAATCCATATTTTATCTTGATATTACTTTTTAGTTATAGAACAGCTACTTAAAACATTATCTTAAAAACTGTGTATCCATTTTCAGACCCCTAGTTTCTGTAACCTTTCTTATCCAGGGAACCCTAGAGATTTATTTAAACCATTTTAGAAATATTTGCAGAAGTGAATCCTGTATCCAATTAACAATATTTTGTAAAAATATGGATAATTTTGTCCCACCCTGTATATCCACATAGTAACCATTCACCATATCTAGATTGAACATTTGCATTATTCTTGCATAGATCTTTGTTCATGTACATCATATTACATATTTAAGCCAGTGTCCGAGGCTTAGTCCTACATTTTGCATATCACAAAACAACATTTGAAAGTGTAAATGCAAATGTTGTATGAATGAAATATAATAAATGTGAAACAAACATTTCTAAGCTTTTCCTGGTGAATTTCAAAAAGTAGCCTTGTTTGATAGTTTAAAGATGAAACTGACTCTTTGACTGTTAAACTATAACAATACATCACCACTTCTGGTGGTGACATAACAAATGTAGGAAGATATAATGATTGTGCCATACATGCCATATCTACAAGTATTGCTTAAACACTTTTAAAGTGAAAACACATGAAAAAACGAGGAAATTAGAGACAAGATACTTCCAAGAAAATGATCTAGGTAAAAGTGATCTTTAGAAAATTTCTTTTTTTGCAAAAACATTGAGGTTTACTTTCTGATAATTATCGGAATTCCCAGAATCATTTTTATCAAGTAAACATCAACAATGCGTTGCTACAAATTGAACAGGAAACATACTGGTGGATGGTAATATAGAAAAAAATTAATCACAACAAAACAACCATGAATAATACATTACTAAGAACTGCAAACAAGGAAAGAGTGATTTCAATTGATATAATTATGCACAATTGCACATGTACATGTATTTGTAAACTTGATTAAATATAACACCTATTAAATCCACATGTATTTAGAAATAAATAACAATGAAAATAAAAGTCTAACTTGAAATGTGTTACAGAGGCATAAGCCTAGGCAAAAGACTTTTGAGAGATTTGCATATTTCATCATTAAGGATTTAAGTTTTCTTTGATCTGATGACATATTTGAATTTTGAGCACAATTTTTCTTCGATGAGAAGAACTTTGATTTACATACAGTTACATGTATTTCCTTAATTAGTACTACAGTATCTATTTTCTTGTATTACTCTATAATGTTATTATTACCTCACTGACTGTTTTATTCGGTGATTGCTAATGTCATGTTGTTTGTTGCATATTGCTTGGACTGATTGAGAGGTAAGACAAAGATCAGCAAATCCCAATTAAACACAGTGTACTTTACTACAGGGTGGCCAAAAAATCCATATTTTATCTTGATATTACTTTTTAGTTATAGAACAGCTACTTAAAACATTATCTTAAAAACTGTGTATCCATTTTCAGACCCCTAGTTTCTGTAACCTTTCTTATCCAGGGAACCCTAGAGATTTATTTAAACCATTTTAGAAATATTTGCAGAAGTGAATCCTGTATCCAATTAACAATATTTTGTAAAAATATGGATAATTTTGTCCCACCCTGTATATCCACATAGTAACCATTCACCATATCTAGATTGAACATTTGCATTATTCTTGCATAGATCTTTGTTCATGTACATCATATTACATATTTAAGCCAGTGTCCGAGGCTTAGTCCTACATTTTGCATATCACAAAACAACATTTGAAAGTGTAAATGCAAATGTTGTATGAATGAAATATAATAAATGTGAAACAAACATTTCTAAGCTTTTCCTGGTGAATTTCAAAAAGTAGCCTTGTTTGATAGTTTAAAGATGAAACTGACTCTTTGACTGTTAAACTATAACAATACATCACCACTTCTGGTGGTGACATAACAAATGTAGGAAGATATAATGATTGTGCCATACATGCCATATCTACAAGTATTGCTTAAACACTTTTAAAGTGAAAACACATGAAAAAACGAGGAAATTAGAGACAAGATACTTCCAAGAAAATGATCTAGGTAAAAGTGATCTTTAGAAAATTTCTTTTTTTGCAAAAACATTGAGGTTTACTTTCTGATAATTATCGGAATTCCCAGAATCATTTTTATCAAGTAAACATCAACAATGCGTTGCTACAAATTGAACAGGAAACATACTGGTGGATGGTAATATAGAAAAAAATTAATCACAACAAAACAACCATGAATAATACATTACTAAGAACTGCAAACAAGGAAAGAGTGATTTCAATTGATATAATTATGCACAATTGCACATGTACATGTATTTGTAAACTTGATTAAATATAACACCTATTAAATCCACATGTATTTAGAAATAAATAACAATGAAAATAAAAGTCTAACTTGAAATGTGTTACAGAGGCATAAGCCTAGGCAAAAGACTTTTGAGAGATTTGCATATTTCATCATTAAGGATTTAAGTTTTCTTTGATCTGATGACATATTTGAATTTTGAGCACAATTTTTCTTCGATGAGAAGAACTTTGATTTACATACAGTTACATGTATTTCCTTAATTAGTACTACAGTATCTATTTTCTTGTATTACTCTATAATGTTATTATTACCTCACTGACTGTTTTATTCGGTGATTGCTAATGTCATGTTGTTTGTTGCATATTGCTTGGACTGATTGAGAGGTAAGACAAAGATCAGCAAATCCCAATTAAACACAGTGTACTTTACTACAGGGTGGCCAAAAAATCCATATTTTATCTTGATATTACTTTTTAGTTATAGAACAGCTACTTAAAACATTATCTTAAAAACTGTGTATCCATTTTCAGACCCCTAGTTTCTGTAACCTTTCTTATCCAGGGAACCCTAGAGATTTATTTAAACCATTTTAGAAATATTTGCAGAAGTGAATCCTGTATCCAATTAACAATATTTTGTAAAAATATGGATAATTTTGTCCCACCCTGTATATCCACATAGTAACCATTCACCATATCTAGATTGAACATTTGCATTATTCTTGCATAGATCTTTGTTCATGTACATCATATTACATATTTAAGCCAGTGTCCGAGGCTTAGTCCTACATTTTGCATATCACAAAACAACATTTGAAAGTGTAAATGCAAATGTTGTATGAATGAAATATAATATAATAATTATAATACTTTAACATTTAATAAATTCAATATTTGATCAACAATTTTAAAAACACAGACACGTTCATGTTGACTAGTTACTAGATAAAAGTATCTAAGCATTTACTGCACTGATATCTTCGTTGTTCAGTAATGGTTTTTGTTCTTCAGTGGAATTGTTGTCATAGTTGATAGACAGTTTATTAGAGTCTGAATTCCTATTCTCATCCAGAGTCTTGTAAGATAACACCATCATACCCTACAAGCCAAACATATTGACAGTCACCATAAACATACATACACACATACTCAATATGTTCTGATTTCATTTTGACTCATTCATGACAAATAATGAAGACAATATTTGCCATAAGAGTATGCTAAAAGTTTAATATTAGTATGAACTTAATTACTAATGTCTATCATAAACTGACTTAACTAAAAAACATGTATACCATTAACAGTCAAAGAGTCAGTTTCATCTTTAAACTATCAAACAAGGCTACTTTTTGAAATTCACCAGGAAAAGCTTAGAAATGTTTGTTTCACATTTCTTAGCTTTACCTCTATATATGTACAATACATTTGAATTTTCAAAGGTAGGCCAAGTAAAATAATTAAAATGGCTTATTAATCTATCCTTCGCATGCAAAGTACACTGTACAAACAGAACAAAAATGTATTGCACTAAGTCAATCTAAATGTGGCTTACCAGTATGAGAACCATGAGCCCAAGCATCACACCAAACATCAAGTAGAGGTGCTTTAACAGTGCCCCTGCCCATAGTGGACCCATGATGGTAGCTATGCCCCCTACACTACGCCTCAGACCTTGGCTAAATCCTGCAACACAAAAGCATTTTTGTAGCTTCAGCAATAGCATATTTGATGTGGGACTGAATAATCTATTCAATATGCATAAGAACACAGTTACATTTTGTACTAGAACTGATTCTGTATATTGTATTTTGTATGCCACTAATGGAGGTAAGAAAGGTTTACATATTCTCTACTGTAGAGTTGTAATTTTACACAAAAAGGACAGAGGCAGTGAAAAACGTCTTGAAAGAGTCAAGTTTTCTTTGATACATAGTCATACAAGTACACGCTAAAGTCTTTAGTGCAAGTTATGTTTTTTTTCCATTTCAGTGCAAAATTCTGACCTCAGAAATGATTTTTCAAACTGTACTGCCCACATCTTGTATTCCTTATTTTTTCCAAACCATTAAAAATTCCCAGTAATCTCCAAACTAAATGATGCAAACAGTTTCAAAACTTTGGGCTTATTTGCTTCAATGCTTTGAAAATGTCAACAGTAATAGTATTAAAGTCAAGTATCTTGCACGCAGTCCCATATAATATGGAATGGTTCCTACAGGTTGTAGGATTTTCTGAGGGTGTGCAATAGTCTTACCCTGTGTTTCAGCTTGTGTGATCTTGGAATAGAGAGAAGTACTACACACAATCAGGAAGGGCAGTCCAAAGACATCTGCAGCTAAGCCCACTAGCACTATAGGCAGATTCTTGGATAGGTTCCCTGCAAACATAGCCCAGAATTTGTTGTGAAAATATTCAGTGGAGAATAATGTCATGGCATGAAAGTATATGGGATTTTTAGAGATTCTCTAAATTGTCTTATTTTGGTAATGGTTAGTACTTAATTTTCTGGATCCATCATTTTTAATATTGGTGGCTTTTATTTTTATTTATTTTGTATATCTTTATTATGGACCTTGAGCAAGAATTTACTTTATACAAAGCTTCTCTCAACTTTAATTTAACAAAATCTGACCATAATATAAAATGAGCATGTATGTAGAATTTACGAAGTGAATGCCAGAACAAGACAGCGATATACCTTTGTTCATACTTTTTTGTATGATTTAACTTGCATATGTTATTAAGGGATTCATATTTCTAGTGTCAATACCTTCTTGGGGAGTAAGCAGACAGAATAGACGAGATTTACCTGGTTCTGCTGTAGGGAGGAAGTACAAGAGGAATATAACAGCCCCCATCTGTAGAGCAAAGCCAAAGATGAGCATGGTCCTGTCAGATAGACGTTTACTCATAAACCTAACCAGAAGGAATGTAAATAGAATCTGAAACACAAACAGTATACTTGTACTTACTGAATAATCATGTACGATATGTTTCACAATTTATATTACTTTAAATCAGGCTTTAAATATTTCCCCTCAGCGCAACCTGCATGTAGCCTTCTGTCAGAAAATGTATGACCCCTGAGGGTGCTTCTTCAATATCTGCATTTCTAACTTTATTAATGTCCTATATAATTTTTTTAGCTATTACAGTTTTACATATTGTACCTAAATTACTGTAAAATCGGCACTAAAATGCCTGCCATTTTGAAACGAACAACAATTTTGAAAATCGACTTTCAAGCAGAACTTCCACCCCCATAGGGTGTACAAAAAATGAACAGAATCGGGCCAATGGTATTTGAGTTCTCGCCTGGACATACGGATGTATGTATGGACGGACGTCTTGTAATATATAGATACACTGCCTCACATGTTTTGTTAAAGAGTGACTGAAGCATACAATCTTTCCACAAAGATTTGGATATCTACATCATGTAGGTATATCGGACGGAGGTGTTCCCTATATCCCTCCCAACTTCGTTCGATGGAATAATAAATCACTATGGAGACATCATTACAAAAACAGATCTGTGTCAGCATATGTTTCAAGAAGCATTTGTGAACGTATTAGTTCATGAGATGCCAGAATGATCAAAATAATTCCTCACTATTGTAACGCTTTAAAGTGCAGATGTTAAACATATTTAAATATTCTGTTTATGTCACAAAAGTGAGAAATTATTTATCAATGAATCTGGCATCTTGTGAACTATTCCTTCACATTTTCTGAAACGTATAAAGTTGTACACACACCTGTGCCAAAAATGAATAGATCTCATAAAATGATGGAAAAAGAAAAATTCTACCTCCAAGGCTGCAACATTTTGTTATCGAAACAAATTCATTTTATAACCAGTTTAAAGAGATCCATTTAGTGATAGATATTCTTGGATATGACATGTTTAAATTTGAATAATTCAGTATATTGACAACATGCTTTGCTCCTTTTTAACATATCGTTTTTTACATTTCAGTACATGACACAACCATCAGGAGAAAACCTACAAAGCTGATATGTTACCTCAACTCCTGCACAGCAATAGAGCAAGCTGTTCTCCAGTTCTCCCCAGTTCAACAAAGACTGTGTCAGAGGTGTTAGGATTGTCTGCAATTAACAATAAACAGTTAGCATATACATATTTTATGTCCAAATATTTGGATTCATGGTACAAGGTACATTTACTGCCATCAGCTAAAACATTGTTCTTTTAAAATAATCTGAAATGTTTCCAAAGCATGTACAGTAATAGTGTATTATAGTTTAATAAGTGAACAAAAATCTCAATTAAGTTCTAAGAAAGAGAGGAAACCCCATTATCCATGTTATACTTGGGTGTCGAGAAAATCACATTCAGAATGAATAGCCACCCATGCTCTTCCATACTGATCAACTACTGCCGAGCAAAGACCCTAAGATGTCTGAAATGTAGGGGATGAGTTAATAAACTCCTGTTTATATATAGAATTTTCTCAATATGAGAAATAGATAAAACACAGAATTGTTTGTAACCGATATTATAGTTGTTGTTCCATGCACTCACGTTTGCAGACATAATAAGTAGAGGTGTCACGGATACCCAATCCGCGGAATTATGCCCTCGGAACGGAACACGGGACACAAATTGAGAATTTCGGTTCGGTTCCGGAACATTTTACCCTTTCACAACTTTTGGCCCTTGAATCGCCACAAAACAGGATTTTTCTTTCAATATTTTGCACCAAAAGAGGTTCATTCTTTTCACTCCTTCTCATTGAAGAGTTTTGAAGAGCTTTTCGGTACCAAATAGACCTAGATGATCAACTTATTTTAATCTTATACACGCAGTCACTCTGTTCTGAACAGGACAAATCTTTTAGGACAAAGTTTAAGTGAAGATTTTGCTGTTCAAAAGTGCTATTTGACCTACAATTTTGACACTTAATATATTATGCATATTCACATACATTTACCGACCCAAGTATGTCTTATGTATGGCTCATTATCAATTAAAGCGAGTATGAATGAGAAAAACAAATCGAAAACCATTATACATTTAACTTATCTCTTAATTTGGACATAAAAATATATTTCAATAATAATTCTAGCCCAATTCCCCCTGCTAGAACATCTTAGTAAGAATTCTAACCATCCAAGGAAATTGATAGTGACATTATATTACCTTTATTCTCCTTTTTCCTATGAGATGTACCTTACCCAACATTGGATTGGCGATATATGCGTGTCTTACTCGGTGGTAGGTTGTATATACGCGGTTAGACTTTCCCCCCCATGCTAATGGTGAATTCATGAGCATTTTTATAGTTTATTTTGGGATTAAATGGATCATATGATTTGGAGGAGATTATCATTGTCATACACAGATATACAACAGTATGATTACCTAACTACTTATTACAAATTAATTATTAATTACTTTGACAACAGTGATAATTGAGCATGTTGCAAATAACAATTTAATCAGCATAAGTCAAGCCTAACCATCAACAACAAATGGTGACAAAATATACGTGTGTACACTGTAGGTGTACGTTGTCAAATATTATGGTAAACTCAATGATTTGAAGCAAAAACTATCATATAGGTTTAAAAATTTATCTGGGAAATACATAGTATTTTGTGTTTAATTTCATGTAATGTGCATGCTCTTGGGAAGATGTTTAACCTTCTAGTTATGTTTACATATTCTTGATCAGTGCTCGAGTTTTTACTCCTGCCATCTGAGAGCATTGATTATTTTTTTAAGAATATGTTTCTCTAAACTACATAATTTTAGGTTGGTTAAATAACTATTTACAATTTAGAAATCAGAAGTGCTTGTTGTCAACTCAACTGTACATTGTTAATTTGACTGTAAAGTTGGAAAGAATACCAATAAGAACCTCATTTCAGAGAGCAATATAGTGAAATCTTTGCTACGAAAATCTAGGTACGAAATATTTCGAGGAAAATGTGTGACGTATAGGTTATCCGCCGTGAAGAGTCCAAACAAATTCTGTTCGTTTTTTCAGTGTTTGTTTTTTACAAAAATATTTTTGCTTGGAAATAAGCAGGTAAATTGCATAAAAAACTGGAGTGACTTCAAATTATCTAGATATTTGATATATCTATTTGATACATCTCTTAGACCATTTGACCTTGGGTTCTCATACTTGGTCAACACACCAAGTGGGTCGTTGGACATTCTATGAATGTCAGAGGTCAAGGTCATACCAAGGTCAAAGGTCAATATCTAAGTATTTGGCATTTTAAGAACCTGGTTGCTGCTGTGATTCTTGGCAACCCATGATTAGGTGACCTGAGGTCAAGGTCAATGTTTGTGGGGTCAAGGTCACATCAAGGTCAAAGGTCAGTATCTAAGTATTTGGTGTTTCAAAGACCTTGAGGGCTGTTGTGACCCTTGGTGACCTATGAGTAGGTGACCTGAGGTCAAGGTCATTCTAAGATCAAAGGTCAATATCTAGGTATTTGGCAATTTAAGACCCTGGGTGCTGCTGTGATTCTTGGCGACCCATGATAAGGTGACCCGAGGTCAAGGCCGATGTTTATGGGTCAAGGTCATCTCAAGGTCAAGGGTCAATATCTAGATATTTAGTGTGTTAAGGACCTTGGTGGTGCTGTGACCCTTCGCGACCCATGATTAGGTGACCTGAGGTCAAAGTCAATGTTTATGGGCCAATGTCATCTCAGGGTCAAGGTAAATATATATGACATTTCAAGGCCTTTGGACAAGTTCACCTCAATTCAAAGTCAAACAATCAATATACAGGTATTTAGCATTTTATGGGGCTGCTGCCATATGGGGGCTGCTGTGACCCTTGGTGACCCATGATAGATCGCTAGTTCAAAATAAAAGGCGGTTTGCATTATCACTATAAGGATATTTCATACTTATATATTTAGTCAAAAGGAAAACAAAATATGACAATGTACATCAAAAGTGTACACCCGTATATTTTGTCACTGTACATTGTAAATGGTTAGGCTGGGAAAGTGCTACAGATACCAGGGTGGGAAAGTCTCAGTCACATTTACTCTACAGCAACTGTACAGCAGCAGTACTTTCGCAAAATTGATATAAAAAATCGACATCATATTGCTTATCAATATATTTTGAAAACTGTTTTTAGAAACTTGAAAATTCAATTAATTATTAGTAAAATGCCATGACACATCATGTACTTTCAATCAAAGGCAGAATCTGATGACCCCACCGAGAACATCCCATAGGTGTCTTGTGAATCATGCAATGTCATATAATCTTGCCATCTAATCATGATGAAATAAATCATACAAAATGTAATGTAAATACATTAGGCAATTAGAAGTGAAGCATTTGTTGGCAAGCGAACTACTGAAGATGGAGAATGTAACTCAAAATATGGTAACGCAAAACCCTACAATGATGATACTTTCTGTATTCATAACAAATGTTACAACCTGGAATGTAAATGGCAATGTGACTTTAGGTTTGACAAACACACCAATAAATAAAAGTTTAGAGATGAATAAGACAACAGGACTTGATCATGTATCAAGAGTAAAAGAACCTCTCGCTTCAAGGGTAGAACCAGCAAAATTTATTTTGAATCCTGAATCAGATGACAATTCAACAACTAATGTTACGAGGCAAAGACCAGAGACAAATACACCCAGATATAAAACAACTGAAGCAACTGAAACTTCAAATAAAATCTGGAAGTATTGGTCACCATTGATCATTGTATTTGGTACATTTGGAAATGCTTTAAGCCTTTGTGTTCTTTGCAGAAGGAAGATGAGATCTAGGACAACATCTGTGTACCTCATAGTCTTAGCATGCGTTGATATTGGGGCTTTATGGATGAGCCTTGTTCCATACTGGCTGAGTTATATAAACACTGACATTCAACCCTTTGGTACATCAACTGCATGCAAAATTCTAACATTTCTCCTCTATGTCTGTGTACATTTGTCAGCTTGGATTCTTGTTTTGGTAACAATTGAACGAATCATAGCAGTGTTTGTCCCACTTAAGGCAAAATCGTTATGTGGAATAAAAGTATCATTCATTTCATTGCTTGTACTGATACCTGGTATTATATGCCTGAACTTGAACATACTCTGGATATTTGACATTGATGATGAGATATGCAGTTTTACTGGAGAATACAAACATTTTTGGATCGAACAATGGTTATGGGTGGATGGTATCATAGCAACATATCTACCATTCACCATCATGATTATTTCAAACTTCGCCATTATTGGAAAACTTACATTGCGAAACAAAATGGGGATACATACAAAGAAAAAGAAGCTTACATCTATGACATTGACATTGTTACTTTGTAACTTTTCTTTCATTGGGTGTACACTACCAATTGTGTTGCTAATGTCCTTTAGCAAAAAATGGTACCCCAATAGTAACGATTATCACCACCCAGACTATGAAACATATGGCAACCATTGGGCTTTATGTAATATGTTTTACTACACTAATCATGGCATTAACTTTCTATTGTATTGTATAGGTGGACCAAGTTTTAGAAAGGAAATCTTGTCTATGATGTCTGAAACATCATGTGGCAGACATTTAGCTAAGTGCTTGTGTAGAAAAGACAACAGTGTTGGAATTTCAGATGGTAGCAATACTAACTAGAAATCAAGATTACAGAGGCCCCGAAAGGTGTCATACTAATTAGGGGTACCACGATACGATAAATTTAATATCGATACGTATCTACGATACTGACCTCGCGATACGATACGAACGATACGATACAATGATAGCGTAAATTGAAGTAAAACTGAACTTTATTCAAATTTTTCAAACTTGTAAAGCCAGAAGTACTTCAGCCAGATTACGTTTATTTCACATCCCGACATAGAAAGGTGTGAAATATGCTAACATCGATTAAAATATCTTAACGACGTGTGGTATTCGGGAACTATCGGGGCAAACGAAGGCGGCAAGCAAGATACGTAACTATGACTGTCTGTCATCTTTAAGCTCTGAGTTTTTCCCTCCCTTTGGGTAAATAAGAAGGGACTTCCGGTCAAAAAACAATACGACCGATATTCATTTTATGTATCGATACAGCTCGTATCGAAGGTGAATTGCTCGAGCGCTCGCAGTACCCCTAATAGGTATGCGTAATGGCCATGATATCATGGCCATTGGGAAAGGCTACATTTCTTCAGAATCCGGAATCTCGTGAATGCAAAAACCTTGAAATGTGAACACCTTTTACTGTATATATTAATAATTTTCGAAATAAATTGTTATCATACAGTCAACATTGCATAAAGGATCATGTTTCTTACAGAATGTTTTCAATAATTGGTTTAAGAGAAAAACATTGTTGAATTCATTTCACCATATCGATACCTATCCTTTGTAGAGCTGATTAACTTTTCAATGGCAACCTGATGCAACCTTGCTTTCTGGTGGCCATTTCAGAAGTTTTTAGATGCATCCTTCTGGCGCTTTGTTTTTTTTCAGGGCGTCCCTAATTTGATGTGATATTGATTTCATGTCCAATCTCATTACATAGAGTAATATATAAAACTGTATAATGCAATTCCCTGGCACAAACTGACTTGAAGTGAAATGTATATATTTGTATATATTGGACATTTAACACTTGTTTGCTTTATTGTTGCCATTATAATGGAGGACATGGGCTGTATAGGCAAATGGTGAACATTTTATAGTTTATTTTAGAATGGATCATTTGATTTGGAGGAGATTATCACTGTCATCCACAGATATACAAGGGTATGACATTAATTACTGTAGCATGTTGCAAGCAGTAATTTAATCAGCATTAGTGCTATAGATACCAGTATGTAAAAGCCTCAGTCACATTTCCTTTACAGCAACTGTACCGTGGCAGTATGTACAGGGTGGTCCAAAAAATGGGACACTCGTATTTCGAAAATATATATTGATATTCTTGATGAAAACATGTCATATTATATACCAGTGGATAGGGAATTTAACCATCATTAATTTGGTATATCATAAGTTCAAATTTATTATAATGTCTGTCAACCAGCGTCCATAATATAAATGACGTAATTTTTGTTTCAAAACGGGAATTCCAAAACTAGCAAAAACCAAGTTTTATTGTCAACTTTATTTACATAAACAGATGTTCAATATGTCCACCATTTTGATTAATTGTAGCCCTCAATTTTGGCCTTAATCAGTCAATAGCATCATTGATATGCATGCAGTTGAGAAAATGAATTTCACTTCTCAATAATTCTGTCCTTAAGGGACTAAATAGATCTTAAGGATTTATGGTATACCAATTTTGCCAGTCCTCCCATTATGTGGTAGTCGCAGACATTGGGTAATCGGGTGATCTGGGCGAGGCAGTCCCTTTAGGACAGAATTATTGAGAAGTCGAATTCACTGTCTCAACAGCATGTCAATGATGCATTTGACCAGTTTAGGCCAAAATTGAGGGCTATAATTGATTAAAATGGTGGACATATTAGCGTCTGTTTATGTAAATCAAGTTGACAAGTTGGTTTTTGCAAGTTTCGGAAAACCTGTTTTGAAACGAAAATGATGAAATTCATATTATGGACTCTGGTTGACAGACATTATAATTTTGAACTCATGATATACCAAATTAAAGATAAGTACTACTGGTATATAATATGACATGTTTTCCTCAAGAAAATCAATATCTATTTTTGAAATACGAGTGTCCGATTTTTTCGCACCACCCTGTACGCGGTCTATCAATTAGAAGTAAACCATTCGGTGGAAGCAGAACTACTGAAGATGGAGAATGTAACTCAAAATATGGCAACGCAAAACACTACAATGATGATGCTTTCTATATTCATAACAAATGTTACAACCTGGAATGAAAATGGCAATGTGACTTTACGTGTGACAGACACACCAATAAATATAAGTTTAGAGATTAATAGGCCAATAGGATCTGATCGTGTTTCAAGAGTAAAACAGCCACGAGTTTTAAGGATAGAAGAACCACCAAAATTTATTTTGAATCCTGAATCAAATGACAATTCAACAACTAATGTTACGAGGCAAAGACCAGAGACAAATATACCCAGATATAAAACAATTGAAGCAACTGAAACTTCAAATAAAATCTGGAACTATTGGTCACCATTGATCATTGTATTTGGTACATTTGGAAATGCTTTAAGCCTTTGTGTTCTTTGCAGAAGGAAGATGAGATCTAGGACAACATCTGTGTACCTCATAGCCTTAGCATGCGTTGATATGGGGGCTTTATGGATGGGCCTTGTTCCAAACTGGCTGCGTTATATAAACACTGATATTCAGCCTTATAGTACATCATCTGGGTGCAAAATTCTAACATTTCTTTTGTATGTCTGTGTACATTTAAGTCAGCTTGGATTCTTGTTTTGGTAACATTTGAACGGATCATAGCAGTGTTTGTCCCACTTAAGGCAAAATCATTATGTGGAATAAAAGTATCATTCATTTCATTGCTTGTACTGATACCTGGTATTATATGCCTGAACTTGAGCATACTCTGGATACATGACATTGATGATGTGGAATGCAGTTTTACTGGACAATATCAACATTTCTGGAGATCTCAGTGGGTCTGGGTTGATGGTACCATAGCAACATATCTACCTTTCACCATCATGATTATTTCAAACTTCGCCATTATTGGAAAACTTATACTGCGAAACAAAATGGGGATAGGTACAAAAAAGAAGCTTACATCTCTGACTTTGACATTGTTACTTTGTAACTTTATGTTCATTGGGTGTACACTACCAATTGTGTTGCTAATGTCCTTTAAGGAACAATGGTACCCCAATCGTAACAATAATCTCAACCCGGACTATAAAACGTACAACACACATTGGGCCATATGTAACATGTTTTACCATACTAATCATGGCATCAACTTTCTATTGTATTGCATAGGTGGACCCAGTTTTAGAAAGGAAATCTTGTCTATGATATCTGAAACATCATGTGGCAGACATTTAGCTAAGTACTTGTGTAGAAAAGACAATAGTGTTGGCATCTCAGGAAGTAACAATACTAATACATCAACTGTTTAGAACTACATGTATTGGCCAATTTAAGACAAAGCATATACCGCATCCTCCAATCACAGGGCTTCAAAATCCAGAATATATTCTTCCTTTTTACCCCCTGCGATAAGCAGTTAGCATTTCCCCCGATTAAGAACTCGCAATATGATTGGCTGTCGCAACACTGCGACAAAATCATGTATAAGTCATTGCACGTAATTAGATCATGTGATTCAGTTAAATCGGGCGCTTCCAAATTGGTTATAGCAGGGGGAAGAAAGAGTTACAGATTCTGGACACCTGCTTAGGAGGATGCATATACCGGTATTCAAAATTGTATGTTAATACAAAGAATGCTAAATGCTAATTTTAAAAAAAACTCTCCATTTCATAAATCCAAAATCCAGGCCCCGAGGTTATAAATAAATAAAAAATTAGTATTATACAAGAGCCAATTCAGAAGTTCTGATAAAAATGCTCTTATAAGTGTGAAATCATTGTAAATCCTGTATGATACAGAGAACATGAAATATGAATGTCTTATGATACATTAGACAAGAAATAACACATCGTGTTACAAATCTGACATGGTCTGATATATTATCAGTAACAAGGTAAATATGCTTGTATTAGGACACACTTCCCAGATAAAGCTCCCTGGAGTTTGTTATATGTTTGAATTTTGGACCGGCCCTAAAGAGGGGGCCGAGTGTCTCAATTTTAGAATATTTGTTATATATGTTTATATTGTAAATTCAGTGTAAAAAATGTATATATTTCTAAGCAACATAGGAATTTGTATTTTGCAAAAACTTGAGTAGCATGATAACAATGATTAATCATGATTCCAACATTTTTCAGAAAAATGGTGGTCATTTTGAATTCAGTGGCCATTTTGATTTTGAAAATATCTTCATGAGTGCTATTGATTGGTATTTCAGTTATCAAAGATTACATTTTTAATGAAAAAATGGTGGCCATTTTGAATTTAGAGGCCATCTTGAAAATTTCTTCTATTTGATTTATCATAGATTACATTTCTTACAAAAAATGGTGGCAATTTTGAATCGAGTGGCCATTTTGAAAATTCCTTCTCCCAACAGAGGTCCTACAACGCATAAGGCATACGTCTATTAAATTTGAACCATATCTGTCAACCGGTATTCGACCTATCGCCCAGTCACAAAAATGGACAGACTGATGAACAGATAGATGGCTTCTCTATATCCCTATGAACTTTGTTCAGTGGGATAATAATAAGGAGTTAGTGAGAACATGGTACAAGTGTCTATAATGTAGTGGAGATGGGTACTAATCACTGATACTTTGTGTGTTAGATCATAAAGTGGGATAATGGGGTTATGCTTTTCTCATAAAGCAATGTTCTCATTTATTGCTGTGTTTTGTAATACTCTTTCTCTTTTTGGTACTTGTGCTGACATATTGACAGTTTAATGTTTATGGACATGCAAGAATAATATTACCTCCATTGCCACCTGGTTGAAGAAGCCAACAAACACAATAGCAAGAACAACTACAATCTCCTCTCGTATAAACTCTGGAAAATACAAGCATACATTGTAAAAAAATAAAGTGTAGGTATACTATAACAAGAAGACTTATGTATACCAATTTATATGCATTACATGTGTATCTTTACACAGCATCAATGCAATTCAACAAAAGATCATGTATATAAATATTTGTAATCTGATTGGTGTAACACAGTTGAATCCATCTATTTTATTGGTATTCACTTTTCGAAAACTCTTAATTGTACCAAATACATACCATCATAGTAAAATCTCCATGGTAAACTGCTTGACTTAGTCATCTCTTCATTAGGCCCAGATTCCCTCTGTTGGTGATATTGGCTACTATTGTCTAAGCTATCACAATTGTCTATACTCCCATAGTTCCCTGAGTTAGTCCTCAAGTTTACATTATTTGAGTCAGCTGCTATATTATTTGAGACACTTTCTGCATTGTTTGAGTTATTTGCTGCATTGATTGATATATCTGTTGCACCATCTGTAGTATGTGACATTATCCCATTTGCAATTCTTTCATTTGGATTAGAGTTTGGATTTTTATCATTTCCATCATGTGTACTTTTTGTTTTGTTCATTAAATTCTCTGCAGATTCAATCATGACGTCAGAGGGTGAGAATCCAACATGGTTTGTCACTGTATCATTGAGATCATTAGTTTGCATAGAAATTTCACGAGGTATAGTACTACCAACTGTGTCTGTGTGAGCAGTGTTAGTGGTTGTGTCCTCTGTGTGCTCTGTCTTGGTAAGGGCATCTTTCAAGGGAGGCAGTTCATGATACAAGAAAAGTATCAAGATGTTGAGTATAGTCCATAGACCTGCCATGAACAACTGGAAGGCAAAGGCATTGATCATATACACAAAAGTACACTCGATACAGGCTTGTAGCCAGGATTTTTCAAGTGGGGTTCGACTTTTTAAAAATGTGGTGCGCTCGATGCCCACTCCCCTTTTCACTTCAAATATACCATGTTTTGATTTTGGCTCTAAAAATGTATGAAGTTACATAAATAGCTTAAACTCTAGTTTATTTTAAATTTTATTCCACCTTATACTTAATTTTATATACAAACTGTTTGTAGACATACTAAAGGTGGCTATTTTTACCCAAGGTTAAAATGGCTTAATTCTATAACAACCAATCAAATCCATTCCCGCCAAAATTTTCTTCCTTTGGCGGGTTTTCTTTTATCGTCAGTACGTAAGCAAACATCAAGGCGTTCACACCTATTCATTTTTTACAGGTAAAGTAATTTGAAATTTTGTATCTTTCTTTTGTAACCAAATAGAGTGAATTTGAATTGTCAACTACTCCTTTTATCAAATACTAACGTAATTTAAAAATGTACAAATATATATTTTTACTTCAGACATGGATGTAAAACTTATTGAATTTTCTTCAAAAACGAATTTTCATTATTTCGGAATGTCAATTTATGTATAAGAAGGATATTGTTTGATATGAGTACGTAAGCAAACATCAAGGTGTTCACACCTATTCATTTTTTACAGAAATGATTCACAAGTTTTCCTCATTTAAATTGTTATAAGTTAAAGTTAGGAATATTATTTCCGCATTAGCGGTTAAATTGAAGCTCGTACACCATAGGATATGGGTGTTTCACACTTTTTACTTTTCCATGCTAAGGGAATATGTCCCTGCTGGGTATTTCAGTTTCACAATTATTCAACATCAGTAACCTATTGTATACGAGCATCACAGCTAGCGCCGTGCAATTTAAGCATATCCGAGCATGATATTTCCACACCTTACTAAACTAATATTATCTCAAAATAGTCAATAATGAATGAAGGAAATGTTCAAGTTTAAAATTAAGATTTTACAATATTGTTTATTTTGTTTAGCGATCTGAAAATCTTGGTACACTTCTGAAATGACTCTTAGGGAAATTGTGCGCATGAACCCCTCGAACCCCCAGTCGCTACAGGGTTGACATCCTATCAATAATGTTGACAACTTCTTCGGACACTATATACGTATAATGTACAACAGCTTAATTGTGACCCAGTTAATGCCAAAGGTGATTTTCACTATGTACAATAAAATAAAATAATTTATTTATATAATTGTTTTGACTAGTGTGTAAATGTTTTGGGCACAAGACTCAATAAATCTACTTGTGTCTTGTATGCTAGTCTTCAAAGTGGCTAGTTCTCTCATTTTGGGGTACATATAAGAGCAACACATAATAAATCCAGTGCTTAATCTCAAAATTGAAATTGTAAAGGTAAAAATGCATCATAATGTACACCTATTTGGTATTTCTTTACTTCATATGAAATGAAAAACTAAGAATAGTCATTGTATATTAAATTTCAGATTTTCTACATGTTGTATTCAATAAATAAAAAACTTATTAAAAAATAAAAACTTACACCTGGTGATGTGTACTTGTTAATCTCAAATGGACCAATCTTGAAATCAAACTCTCTCAGAAATAAGTTAAACCCTGGGCCTAAAATAAACATTAATTAAACAGTGAACAAACAATATATGTATATTATCAAAAACATGTACCATACATAGTGCTAAAATATTTATAGTAAAAAATACATTCTATTATCAACTATCTGATATATAGTTCCATATAAAGAAAAAAGAATACATTTAATTTTAGCAAGATTTAGTGACCCTCTACTTTGTTCCATAACCTTTGCAGTAAAAATAGCTTTATATGATTCACATTATTTAAGAATTCTTCATATAAAAAAATTCAAATACTACTTGAGATTAATTATCAGCATGCACAATGTATGTAACAAACAACCATATAAATTATATGCAGTTTTTGCTGATTAAGACAAGGTTCAAACAAGGCATGTGGTCCAGAAATATATTAACTTCAAATGTTGCAGGATTTGAATGTGCATGTATTTATATCTATATAAAACATATATCACTATTTATCATTCATGCACATGCGGGACATTATGGACCGTGTTACCTTTAACAAGAAAATCATTGATGTGAATTTTACATAGAATTGCAACTTATATTACATCCAAATTCAGCAGATGTTTAGAGCTATGTGTCTATGAAGCGAGTGTTCTAGCTACTGTTAAACACATTAAATTTGTATACATTTGCATGTGTGTATTCTGTAATAATAGGTTTCAATCACTTACTGACATCAATGGAGTCATTTTGTACATAATGCTGTTACACAGACGTGTCTCCAGCAGCTTAAAACTATAAGTACATTCATGATAGCCTTAAAATGATTAGTTCAATGCTAAAATGAAAAGCGATCTCGATTGCCATTAGACACTCGCAGTGCATGAGTTTCCAATCCAGAAATATTTTTCAACCTTTTCCTTCACAAACAAACCTTTATTTCTTTTTAAAGAGTAGTATTAGTAGTACTCTGTTATTATGTTATAAATCGCAAAATCATCATTATGCGAAAGGAAACAAATGTACAAATCCATAAAAATTGCTCTCGTGAATTCAATGTGTTTTACAGTATATATGCCTGATATTCTGACTATAGGATGAAGGAATACACACCAATCAAAAGGCCAAGTTCACCAGAAGCAGACACCAGAGCTATGATACCAGTGCGTTCAGTATCCATTGTATCTCGTGCTATTGATGCTATTACAACACTTCCTGCCCCACTGCCAATCCCTATAGCAAGTAATACAAAATCGAGTCCAAACAAATGAAAACGAAAATCTTAAATAATTGCAGGAAAGTACTTAAAATATTATGTCTAAGCAAGTGGGTTATAGCTCTGGTGTTGGGCATTAGATAAAGATAAGGGCAGAAATTAAAGAAGGGTTGATGTAGCACTATATCCTTTATTTTACAGATGGTGAGAGCAAACAGAGAAAAGACAAGTACAGTAAAAGCTGTTTAACCTTAAACCTAGCTAATCGAAACACCTTCCTATCTTAACACTTTTTCAGTCCTGTTTTTTTTCCCCATTGACTTCTATGTTGAACGGAAACCTTGAAATGTGAACATCTCTCAATTTGAACAGTGAACAGCAATATTTGAAAAATTAACTCTCTGATGTGAACACTTTTCATAAAATATAAGTGTTTAATACAAAAATGCTTAAACTTGTCATTGTCCTATTAATCACTGTTTTATTATGATAATGAAACTTTTGGAAAAGGCATTGAATGATCTCGATCATAATACTGACTAATAAATTCATCTGAATTAGATTTTCAAATGTTTAGAATGCCATAAAGTTATGTGGTCAATGAATACAAATATTTATTGAGAATGTGTTCACATTTTTTCAAAATCCCAAATCATGTGCATGAAAAACCCTGGAAATGTGAACAACTCCTAATCAGAACACTTTTAGCTGATCCTAATGGTTCTACTGTATAACAATTTGGAATTTGTTGCAATAGACGTTTCCGATAAATTTATTTATTTATTTATTGACACAACCTAGTAACATATTACATTAAATACATACATGGTATCGTCATGCTATGAAAAGAAAATGAATGTACAGTTTATATAATGTAAAAATATATATATATAACTATCTATCATCTATTATCTATAATACTGGTTACATAGATCTTTTTCTGAGGCATACAGTTATGAAGTGTGAGATGTCGCTGAGGTTAGATTTGTAGTTCATTATGTGTAAAAATTTACTTTCATCAGTCATTTGTTTAAAGTTAGGAATATTATTAGATATCTTATCAAAAAGTGTTTGTCTTTCATGATTAAATTTTGCACATTTTAATATGAAATGTTCTTCATCTTCATCTTTAAATTGTGCCATCTTTTGATCCATCAGGGAAACTATAACTTATTGGCTAGATTGATGATGTCATTGGTTGTAGGTAGCAAACTGCCCATTCAAAAATGGTATTAACTTTTTGCTAATTTTATAAAAGTACAACCTATGACATCATCAATCTAGCAAATATATTGTGGTTTCTCTGATGGATCAAAAGATGGCATGATTTATCGGAAACGTCTATTACCAAATACCTTTACTAAAAAAAAATACCTTTACTGACACTGGTCTGGGTCTGAAAAGGTGGCTACATACATGTATGTACATCACCACCTCCTGGTGGTAAAGATAATAACTACATGTATTATGAAAATGATGAAAAGAAGCAAACCAAAATTTCAAAGGTCGGGGTTCATTAACTAGTAAAACATGCACCAGGAACTAGTATAGTACTAGCATAGAATGAATGACTACAACAACAAGGCAAGCTGATAGTTATATAGCAAGTAAACATAATTACACATAATCATATTATCACGATGCATCAGCAGTACAACTATGAAGCAAGAATAAACAGCATGTATAACACACTTTAGACACTCCCCCTCTCCTAAGTTTGGAAACTTTCTAAAATATGTGCCTGTATGACTTTATGTTAAATTCTTGTTTCCAAACTTGTTGATGAGTGTACATTGACTACATTCATGAAACACCATACTCTGAAGCCTTACCAAAGAGTAAAGCAATTTGCCTGATACCCATGAACATAGATAGCACCCCAGTCCTCTCATCTGGGGTAGTAACTCTGGCTATATCAGCTAATATAGCAGCTCCTACACCTGTTCCTATACCTAACATTAAAAAAGCATAAATAGAGTGGGAAAGGACAATTGGATATCAAAGTTTATGAAGTCTCCGTTTTGATAGATTCTTAAGTCTAAGGGACCATGGCAATATCTGGCTGTTTTTGTCCTAAAAACAATATATTTCATTTCAGATAAACTCTGTCAATTTCTTTGAAAAATTTCTTACATCTAACAGTCTTCTGTTCTACTTTCTTCAGTTTTAAGTTCCATATTGTGTTTTTCCTATGTTCAAGCATATTTCATGAAGAAAGATGGGAAAATTACACTATGGATGGGCAGATTAAGATGGGACTCTGACAGAATATGTGCAAGAAAATTTAAAACCTCAACTTCAAAGTTTTATGAAAGGCAAGTTAAGTGTTTATGGACGCATGCTGTTTATATAGATTGTCTATATATGAGTAAGCAATAAGGATACAGATATGCTAACAAGTCTCATAAAGCAGAAATGGGAAGTTATTACAGTGTAACTCATGCAGGTACAATTATGTTACAATTTAATACAAGATAAATCAACGAACACATTGAGCAATATAATAACAATTCAACATTTATAATATTCATATATCTCATACAATTCAACCTTATCATCGAACTTAAAGACAAATATATATACATGAATTCAGACATGCCATTTTGGTACCTTTGAAACTTTTAAATGTTCTGGGAAAACAAGACAGGGAATGATTGTATATGAGCATACACTACAACATACCTGCAATAAGCCTTGCTGCTAGGATGAACCACATGGAATATCCCATGAAATACATGATGTTTCCCCCGATTTCAAACATGTTTGCAAATATAAGGATCCATTTTGTATTTTTGGCAACATCAGACCATCTGAAATATAAACATGCAAATAATAAGTGATGTTCGTATTCTTGACAACATGGGCTTTCAATAGAATTTATATAATGGTACAGAAAATTAAAAAATAAAGTTAAAATTATAGACCAATAGACTAGATGCGAATAGAAATAATCTCGATTTACGTCATTAAATATTGAAAATTCAGTCAAAGTGATGTCATATTTGAAATCTACATGTAAAAGTACATCTAGTAAAATGGTTTCGAAAATTGTTTATCAACTTTGAAAATTTAATTTTTTTTGAAAATGTGACTTCTAGCTCGGGTTGATTCCTCATAGACCCCATGTTATAAAATCACAAAAAGTGAAATATCTTTTCTTGTATTGGACAGATAACATTTTCTTTTACTGGACATATTTTAATTTGCATAACAATTAGATACATAAGGGTTATATAAAAATTGAACCACTAAAACAGATGTAATTTAAGTTAAAGGGAACTTTCTACTATACCCGCCATGTTATCTGACCCGAACGAGCCACCTGGTGGCGAAACTGGTAACTACTTACTCGCATCTGCGTTATTTCAAACACTGTAACTTGGAATAGAATTGTTCCTCAACTGTGGTTGAATTATATAATATGTTCCCATTTCTCTCAAAAAATTGTCTACTGTGTATATGTAAGCAACCACATCATACACATCAAGGTTGAATATTTATTCAAGTTCAATACACATCAAGGTTGAATATTTATTCAAGTTCAATACACATCAAGGTTGAATATTTATTCAAGTTCAAGACACATCAAGGTAGAATATTTATTGAAGTTCAATGCATTTCAATACACACATCAAGGTTAAAAAGTTATTCTTAAGACATACCTGCCCATGATAGGCCCAGCAAAGAGACCAGAGAAGCTGAATGCTGAGAGTACAATTCCAAGGAAATATTGTTCTGCATGAAACTGGTTGTGTAAGTACAGCCATATTGTAGGTAAAATCACCGCTGAAACATGACAGTAGGCAAAGTTATCTGAATTGTGAATTGTGAATTGTGAATTGTGAATTGTGAAGTTGTGAATTTCAAACAACATCCAATGATACATTTTTTTGGTGATCTGATCAGATGGAAATGGCAAATCGTGTCAGTAAACAAACTGCCATTGACAACACTGAACGAAATGCTGTTGACAAGTAAATGAACATTCAACACAAAATGTTATGTGGAAACGTCTGATGGTAGCATCTTTCGATACCAGAATATCTTCTTTCTCTTGAGTCTTTCCCTCTGCAATAAGCAGTTAGGATTTCAACGTTTAAGAACTCACAATCTGATTTGCAGTCAAATCACTGCAACAGCCAATCAAAAGATTATCTCTTACAAACCCTCCTGCTCAGGCAATTCAACCAAATTCTTTCAAAGCTGTCTCAAAAACATTCAAATTTAATAGACTAGATGCGAGTAGGAAAAATTACGCCATTAAATATTCAAAATTCAGTCAAAGCGATGTTATATTTGAAATCTACATGTAAAAGTACATCTAGAAATATGGTTTCGAAAATTGTTTATCAAGTTTGAAAATTTAATAATTTTTAAAGTGTGACTTCTAGTTCGGGTTGATTCTCCATATAGCCCATGTTACAAAATCACAAAAAGTGAAATATCTTTTCTTGTATTGGTCAGATAACATTTTCATTTACTGGACGTATTCTGATTTGCTTAACTATTAGATACATAAGGGTTATATGAAAATAGAACTACTAAAACATATGTAATTTAAGTTAAAGGGAACTTTCTACTATACCCGCCATGCTATCTGACCCGAACGAGCCACCTGGTGGTGAAACTGGTAACTACCTACTCGCATCTGCGTTATTATGCATGATCAAGGACACATGCATAGGCCCGGCCCAGGAACATGTCTAAAAAAGATCGAGTCGAACACACCAAGTAAAGAGATCTCTGTATTCGAATCAATCTTTTTCTTACATATTCAGGCCTGTCAACTTGGGAACACCTAACATGAGTGACTTTTAAATGTTGAACACCTTTGTTCAAATTTTGGACACCTTTGTCCAAATCTGAACACATTGGCCACATTTCGAGCACTTTGGTTCAAATTTTATTGCATATAACCAAACTTTGGACACCCCAATATTTTCGAGCTCGCAGTCAACGGGATTGGGGGATGAAATATTTCAAGGAAAATGCATGACATAGACATACACAGTATCCGCATGAAAAGTCCAAACGAAATACGTTCGTTTTTTTCAGCATTCAGTTTTGTGCTGTATCGGCGATCGTTTTTTAGAAGTTTTTCTACAGGAATATTTTTGCTGGACAATAATCAGGTAAAATGCGTAAACATATTCTGTCACACAAAAAAAACTGGTGTGACTTCAAATTTTCCAGCAAATGCGCCGGGCGAATGTGTGACAAATACGCAAATTGCGGGACAGTTTGAGAGCCTGCATATTTCCGAGGCTATGGAGTATGGACTCATGGGTATTTGGGATGGTAGGCTTCAATTGGACAGACATCAATTTTACATTCATTATATGTATTTTTGGGCTTATGCTCCTGTGACTGTGACATACCGCCGACCTATGCCATGAATCACGATCTGTGAGTGTGATCAAGACTTGAGACTGGGGGAAAAAAAATTCAGGAAAAGACCAAATGAATTACCATATTCTATCCCTCCTAGTAGAAAGAATATTCCAATTGTGAAGTAAGTACACTGCTTCTTACGCTTGGGAGTCATTGTACTACCTAGATTTTGAATGTTATGGCATAAATCACCCAGAAATCGCCTTCAAAGTGTCACTCGAAAATGTTCGACTTGAAAAGTTTTACTTCCGGTGGTATGTTGCATCATTTTGGCGAACGTACAAAAAGTTCACTATTGCTGTTCGGATATTTCTTACTTCACACTACCCTACCACGTGACCACGTTTAAAAGGGAAACAGGGTACGGCTTAGTTGCAAATGGAGGACGTGGGTTTAATTCCATATTTCTGAACGTAAAATACATTTTACATTTATTTCTAGTGTTCTACCAGACATAGAATTGATTCATCAAGCAGTGTGTAGAATATTGTTGGCAAAAAACCACTAGTCTATAGGTAGATAGATAATAGTGGGCGCAGTGAAGCAAAACACGAATGCAATACACGATACATTTCAGTAAATCTATCAACGTACAGGGAGCATGTAAGTTTCCCTTCGAAAATGTTACATTGATATGTAACAAAAAAAACAGTTAACTGTTATTTAAACTGCGTGTCATCGTGTTATAGGTGGATACGTTTTCTAGTATGTTAGTCAACTGTATTTTTTCGAATTTGAATAAAACATTTTGAATGATCGGTTTTTGAGGACGGTAGTGAATTAGACCATTCAAGGGGTTCTATAGAAAGATTCTTCACATGTAGTTCAGGCAATTTTAATTATTCTGAGTAGCAGATAGTCATTAATACTGAGAGCCGATAGTCATTTATCATTAACGTGTTAATATTTAATTTCGTTATTTTATTTCAATTTGATACCTTAGTAACACGTATAATCTAGCGTTCTTGTTAATTAATGACTAAAATGCATACGACCCGAAAGCCCGTGTCTAAATCTACAAAATAATGTTTACTTTATTTGGATTAAATAACAATTGATGACACCTCAAAGCATCAACAGGCGGCCTTTTTAGCATTACTTTCACTGTTTGCAACGTAAATGTACATGAGGTCGGTATAATCAGCTTACTTTCTCGCTCCCTGTACTATTGAACAATTTACATTCCTTGTACCCTGTATTGATCAACTTTTGCAACTGTGTTCCATGTACTATGACATATCAAATATTTTAAAATCTAAAACGATATTATTTACATTCTTTCTTCAACTATCATATAACTTGGAACATGGACTTCACTATTGCACCACTGAAGTGTAGCGAATAGCAATATTGACTCACACTGAGCACCAAACGTATTAACCTTTTGACTAAGCAGTCGATATACTCAAAAGCGACCTGGTTGAAAGCCAAAAGATTCGCACATGCGCGATCGAGGTAGGGTAGTGTGTACTTATAATTTTACACAGGAATCCATCGACCATCTTCATTTGCAGACCAAAAACCGTTATCCATGAGTCACTATATCAAGTGATAAACAAATGCAGCTTTTTACACCGTTCTATGGTTTTGGAGAAGATGTGGATTGTGTTGTAGGTGTTGGTCAAAATGTTTCATATTTCAACGAGAGAATACTCCTTTTATTTCAAAAAGCCCATGCAAACACCAACTGCAGAAAACCAAACAGTGCCACAAAAAGTTGAAGACCATAACAAATAAATATGCAATTTTCTGTAATTGGGTTTCCTTAGCCATAGTCTGGAGGCAGTTTATCGAAACTTATCGTTATTAAAGAATCATGGATTCGTTTCTATGGACACCGCATCGATAATGGAATAACGAGACCCCCATTCGTACTCGTAAAATCAATCATGGATAACGGATAAATCGTTAAAAATCATAATGTCATTGCGAATGGTTAACTTTCGAGAAACAGAAAAATCGTCATTAACTATTGAATTAATGAATTGTTCATAACAAACTTTCGAGAAACGGCCTCCTAGTCCTGATTTATTTCTGGTCATGTTTTTGAGTGGTCTGGCATGCCTCCACAGAAAAATATGATATCTATAAAACTGTAAGTCATTGATGATATTTAATTACACTATATTTCATAAATTGAACACTTGACCTACTCAAAATTTGGAACAATGGGCTAGTACCCATTGGTTTGGTTGAAAATGAAACATCAGATCAATTTTGGATGGCTTCACTATGTCCCTATCAAGCTTCCTTTGTTGGGACATGGGCTTTCAACTAGATCTAATTGAAAGCCCATGGTTGGGATAATGATTGAAATACATTTGGATATCATTCTAATTGTAGTCATGTTACCTTTTGGATCAGGTCATAATGTCATTATCATAAGGCATGAAATTATTAAGTCTGACCTTTCTTTACTAAAATGGGTGAAAATGAAGTCTAATGGTATTTCAAGGGGTGATTCTTATATTTTGAACTAGTTTTGTCTCATCTATTTTCAGATCATGGCTATACCCTCTGTGTATTACAGAATAAAAACAATATTGTATGTTCTGAAAATCCTGAACCATCGTTTCATTGATTGATTTAGAGACAAATAAATGAGGACAAAAGTATCAAACCAGTGGAGTCCAGTGGGTATCAACACAAACTGTGTATACCAATTACATGTACAAAATTCATAATTTGATTTTTCAACAATTTTATTGACTAAATTAGCACAAGTTAAAACCAAGTTTTCCCAGAAAAACTCTATGTGCTTTATTTACAAGTCACAAGCAGGACATTTCATACAGCATTAATTTGGCAGTTATTTGAAGTGCAAGTGATACAAATCATCAAATTGACAAAGTGTAAATTCCTAGATTACCTCTAATTCCTTGAAATCAGGGTAAAAGAAATGCTGTGAAATGAATTCTCAGTTTGTCACAGTTCACATGCATTTTACTCTTTTCGAAACTATTGTTGAAAATATGGTTGTCCAAAAAACTATGACTAAGATCACACAGTATGGTAATAAGTCATATGCAGCAGCGATAAAAGGACAAATATTAATTTCTACAATGTATCCTATTATAATTTCCTAGTTTATTTGCATACTTTATCCTTTCACTTCATCCCTTAGTGAAGGATATTCCTTCCTGAATGTATCAAATGTTCTGTTTTCATGGTTAAGAAATCCCATCTCTTTATACGTGAATCTTGAATTCTTGTTGATGGGCATAAATATAACACCCTCATTGACGAATTGTTTCAAAAGTCCACAAGACAAAGCGAGGAAAACTGCCATTCCACTGCCAACCTTGGTACTCTTAGCTGAAACAAATAACATTGCATAGTATTAGGCAAGTTCTATATGATTTGTGAATTCATGGAACAAATATTAAAATACAATCACCATACATTACATAAAATACAATTGCTATACAATGACATAATTGCACCGTCCAACTATGCAAATAAGGCGGCTGGGTATCAATACAAAAAAATAAATATTTATAATGGGTTCAACTGTTTCAACAACAACAAGGGCATTGGGTTTGCAATAGCATCCCTTAAAATCAACAAGGCATTAAGATGCATAATGTCACCTGCCATTTGTTACAGAAACATATAAGGAGTCTTTGTATATAATTGAAATCATTGCTAATGAAAAAATGTTAAGCTTGCATCATTTTTATGTCAGCCTTATTTTCTGACATTACTAAAGGTTTGAGCAGAATGAGCACTCAATTTGAACTATTCTTCAACTGAAAACGGCAACTCCACGGAGTAGCCAATCCCAATGAACACTATAACATCTGTATTTCTCACAAAAAATATAAACATTGGAAACATTAGAGATATATCAGAGTTTCTACCAATTTTAAAAGCATTTGGGTGACCATTTAAAGGCACAAATAATATAGACAATTTGAATTTTCTGAGGCACAAATCAGGAAAACAATACCAAAATAGTGAACTGCCGGCCCTAAATTTCCTTCAATTTGAGAATAATATAGCCATACCTTGAAGAGATCAGAAAATTATTGCAAAATTCCACATAAGGTGGTGGCCATTTTGAATTTTACAAGGCCCAAATTACAAAACCGAAACAATATTTGCAATCTACTCTAAATTGCCTTTCATTTGAGTATAATAAAGCTATACTTCTGAAAGATCTCAAAATTAACGCAAATTCCTGTTGGCAGCCACTTGGAATTTTCTGAGGCAAAAATCAGAAAGACAATACCATAGTAATAATGACCTACCCTAAACTTCCTTCAATTTGAGTATAATATAGCCATACTTTAAAGGGATCAGAAAATTATTGCAAAATCTCACATAGGGCGGCAATTTTGAATTTTTCGAGACCCAAATTACAAAACCGATGCAATATTTGCAATCCACTCTAAATTGCTTTTCATTTGAGTACTGTAGATACACTTATTTTGACGCTACTTAATTTGAAGGATTTGCTCAATTTCAAATATTGGCCCAGCTATTTAATTTAGTGGATTCAGGACTGAAGTTTAATTTTTGTAGATGTTTATGTCATTAGGACAGGTGTTTACTAATATATTTTCTGTATTTCTATTGTATATAACAATTATTTCTTTTGGAACAGGAAAAGGGGCCCCCGGAGTTTATTTCTGAAGTGCATTAGCACCCTATGCAGACAGAGCCTGTGGGAAATATTGGGTGCGGAGCAAATGAGCGGAGGGTGCGAAGCTAACGGTTATTTTTGAATTTAAATTTGGGATATTTCTGAAACTAAGCCGTTTTGGGACTTCAAATATACCAAGATATGTGTATTTGACACCAAATATCAATACAATTGTGAGAATAGTAGCGCAATTCATTCTGTAGCGACGCAGTGTGCCTTAAACCTTTCCCAGACCTATATATTTTGAAATTATCCTTTTAATACTGAGTCCCCAGCATTCATAAAAAATGGTGTTCAAGGTGCACTATCTATACAAATTATTTTTGCATCTTGGAAGCCAGGCAGTATCTGTGTGATTTTATAAAAATTTCGGAAATTTTTTCAGATATGAGCCCCCTCTAAATATTGGGTGCGGAGCAGCTCCATAAACGTAGCTCCGCACCCAATATTTAGAGGGGGCTCATATCTGAAGAACATTTCCGACAGGCTCTGTCTGCATAGGGTGATTAGACAAAAATTCAAAACTGAAATTTGACAGATTTTTAATTTGGCGGATTTTCTGAATCCGCCAATCCATCAGATTAAAATTAATGCAAATTGCCATTTTCCCGACCCCCCCTACATGGACCTGGGAGTCATGATGAAAAACTCGGAATATATATGAAATAGATAGATGTTGTGAATATACTACCTCAATTTCAAACAATAATATTTATTGCTTTGGTTTAAAATGAAAAACTTTGGCGGCCATCTTAGAATTTTTTATTGCGTACAACTATTCACCAATTGCCAATATACATCTTTCCACCAAATATGAAGAAAATGCATCCACGGACTGACTGACTGACGGACGGAGGGCTTCACTATAACCATATCAAACTTTGTTTGTTGGGATAATTACCATAACAGTGTTCGCGCTAGCCATTTAAATTTCTGAGTCCCAGGGACGCAACACATTTGAAAAATGTGAGTCCCGTCTAATTTTTTTTGCGTCCCTCATATTTTGTTATTACAGTGAAAGTGAAGTGGGCGATAATAGAGTGCTTACGCTAAAACGGGATAAAGTGACATATATTGTAATTCTATGCATTTACCCGATAAATATCTATCATTTGGTCCTTTTCACACAATTATTTACTAATGTTATACCAAAATTCTCCGAAATGAATGAAAGAAATACTCAAATTAAAAGTTGTTTTCACATTTTACCAGCCACCGATCTTCAAGGTCGTGAACTTTTTGTTTCTTTTTATAACATTTCTCCTTACTCTGACGACTTTTGGATGAAAAACGTTGATCTATCATTAAATAATTATATTGATACATAACATAAGATCGGTATCTAACGGTTCCTAGTGAAATTAAAGTAACTTTCCATGATTTCATCTAAAAATTAAAACCCTTGGAAATACTAAATATGGTTTGAGTGCCATATATAAAATTTGTTTTAGAAATATTGTGGATCAAAATAAAAAATAAATAAAATAAAGAATAAAAATATATTCCGCCCGTGGGATTTGAACCCAGATCTTTTGGAATAAAGGTCCAAGGCTCTAACCACTACACCAAATAGACAAAGCTTGCAAAATGAAGAAATTCTTTATCTATATAATCAAGGATTGAAAAAGTCTTATTTATATGCTTAAATTTCTTAGAAATGATCAGCATTACTACTTATAATAACATTTTGCATATCTGAGTAAGTATTTTGATCTACATTTAGGATAAGTGTTGTTTTATTCAGTTTTCATTTTGGGTATGACTTCCTGTCAAAACAGTGTTAAAAATGCAGGGCTCAACAAAAATTTTCAATTAGAAAATGATATATATCCTTTGATCAGCTGTTTTTGGCACCTGAACTCATCCTACTAGAAAGGTAAGAGCATTTTCTTGAGATATATGGCTCGAAATCTCATATTTCTCCTTCTAAGTCATAGAAAGACACTTTAACTAAGATTATCGTGAAAAACAAGTCTCAATTCTCAATTTTGAAACTAATGTTTGCGTACAACAGATAATCCAGCTTCGGTATACTCCGGAATGACTCGGAGGGCACCATAGCCAATCAAATGCTGTGTTTCAGACTAGAAACCCCGCGAATATACTGTGACACTCCGGTAGCCAATCAGATTTGCCGACATAAACATTATTGAGATCAAGGAAGTAGACGATTTGAAAATTCTTCAGAAAATCATGTTTTATCACTTCTACGCTGCAGTAAAAGTTACCTGATGGTGGTGTAGAATCTTTGCGTCCCAGGGACGTAAGTTATTTCTGATTTTCCCGTCCGACCTCTTGAAATTTCCGTAAAAATGAGAAAAAACGGCGTCAATGCGAACACTGCCATAAAATTCACAAATGAATACTTACCAGCCATTCCAGCAACTGATCCCATCATTGCTCCTCCAAGCATGTGATTGACTGGTCCATCCTCATTCCTCAGATTTGCTAAAAGCCCAACTGCAGAAGAGTACATGCCCCCTGCCAAAGCTGGAACATAAACATGTATGTGTCATCTCAAATAAGAAATCTTATCATTCATTTCAAATTAAAAAAAAATTGTGTTAGGCAAAAAGCAATGTTTACAAAAAATCCAAGACAATCAAACACTCAAAATGTATCCATATCTGAATTGAATCTCAGTCTTTGTGACGTGACTTGTATCAGAAGATTCAGAAGTTGAAACACAGGTTCTATAGTTATTTTCTCACAAGGATATTGGTAAGTTGCATTATTCACTAAGATCTAGTCTTTTCATTTTTATTTGTTATATATGCCTAGTATATTAAATACTTAAAACAAGGCATTAACATGACAAAATGTCACCATCTAATTACTTTTGAGAACTAGTAGATGATTTTGAAAAAAGATTTGGTCAAGTTGAAAAAAAACGTTTTGACCTTTTTTGACCTTGAGAAGGTCATTGAAAGTCAAATTTTAAATATAAAGTCAGATTTGAACTTCTGAAAACTTGTAGATGATTTTGAAAAAATTTAAGTCAGTCTAAACAGTATTTGTTAAGTTATTGGAAGTTGTAAGAATTTGCTACAGACGCCAAGCGCCATAAATGAAGGACCCACGGTCCTATGCTCACACAGTTTGGAACCTTCAGAGGAATGTATATCCTGACTTTCAAACAAAAATATTGATTTGGATTTGTATTTTCGAACTTAGAACTGTATTCGAGAAACTTAGATAGCACAGTTGTGTGACCTAGTTTGATCACCTTTGACCTTGAAAATTTTACTTGTTCAGAGCTCAGTAAGGTCTTTTGTGATTAAGCTGACCAAAATTTACATCCAAAAATCAATTTGAAAAATCAACTTTTTTGACCTTTTGAAGGTCACTGAAGGTCAAGTAAAGGTCAAATCCTAAATCTAATGTCAGATTTGAACTCCTGGCAACTTGTAGATGATTTTCAAAAAAAAAATTTGGTCAAACTGAAGCAAGTTGAAAAATAACTTATTTTTACAGGTTTTTGACGTCAAATATCTCAAAAACGGTAAAAATTTGATGCTGACATATATTGAGCAATATGTAAGGAATGCTTAAATCTAGTAATGATGTAATTCATTGCAAGAAATAATCGAGTATAAGGCAAACTTTGAGAAACTTGTCAATCACAAAACCTGCCATTGACTTTATACATGAGAAAGTTTCCCGAAAATGAGTCGTACTTTTTGTCAAATTTTATAGAGTAAACACCAAAAACTGTAATTCAAAGAGCTTTGAAATCTTCAGAGGACATAAGTTGCATAAACAGCAACTACTACAAGTTATTTGAAAGTTCTACTTCAACAAAGTGTCTAGTATTTACAGACAATTTGACTTTTTGAAGTCAAAATCAGCAATTTCTCGGTAAACGGGCGAACTTGGGAAATGGTGATGACAGGTCAAATAAGCATTATGGATATGCATAAAATGAATGTGGAAATGACTCAATCCGAATAGCAGTTTTAATTTGTGAGGCCAATGTTGACGGACGGATGGACGGACGGACAGATGGATGGACAAACGGACGGACTCCTGGTCGATCCCATAGGCTCACTGTGTGAGCCAAAAAGAACAGAGAGGATAACAATATGTCACCACGTTTGGTGGTGGCATAATAATTCAGTTCATGAAGTATCTTATTATGCATATTTTTGATTTTAAGTTGCATGCTGACACTACTTACCCATGTATCCTGTCCACTTTCCAACTCTCAATGCTCCATCCAGGGATGTAGTAGGATGGGAATATAAGAGGCAGTCACATGTGCCAATAACAGCCCCTGTAACATAAAAAAAACAAATCTAAAATAGCAATACCAAGAGTAGCTTGATGAACCAGGCAATCGCTAACAGAAAAAGAATTGATACAGTACAGTACATTAAGAAAATTACCCAAACTATGTATAATATTGCAATATATATATCAAAAATTACAATATAATCAGATATTGACAGAGGAAAAATGTATTATGTTGGCATTAAGCCAAAGTGTCAAAAAGTATGCATACTGAATTCTCATTGCCCTTTTTGCATAGAAATACTGAGAGACAAACCATGCAAGAGTAGCTGCCATGACCTCTATAATAAATAAAAGAAATGAATGCCACTTGAAAGCATTCAGTGAATTGCATTTTGATATGGATAGCTAGATTTTGATGAACAATTCCCTTATAATTACTGGATAAGGCTATCTCCTTTTATACCAATGAACGACCATCACAATAGAGACAGTGACTCTTTACCAAAATAGTCTTATCAATCAATGCGCTCTCTCAATGAATGTATAAACAAGTATAAGTGACAAGTATCAAGTGATTATTCCTACAAAGTGAAAATACTGTACCAAGTGACAAAAGGCAGCATTAAAGTGTCAAGTTACGTACACAATCACAATATCGGATAAAGAAGAAAAATTGTTATCTCTGACCATTCATTTGATTGTTTGTCTGTGTGTTTGGGTGATATCTCTAATACTGGTTATCGGTTGACGCCTTGACGAATCAAATTTTAAAGGTTTTCATTTTGTGGTTGTAGGACCTCTGCTTGAAAGGGGATTTTTGATCTGGCCTCTCCATGAAAAATGGCTGCCATGTTTTTGTAAATGTCATTTTTTTAACTCAATTAGAGTCCATTTCATTGTTTAACTGCGTCAGTAAAAGTTAAAAAATAAGAAATCAAAATATCCTTTTGCAATAATATATGGAAAAATATATTCCTATTGTACATGAATGACATTTGTATATCTTGGATTGCTTCTAGTTTGGCTTATAAAGTGTGTGGCCTCTTATATTTGGATGCTTCTCTGCCATGTTATTTTCAATAAGAATAACATAGCTGAAATTCTTCAAATTACAAGACGGCACAGGCTTATTGCACAAAAAACTAAAAAATCTGTCATTCATGTACATTATGAATATACGTTTCCATATATTATTGCACAATGGTCTCCCAATTTCTTATTTTTGCCGTTCTACTGACGCAATGAAGCAGTGAAATGGACTCTACTAAGGACACTTCAGTCTTACAGAGTCACCAAAACATCAATAAGGCGACTCTATGACTATTTACTGGGTCATTATTTAGATTATACAGTAGATTTACGATATTGTAGTATCGTATTTCATGGCCGAGTCATGAAACCGGATAAGCCAAAAGTGTCTCTAGCCTACATGACATCTTAAAATTGCCATGAGATGACATTGTGGAAGAGTGGTATCTACAACAAGTTGTAGGCTACTATTGATTGATTTGAACTAGCCTATATTGTAGGATGAAGAAATACAGGAAAGCACAGGCAATGGAACATAGAAATAATCCCCCCCCCCCGCTCTCTGTACATAAGTAAATAATTATTATTATTTACTTATGTACAGAGAGTGGGGGGGGGGTATTTCTATGTTCCATTGCCTGTGCAGGAAAGCCTTACTATTTTTTTCATGGCCTGATTTCGTCGCTAACATGCTAAATATAAGAGTTAGCTGACGTTTGGGAGTCTGACTTACCTTCTAAAGGTTAGAACCCGAATCTTAATGAAACCATATCACCTTTGTTGAGTCATTGATGATGCATAAACACAGCATTTGATAGAAATTAGTGTAAATTTACTTCCTGCGAAAGCTATTTGGATTTTGATATAATAGCTTTCCCACGGAGCATTTGGACAGCTCAATGATCGTGACCTTTGAAATCGAATTAAGTCGATCCGCGGCTTACTTTTGGTCTCTAACTGTGTCTTACATCAGTATCATCAATCCGTGTAAGTATTGGAGCGCTGGAGTACTTCTTTTTCGATCAAGACTTGTAATTGTTAGTCGAGGAAATCGTTTTACTGCCAAATTCCAATATGGCGGTTTCTGCTCGGACATTTTCGTAAATCTCCGGAGGTTGTCCGAACCTAACTAATTCTCAAAATTCATTTCGTTCGTTGCGTATCTCGCACCTAGCAAACCGCCATATTGGAAATAGGTCTGTAAAACTTTAACTCGATGAACAATTTACAAGTCTTGATCGAAAAAGAAGTACTCCAGCGCTCCATACTTACACGGATTGATGATACTGATGTAAGACACAGTTAGAGACCAAAAGTAAGCCGCGGATCGACTTAATTCAGTTTCAAAGGTCACTATTGATCAGCTGTTCACTTCTCCGTTTGAGAGCCATAAGTTTCAAAATCTAACATGGCTCTCGAAGTGAGTAAGTGTAAATGCTTTTCCGACTTTTTCATTTTTCATTAATGTTGACTTCCGGGAAGGCGTTGTAGTTATCACGAAATAACGCATTGACCCTTGAACTTTACTTTGTTGACGTGTCAACCAAGCACAGTGGTGTGAAAATTAAAAGAATATTAAGCAATGTTATACATCCGCCAAGCTAAGTGAAGTAGCCAATATTTAAAATTACCAATTTCAAGTGAAGTATGCAACGAACGAAACTGCATGATCTGCACTCCCACTATTGGTCTGAACGAAATGCTACGTAAAAATATGAGCCGTCTGCTGTATTAGTCGATTAATAGAGTAAGACCTGTTGGTGATGCTTTATAATTTAGACCAAAACATTGGAGAACAAACGAACCTGTAAATCGTGAAAACAACGAACAAATATTCGGTTTTCACATATGTTCGGTAATTTTTCGTATTGAAACTTCCGGAACTTACAAGGAAATCATTCATTTTCACGGTCCATGATTTACCTGTTGGATGTTGTGGCAAATGCTCCATGGTTGACGGAACAAAGGTGATATGGTTTCATTAACATTCGGGTTCTAACCTTTAGAATGTAAGTCAGACTCTCAAACGTCAGCTAACTCTTATATTTAGCATGTTAGCGACGAACTCAGGCCATGAAAAAAATAGTAGTCCTTACCCAGACCGCCTAATCTGAAAGTGGAGGCCTTCACTTTATATGCCATATCAGTGCCATCTTTGGTATCCCAAAATGGAGAGTGCACTCTCTGGAATTTGCGTGCATCATGGGATCTACCGGTGATTCCGGTGTACGAGGGATACTCTCGGTACAGCTCGTTACCGTAAATCTTCCTCACTTCATCTGGCATTTCGAAAAATCAGTGACCTTGCCAATGAAAGGTATCCCAGCATGCACTTTTTGATGAATTGCACTTAAATTTGTATCACTCCGCTCATAGATTCCGCTACTTTAAACGTCATTTAAGGTATTAATTATAAAATCTGTTAATTGAACATCATTTGAAAATTAATTTCCCATATGTTTATATGTACATTGTAGATAACTTATCTGTATAGTTACTACCTTAATTCGAACTAGATTCTGTCACAACGGAAGTTGTAAGGGGTTGTACTAAATACCACCTAGGTGCCCCACACCTAGGTGTCCCCATTGAAATGCCTTACCGGCATATTTTACTACTTTATTTCAAGCTAACATTTTTCCAAGTGTTGATGTATTACATAATAAAGTATTTTCTTGGAACTTGTGTAAATATTTCTGTTTGTTTATGATATTTTTAATTGTCTTGAAAATTTTGATCGATATCGAAAACGAAGTGTCTGGAGTACCTTAAAATTTAAGGCTCTTTAGCTAAAATGCTAAAGAGCCTTAAAATTTAAGGCTATTTAGCTGTGAACATAGTGTTTTGGCTAGAGAGCCTTTGTGTTTATAATCCGTGTTTATATTGTTTTTTATTGAAGTTTTCGTCATCTAAACAATAAAACAACACTCTCGAAAGTTTTTCAACCCAGAATGCCACTTAAAAACTTCACACATGTATATTACTATAGGGTTGCAAAAGAATTAATCCTATCATGGTAAAACACTCTGGTATAGTGGTTAGGGTGCTCGCTTTCCACTCCTGCGGCGTGGGTCCGATTCCCCGACGGAGCACTTTTTATTTTGAAAAACAAGCCGGAAGTTTGTTCTCTGAGGTCCGGAAATTATGTACACAATTTTTTCTAGAAGTCTTGGGCTTGCTCTATCGCTCAATCATCAATGTTTAATGAAATTAATCACTTGTATTGCCTTTGCTATAGTCACGAGAATACAGGGAATCCCATTTTAAGATGGCAAAAAGTATGATGAAGACCTGGGGATGAAAAAGGATCTTGTTTCTTCTAGATCAGCACATCTTGACGAAGTTTATCGTGAATGCAGGGACATCAGCCCAGGGACATCACAGAATACACTTCCAAATCTATTGCCCATTAGATTTCAATGCTGATTTTAGAATTTTTCACGTAACGAGATATTTTTGCATAATATTTTCCTCACAAGTGAGAATTTTTAAAAGCACATGAGCACAAAGAAAATTTACAGTACAAGAGGTAAACTGCCGATCGAGGAAACAGCGGCTTACACAACAACATTTTCATCCTAGCCTCCAATCCATCAATAAATGTCTATACTGTACATCAAAATCTTTACTAAACGGACGTTGCGATTTATAGTGGATAAAATGGAAAAAATAACATTTTCTGGCTATACGTGATTGCCTGGTCTTACACGTTCTCTGGTGAACCAGAGACATATATTTTCGATATATGCATGAACATCAAACAAACAAACATTTACTTTTCAAAATCGATGTTTGAACCTTTAAAAAGCCAAATTTAGACTGAGGATTGAAAACATTATTTCTCTCGGTAGACCGGAAGTAAATTTATGAGTCGAGCAAAAAGTGATAATGTTTTTATGAAGTGGGGAAGTCAAAACAGTACTAATAGAAGTCATAGTAAGCATTAGAAGATCATTTAAAACCATGTAAATCAAATCGACAGCAAAGTTAGTTGAAATGACTGAAATCTTTATATGTTATCTTCTTCATCTTCGCGGACCTCAGAGAAGACACTTCCGGTTTAATAATCAGTGATTTTATCGATCAAAAAAATTTTCTTTTTGAATTTGTCCGATATGTGCTAATATGGTATGTATATTTGTGCTGATTGTTAAATTACAAAATAGGTTGGGTATAGAATATGTCAAAGTCGTTTGATCTTGTCCCAGAAGCAATATTTCGTCATTTCTGTCGCCTGGAATTCCTTTAAGGTTCAGCTGGAAAGTAACATTTTGGTAAAAAATTGCTATACCTGCACATGTTATTTTCTGGTACATAATTAAGTATGAAGGCAGTTTGTATTTCCTTGCTTTTTTCAGGAAAGTATCATTACACTGTCTACTTTTAGTAAACCTGGAAACAGTTTAATGGTAGCTCCTGTGTTGTCTGGAAACTTTGAAAGAAAATTTGGAAAAACAGGAAGTGTGAAATATCAGAATTCCCTGGAGTTCCCTTTGAACGTCTACCAGATATTCTAAAAGAAGACAATGTAATGATACTTTCCTGAAAAAAGCAAGGAAATTGATACATGCCTTCATACTTTATTTTGTACCAGAAAATAACATGTGCAGGTATAGCAATTTTTTACCAAAATGTTACTTTCCAGCTGTACCTTAAGGCTCTCTAGCAGAATTGGCTATCAAAATCCTTAAGAGCCTTAAAATTTAAGGCTCTTTAGCCAAAATGCTAAAGAACCTTAAAATTTAAGGCTCTTTAGCATTTTGGTAACCCATTTGGCTAGAGAGCCTTAAATTTTAAGGCTCTCCAGGCGCGGCCTATCGAAAAAGTCATTTGTTAGGATAATAGAAATCTATTTCATTATTTGCTCACTTTAAAATGCTACAAATTCACTATTTTGGCAACTAAAGTAAGAATAATATATATATTTCAAATATAAATGCACACTTGAGCATAAATGGTGTTTTATTACTATAAATAAGTGACCATACATATGAACAAAATTCCAGGTGCCCATTTTTCTAATAATAAAACTTTTGACATTTTATTTTCGAATCTTCTTTGCAATATTCTCGACTACAAATTATTTTTTCAAGTCTATTATATGTCAAGTTAATATGTGACAAAGGAAATACTATATATAAAATATGTACGTGGTTTAAAATGGAATTATAAATCCAGGTGCCCAAGGGGACACCTAGGTGGTATTTAGTAACACCCGTTGTAAGGTTATTATTTTGGTGAGTTCCTCGTCATTTTCTGATTCATCAAATTTTCATCATATTTTATGATAAAACAGGCCTTTAGAACACATATCATCACATTCCAAACGAGTTAAATGTAGAAGAGGTGCCAGTGAATGTGCATTAGAAGGTAAAACGTCATAGACCGAACGGAAGCATTGAAAAACATTAAATTTATGAATTTCGAAAAAATAAACAAGAATTTTTTCAGCAGTTTGCGACAAACCTAAAGAATACACCAGAGATGTCTCGGTTCAAAGCTGTGCTAGGGGTGTTTGTGGTCTCATGTGTGTTATATTTGACACTCGGAGTATTTGCATCCGGTAAGTCAGTTATCATTTAATGAAATACAGGCAATTTGGCAAACCAAATCAAACAGCATACTCAGTTTCATACAGGCTGTAATCTAACCAAACCCGTCTGGCCCAGTTATCTACTCCTGACTGTAACAAATTATTTTTTTTTTAAAAATTTTATGGTCTTAGTATTTGGAGGTTTTCAGCACTTCATCAGCAATCTCCCCGGTTATAGTTGAGCTTGCTAGTTATACACATATTTGGGCAATTATTTTTATTCCTACTTGGTCTAACAATTGTGTATGTGAATTGTTTATCATGTTTAACTGGCTACTTCCGGTCATTTCGTATATTTTCAATATAATTAGTGTTTTCGTTTCACGTTTGGGTAGTTGACATCCAGTAACCACCACCAACGTTTTTAGTGCGGCATTTTGAATCGTCCCCTCATATCGTTCCAATACAGGTTAGTTTGCCTTTATTTCTATATAGTTTTGATAGATTAGTATAACTAACGATCTCAAGTTTTGATTGAGTAACTTTGGAATAGAATTAGCGTATACTTTTCGAGATATATAGAGATCAAGTTGAGAATTGCGGCGCTAGGCCATTTTGGAATTAAATTCATGAGGATAACTTTAACTCATTAAAGCTTCTTTATTATGTCATTCTGTGCATAATTGTTGTTATATTTCATGTCTCTGTAATTTAAATTCATTTATATTTCATGTTTGGGAGTAATTTTGGCGTTATTTAGCTTGCAATCATATGAAGTTGGAATTTGATGTAAACAAGTGGATGACGTCATCGCCGCACCGCTGCTGGGTATATAAGCAGCAAGCTGAGAGCGCTCAGCAGATTACAGCTAGCTTTCGTTCGGGACAGAGCTCCGTTTCAATTTCATATTTTTATGTGAAGTTGGACTTAGTCATTTTTCAAGGAAATATTTTTGGACTTTGACAATTTTCAGTAGAAAGTTGTTGGGACTTTGAATATTTCCCGAGGCAGATAGGAGATACATAGCTGCACTTAGTTCAGTGGATGATAACTTGGACATCTACTTGTGATGAAGGATACCTGAGAGGGAAGACTGCTACACCGTGATTCTGTAGATGATAACTTGGCCATCTACCCGTGTATTTGTGTAGAGGATACCTCAAGAGGGAATATTCAGTACCGTGTTTGGAGGCAGCATCAAGCCTATACTAGATTTCTGAGCTCTGTCAGTTCAATTTCATGAACACATGAAATTGGACTTTGATTATTTTTGAGATAGAAATTATTGAACTTAGTCAATATTTGGAGAAACATTATTTTGGACTTTGTTGTTTTTTGGAGAATAAATATTGAACTTAGGATATTTCAATATCAGTATAACTCAACATTAACTGAACTTAGTTATTTTCAAGGGCACATATTTTGACTTGTAATATTTTTGCCTATGCTGTTGTGCGCATGCTATATTTTTAGGTAGGCTGATTACTTAATTGTGAAGGAAGTTTGTGTACTTAGCAGTTGATGCCATATAAGACGTTCGTAAACTTTGTCAATTCCGATAGTTTGACTTTGATTATTTCATATAATTAAAGTTGAATTATCCTACAACACAGTGAGGAGGATCCAGGAGATAGCCATTTACAGAGCCGATAGTTGACTTTGATTATTTCATATAATTAAAGTTGAATTATCCTACAACACATTGAGGAGGATCCAGGAGATAGCCATTTACAGAGCCGATAGTTTGACTTTGATTATTTCATATAATTAAAGTTGAATTATCCTACAACACAGTGAGGAGGATCCAAGAGATAGTCATTTACAGAGCCGATAGTTTGATTTTGATTATTTCATATAATTAAAGTTGAATTATCCTACAACACAGTGAGGAGGATCCAGGAGATAGCCATTTACAGAGCCGATAGTTTGACTTTGATTATTTCATATAATTAAAGTTGAATTATCCTACAACACAGTGAGGAGGATCCAAGAGATAGCCATTTACAGAGCCGATAGTTTGACTTTGATTATTTCATATAATTAAAGTTGAATTATCCTACAACACATTGAGGAGGATCCAGGAGATAGCCATTTACAGAGCCGATAGTTTGACTTTGATTATTTCATATAATTAAAGTTGAATTATCCTACAACACAGTGAGGAGGATCCAGGAGATAGCCATTTACAGAGCCAATAGTTTGACTTTGATTATTTCATATAATTAAAGTTGAATTATACTACAACACATTGAGGAGGATCCAAGAGATAGTCATTTACAGAGCCGATAGTTTGACTTTGATTATTTCATATAATTAAAGTTGAATTATCCTACAACACAGTGAGGAGGATCCAGGAGATAGCCATTTACAGAGCCAATAGTTTGACTTTGATTATTTCATATAATTAAAGTTGAATTATACTACAACACATTGAGGAGGATCCAGGAGATAGCCATTTACAGAGCCGATAGTTTGACTTTGATTATTTCATATAATTAAAGTTGAATTATCCTACAACACATTGACGAGGATCCAGGAGATAGCCATTTACAGAGCCGATAGTTTGACTTTGATTATTTCATATAATTAAAGTTGAATTATCCTACAACACAGTGAGGAGGATCCAGGAGATAGCCATTTACAGAGCCGATAGTTTGACTTAGATTATTTCGCATAATCAAAGTTGAATTATACTACAACACATTGAGGAGGATCCAGGAGATAGCCATTTACAGAGCCGATAGTTTGACTTTGATTATTTCATATAATTAAAGTTGAATTATCCTACAACACATTGACGAGGATCCAGGAGATAGCCATTTACAGAGCCGATAGTTTGACTTTGATTATTTCATATAATTAAAGTTGAATTATCCTACAACACAGTGAGGAGGATCCAGGAGATAGCCATTTACAGAGCCAATAGTTTGACTTTGATTATTTCATATAATTAAAGTTGAATTATCCTACAACACATTGACGAGGATCCAGGAGATAGCCATTTACAGAGCCGATAGTTTGACTTTGATTATTTCATATAATTAAAGTTGAATTATCCTACAACACAGTGAGGAGGATCCAGGAGATAGCCATTTACAGAGCCGATAGTTTGACTTTGATTATTTCATATAATTAAAGTTGAATTATCCTACAACACATTGAGGAGGATCCAGGAGATAGCCATTTACAGAGCCAATAGTTTGACTTTGATTATTTCATATAATTAAAGTTGAATTATCCTACAACACATTGAGGAGGATCCAGGAGATAGCCATTTACAGAGCCAATAGTTTGACTTTGATTATTTTATATAATTAAAGTTGAATTATCCTACCACACAGTGAGGAGGATCCAGGAGATAGCCATTTACAGAGCCGATAGTTTGACTTTGATTATTTCATATAATTAAAGTTGAATTATCCTATAACACAGTGACGAGGATCCAGGAGATAGCCATTTACAGAGCTGATAGTTGGACTTTGATTATTTCATATAATTAAAGTTGAATTATCCTACAACACATTGAGGAGGATCCAGGAGATAGCCATTTACAGAGCCAATAGTTTGACTTTGATTATTTTATATAATTAAAGTTGAATTATCCTACAACACAGTGAGGAGGATCCAAGAGATAGCCATTTACAGAGCCGATAGTTTGACTTTGATTATTTCATATAATTAAAGTTGAATTATCCTACAACACATTAAGGAGGATCCAGGAGATAGCCATTTACAGAGCCGATAGTTTGACTTAGATTATTTCGCATAATCAAAGTTGAATTATACTACAACACAGTGGAGGATACTACAACAACATGAAGAGAATCAGTATTTTCATTGGAAGCAAGACACAAGACAGTTGCTGAGTTTACAGTGGATGGAACTGGATATCCCCTTCATCATCTTGGTCGTGGGTGGAATTTTATTTGTACTTTTATGTCTGATGTCAGTCATATGCTCCCAGGTGTGTATTAAGATTCAAAACGAAGAAGCGCCTGTTCCAGCAGTTCCAATACCCCCTACGCCAACCCCTGCTTTAAAATCCACACCAAGCTTCAGCATGAGTACTATGAATTTTGTGTAAAGTTGCTTCCCAAAATTAGGAGACAAGACTTTGTTACGCTCAGCTTACTATTCCAGGTTCAAGATACAATAACAATACAAGACGTACAAGTGGTACAATTTACATGAACTTTGCATATTCGGAATACAACAGTGTTATATAGTGATCATCAGTTTATATGGACTCTGGATATTATTTTATCAGTGATAATTATTATTAGCTCATATGGACTTTTGAGTTGTGAGTTTTAAGAGAAATAATAACACCGTAATATTCTTACATTACATTTGAAATTGCATGTACATCTTATTTGGGCTTATAAACGCCACAATATATTGTTTTGTATTATATATATATAAAATTATATATTCTGTTTATTTCTTTAGGGACAAAGCACATTTAACGTGTGCCGTGCAATCCACAAGTAAACACCGTTTACTAAACAGTGGTCTTTTTATTAGCCACACTACCACATATCCACAAAAAAGGCCAAACTGTTACACTGGTGGCAGTGGTGGGATTAATTGTCTGAAGATATAAGCCCGAGGTGCATTATACTGATTTAGGATGGATCCAGAGTCCAATCTTCCCTATCCAATGGATGATGAGGATATAGAGATTGAAGGGGAGACTACTGTATTCATGAAGACAAATCCAATGGAAATAAATAATCCGGGAGCTAATGATACAACTCAGCCATTGGACAAAGATGGCGCCACATTTTCTGATGCATCAAAGGAGGCCCCTCTTGGTGCAGGCGCTAGATCAAAGGATCCAAAGGTGGATACTGAGAAAAGAGTTTTACCCAGCAATGTAACTACAGGGTATTGGTCTGGAGGAGGATTGACTAATCTAGAGACTCCAGCAAATCCCCTGGGATTGGATAAAAGGAATACTGCCAGACATTTTCCAATAACCTCTACTGTTATGAATCGGCCTTTGAAAAAGAGCCAGACAGAGGATATAG